GAGAAGTACCCAGAGGATTTCGCCGCCCGCGATGAAGACAAGTACAACTACCGCTACCGCGGTGGTGAGTCCTACCGCGACGTCGTCATCCGCCTTGAGCCCATCATCATGGAGCTAGAGCGCAGTGAGAATGTCATTATCGTTACCCACCAGGCTGTCCTCCGCTGCATCTACGCTTACTTTATGAATGTACTCCAGGAGCAGAGTCCCTGGATGGAGGTGCCGTTGCATACTCTTATCAAACTCACGCCCCGCGCTTATGGAACCGAAGAGCAGCGCTTCAAGGCTGATATCCCCGCTGTGTCGACCTGGCGTGGGAAGGGGACATCGGCGAGGCACCAGGAGTTCCCCGCTGAGGGAGAAAAGAAAGAGGATACGGAAACCAAGAATTAGGGATGTGTTGATCTGCATCGGCGTGGCGTCACCTGGATGTGATGGGAATTCGGACTGCATGAGATATTCAGATACCAAAAACATGGTTTTTCTTTGATTATACGTTACATACTTTAAATCAACATATTTTTCTTCAAGTCATGCTCCTCCCGGGTTTATCATAATACTCATGCCTCATTGGAAAGTTGAGGTTCATTTCGACAGAGATGGCATGGTTATGTAGACATTAGACACCTCCAAAAACAACTTGGTGACATCCTTTTTCTCAGTTACAACCCGCTTTGAATGAACATCACACCAGTAGCTATCATTCTATTCCAAGCAGAGAAAACTTGTATGAACAACCGACAAGAGAAGCCAAGATCCCAACCAGTTCTCGAAGCCCAGATATATGCTGACTCATGTCTGACTCAGCGCCGGACGTCATGCGGAGAGCTCCAGTAACAGCGCCCCTCGAACCTCCAGCGGAAGGAATTGAAGACAGCACGCCCATGTTGTCAGCATTTACCGCGCGGCCGCTCGTGGAGCTCAAGCCGCGCGACAAGTCCCGCATCGAGTCGGTCCTAGCTTACGGTGACCGCCTTGTCGCTGGCTTAAACAATGGCAACCTCCGTATCTACCGCGTCACCGACGACGGCAAGACCGAGCTCCTCCGCGAACTGGAGAAATTCTCCCGATACAAGATCGAACAGCTTGCCTTGATTAAGGAGGCTAACGTGCTGGTTTCTCTTTCTGGCGGTTATGTCTCGCTCCACGATGCGCAGTCCTACGAGCTTGTTGAACAGCTAGCCCAAACGAAGGGCGCTTCTGTCTTTGCCATCACGTCAAATGTTGTCAATGATGCCGATACAAATGTGCCCGCTATTGTTTCCCGCTTGGCAGTTGCCGTCAAGCGAAAAATTCTTATGTGGGCGTGGCGCGACATGGAGCTAGAACGGGATACGGCTGAGCTGAGCTTGGTTAGTGGGGTCAAGACTCTCACCTGGGTTGCGGCTACACGGCTAGTGGTTGGGCTGAGCTCGAGCTTTGTTATGGTCAATATTGAGAGTGGACAGTTCACGGACCTGGCTGGGCCGGGCAGCATTGAGGAATCAGGCCGGTTCACGGGCGTTGGTGCCGCGAGCATGAGCTATATTGGTATGGGAGGCATGGTGTCGCGGCCGCTTGTGACAAGACTACGTGAAGGTCAGATTCTTCTGGCTAAGGACATCAACACGAATTTCATTGATGTCGACGGCCAGCCTCTCGGTCGGAAGCAGGTGCCTTGGAGCCATGCGCCGGTGGAGCTTGGATACTCGTACCCATTTTTGTTGGCTTTGCACGACTCATCCAAGGGTGTGTTGGAAGTACGGAATCCGGAGACCTTGTCGCTACTGCAGTCTATTCCGTTGCCGTCGGCCAGTATCTTGCACATTCCGCAGCCGAATATCAGCCTCGCCCATGCCGGTAAAGGGTTCCTTGTGGCGAGTGACCGCACCATCTGGCGCATGGAAGCTCTGAGCTATGATACCCAGATCGATGCTTTGGTTGATGGTGGTTATCTAGATGAGGCCATCAGCTTACTCGGCATGCTGGAGGATGCTCTTTTACAGGATAAGCCCGGTCGACTGCGCGCGATAAGACTTGAAAAAGCACAGAGCTTGTTCGCCTTGAACAAGTACCGGGAGTCTTTAGATCTTTTTACTGAGGTTTCTGCACCCCCAGAGAGTGTCATTCGCCTCTACCCTTGCTTGATTGCGGGTGATCTCTCTACGGTCCCGGAGCCTGAAGTTCCGAATGGAAAGGCGAACGGGTCCCAGAGTGATGGCTCGTCCGATGATGTTGCTGCTGGACAGGCATCCACACACGCAGAGTCTATTATATCTTCTGTGCGAAAGCCCGATGAAGGAAGCGAGGCTAGCAGTATCCGTGGAGACGACAAAGGTACGGCAAGCTCCCATTGCTTTTGAATCCATGCTAACTAGTTATAGGTCTTCGAATTGCTGTCCGCGAGCTACAAGGATACCTGGCTGACGTTCGCCGACGCTTCCAGCGCTTCCTTAACCCCGATGGATCTCTCAAAGCTGCTGCACCAGTCGAAGCCACAGACGAGGCAAGTGACTCGGTTCTTAAGCTGCTGGATTTCCCATCCCCCGACGAGTTTGCCACCCAAATTTGTGCCAAGGCACGGTTGGTTGACACCACTTTGTTCCGTGCACACATGTTCGCGACGCCATCGCTAGCTGGATCCCTCTTCCGCATTGCCAACTTCTGTGACCCAGAAGTAGTCATGGAGAGACTTGAGGAGACTGGTAGATATAACGACCTAATAGATTTTCTTTACGGCAAGAAATTGCATCGCCAAGCACTCGAATTGCTCCGGCGCTTTGGACAGACAGATAACGGTCCTCTGAGCGGACCGACACGCACAGTTGCCTATCTTCAAAATCTACCGCCAGACCAAATTGATCTGGTTCTCGAGTTCGGAGAATGGCCGCTTCGTGCGAATCACGAGTTGGGAATGGAGATATTCTTGACCGACACTGAAAATGCCGAGACATTGCCTCGTCCACGAGTCCTCGCATTCCTTGAGAAAATAGACACCGCGCTTGCCATTCAATACCTCGAGCATGTCATTAATGAATGGAACGACATGACGCCGGACATACACCAGCGCCTGCTCATCTTATATTTAGATCAACTTACATCGAACAATGAGCAAGGGGAATGGAAGGAGAAGTTCTTGACGATGTTGAAAGAGAGCGAGCAATACTCGCCAGCGAAGATGTTAGATCGGCTCGATCGAGAGGGTATGTTGCGAGCCACTCCTGTGAAACAAGCCATTACTGACATATCCCAGATCCCAACTTCTACGAAGCCCGAGCTATACTATTTAGCAAGATGGGCCAGCACCGACAGGCGCTCGAGATTTACGTGTTCAAACTTGCGGACCACGAGAAAGCAGAAGAGTGAGTGATATATCATTTCCCCCAGAGCAGTAATTGCTAACACCAGAAAGATACTGCAACCAGGTCCACCTCGCCGAAAAGGCCGAAGAAGAAAATTCCATCTACCTCACCCTCCTTTCCCTCTATCTCTCCCCGCCCCACGGCTATGAGCCTCAAAACGACCCCGCAATTGACCTGCTAGCCAAGCACGGCTCACGCCTCCCAGCCGACGCCGCATTGAAACTCATACCAGATAAACAGGCTGTGCAGAAACTTGAATTCTATTTCAAGGGCCGCATGCGCGCCGCAAACTCGGTTTTCAATGAAGCGCGCATCGTGGCAAACCTGCGCAAGGCACGGGATATGCAGATCCAAGCCCAGCTCGCTCTTGGCGAGGGCATTCGTGGTGGAGGCACACGGGCTCGCCACGTCACTGTCACCGAGGAGCGAATTTGTGGCGTCTGCCATAAGCGTTTGGGTGGGAGTGTGATCAATGTTTTCCCCGAGTAAGTTGTTTCTAGTCATATGTCTTTTTGGCCTGTTCATAGCTGACTTGTTTCTAGTGATACCGTGGTTCACTTGGGGTGTGCCAATCGAAAATCCAGTGTTCGAGCTGGGTAGTGCGTTTGCTCTCCTGCATCTGCATTCGCGGGGTCGTTCGTGTTCTTGTTCATATCCTTGGTTTTCCTTTTCTTTTTTTTGTTTTCCGGCTCGAGGTTCCCTTTTCATTTGGTTCGTTTGTGTCGACGGAGGCTATCCCAGCGACTTTGATACCCATAGCATCTGCCCATTTCAAGATACATCCTGGTCATGCGATCATGCATCGTCCTCAACCACCTCCTCTCCGTAATTTTCCTCCTCCTTAGCTTCCTGTGCCGAGAGCTGGCCCTGCACCTTCTTGTCTTCTTCCATGCGCTCCGTAAGGAAGACGTTGATCTGCTCCTGCAGCTTGGGCACGAGCGACTGCAGCGCTGAGAGGTGGGCTTGCTTGGCCGCTAGTGTTCCGGTTGTGGTTGATATCACATGTTCGAAGGTCTCAGTGGCTTGAGGGGCGGTGTAGACTGCATTCAAGCTCGTGTTGGAGGCCATTTTAAAATTTAACAGGGAAGTTGGGAATAGCCCTGGAGGGGGAGGGGAGATGGCAGAGAATACTATCCCCAGCTATGTTACCGCCTTTCTTACCGCCTCTCCGCTGATCTAAGCCCGACCTCGGGACAAGGTTGGCACTTCTTCCCCAGGACTCCAATACCAAGATTATATATTACTTGATGGTACTTTGAGTGATCATACGGTAGCATTTTCGAGGCTAATCTCTGTTGGGTTCTCGTAAGGCAGTAATACCTAGTCTATATGCGGCCTGGATACAGTACTAGTAAGAAAGTTGTGAAAATATGGAAAAGAGAAAATCTGTTAGATAGACCAGTACAAGTGCAAAGGACGACATCAAGCAGTGAAATGGTCTACAAATATAAATCGCAAAGCTATAAGCTCCATTGAATCTAGATCATATCAAAGCTTAGCCAAGTCTCCGCATCTTTCGTCGATCTGAGATTCTGCCAGATAGAGGTGGAGGAAGGGATCGGCGACTGGCCCAGATGTGGCTTTTGTAACGTTGTAAACAAAAAAACTTCGAAAGATAGCTCGCCTAAAAGAGAATAGAGAGAGCATGGACTGTTCGTTATGAGTCCTACCTTCCGATCCCCCAAATCGCCTGGGCGTCAAGTACCTCCTGCCCCTCGCTACCCCCGACCTCCATCTGATGACGAAGAGGAAGACGACTCCGATGAAGACGAATTGGTTCGCCCCGGATCCTCCGGTAGTGACGCCTCTTCCAATGTGACCACCGTTTCCGCCGCTCCTATCACTCCGGTCAATACGCAACTGCCCCCCGGGAGTTACTTCCCTCCACAACCACGCTCGGCCACTTCACCTCATCACCCCATGTCGAACTCAACAGGCCGAAGGCCCTCCGGCCGGGGTCCCTCTGTCGAGCTACCCCGGCACCGATCACGGCATCACTCGCAGGGTTTCTTCGAGCCTTCCCTGCCGACCGCCTCCTCCGACCAGGTCCCTACCGTGTCAGCATCCCGTATCGCCGCCCAGGCAGCAATGCAGCAGACAAAAAGGCAACATAATGCAATGACCCCGATAGAGGACGGCTCTCGTCCCAGGCGCAGTGGAAGCGCCTCACCTCCTCTCATGCCTGCTCCATTGCGTCTCAACCAACCCTCCCCCCAACCGCCTCCGCCATCAGGGAACGTGGCCACGACAGCTGCGAATGTGGTCTTCCCGCGAGCCGGTGCTCCACCGGTAGAACAACAGCCCGAGAAACAGAAGAAGAAGAAGCTATTCTCAAAGCCAAAACATATTGGAATCAGCAGTCATAAAGATCTGGGCAAAGACCGTGGTCTTCCCTCCCCAAGCAAGATCAGTGGGTTATCGCGCATAGTCAGCGGCTCGACTACAAACTTGAACGACCTGTCCTCGAACAACTCGTCGATGTACAATCTTTCCAATGCCTCTGTGAGCACAGTTGTCCCCGCAGATCGTCCGCCGCTTCCAGAGAAGGAAAAGGATAAGGACAAAGACAAGCACAAGCATCATTTCCTGTCGAGGCAGAAACTCAAATTAAAAGATCGCGTCGAAGACCACTTCAACCTCCCGTTATCATCGGCTTCGAGTAATTCTCGTCCTGCAGACCCCAATGCCCCACAATCTTTATACTCCTTTACACCTGCGTCTCCAGCTCCTGGGGCGACGTTTGGCAAGTCGGTCAGTGGGCTGGATCTACTGCATGGCGGTCGAGCACTGCGTGAGAAGAAAAAGGAGGAGAAGGCTCTAGCTGAGTCGGAGCAGATGGAATGGCTGGCCAATAATGCTGGCGTGCCCACGACACCCGGTGGCTTCCCAGGTCCGTCTTCAGTTGGTAGCTCTGGGACATTCCCCGAGTCTATTCTCCGGGAGACCTTGCAAGGATTTGGGTTGAACAATATGACCCCAGAGGATGCGTGGGACTTCCTTAAGGCGAAGCTGCTGGTCATCTTCGATGGTGAAGACGTGCGCATTGCCATTGAAGATCTCAACAAGCTGGTGCTCGTTCATTTGCAGCGTTGTGTCGTTAAGAGGGCTCCTACGTCTATTGTGATGGACCTGCAAGAGCTCCTGGAGACTGGATTCGCGACTTTGAACCACAGTTCGCTGATTGGCCTCCCAGATGAAAAGCTGGTCCCGCATCTGGTTCAAGTGTGGCTGCTGGTGTTTGGTACGATTCTGCCCTTCATCCAGGCTGTGTTTCTCCCCTTAGATCTCGAGTTTAAGGGCTGTGGATCATTGATGACTAGCCGGGAAGCCGGTGAATTCTGGGGTGCACTACCTATTGGTGGGACACTCGATGTGCGAAGTCTAGTCTTGATTGCCTTCCGTGACTGCATGATCTTGAATCGCTACGATGCCCTCAAAGCAACCTTCTCCCGGCTCAGCCTGGACTCCATCAACTCCGCATTCCCAACACTCAGCGTCACAGCCAAGAGTACCGGCACTGGAGGCCGCCCTGGCACTGCAGCCTCGCTCGATGCCGGCTTCGGTAGCTACAACTCGCAGTCATCCACGCTTCTCAGCACCGTCGCCGACAGTTACCCCTCCGACGGCATTAGCGCCCTGGCCAACCACCCACGTCCAACCAGCAGTGACTCTCGCAGTCGCGCTACCTCGAACACATCTTCCAACGCAGATCCCCTCTTTTTCCAGTCCATCGCATCGCCTCCAAGCTCTAACAATCGGCCCACCGTCATCCACCGCGGCACCTCCGCCGACACCTCCCACGTCATCACAGAGACCGTCGGCCGCATGTTGCAATGCATCAGCGTCCTGGCCAGCGTGCAAACAGACGATCCTGCCCAGGAGCGGATGGAGATTCTTAGCAAGGCTCTCAAACACAACTGGCTGGGCCGTGGCCGCACAGGCCGTGATCGTCGGGGCTTCGTCGGCGCCAAGATCCGGCCTGTGATGGTTGGCGGTCCTCCTGTTATCGATGATGCAGATTCCCTCACTACGGCTGGAATCAGCATCGGTGCTAGTACTAGTACAGGGGGATCCCGGGGCCGAGGTGACTCGTCCTCGTCGGAATGGAGTTCCAATGTTCCGGGGCCCGGCATGAGTGTGCGTAGTGGTAGTAGACGAGAACTGAGTGTTCTCTAGCTTTCTATGTTTTCTTCTAGCTACTCGTTATGACTGTATGACGGCGGGTGGGTACTTTGGCAATAAAGGGGCGTTTCTATTTTTACAGGAATTGATATCCTCTCTCAGGCATTATCAAGCAATTTCATCTACGATGCTATTCTACTCTGCACGGAACTTGTGTAAATCTTACAACTTTTTTTTTTATTTGATTTGTAGATAAAGTAACTTTTTTTGGGCCGTTTTCGTTTTTCCCATTTTTTTGTCCTTTTGACTTAAATGTAAAGTCACATCCAACAGTAAATCCGACAGTCAGTTGTTACATATGGCACCCAGGGCCCGGCCAACTAGCCACAGGGTAAAATCATCGATATCCATATCCATATCCACCAGAAAAGGATGGCGTCTCACCTCGCCACCCATCAAAATAACTCAAACATCCCGAGGGCAACGGCTTACTTCCGAGCCCTCCCCTTACCCTTCACATTGACCTTGCCAGACTCCTTGAGGACCTCATATCGACCCTGGCAAGCCGCACCGGAAACCTCCCAGCCAAGCTCAATCGAAACATCCAGAGCAATCTGCGCAAAGCCCTTGTCATCCAGCTTTGAATCGAACTCTCGCAAGGTATCCAGAAGAGCATCCTGTTCAAGAGTTAGTAATTGGATCAATAAAACAAACTCTCCATATACCCAAAATTCCCAAATTGAAGTGGGCATCCGAGATTGGGGTGGTCAAAGGGCCAAGTGAATACTTACGTCGAAACCGGGCCAAGGCCCAATTTTATCCTTGATTCGTCCCCATCGCTTGCTCAGCGCTCGCCATGTCATCTCGTCATCTGAGTCACTTCGATTCTCGTTCCATGCTGCGGTGATGTCCTCCCACGACATCGACTCCGTCTCTTTCATCTGTGACATCATCTTGTCTGCGGTAGATGCTGTCTCCCATGACTCTGGGGTTGGGTTGCCCTTGGGGTTTTTCTTCGTGCTAGAGCTGGGATTGACGTAGGAGCTGCGCAGACGGCGCGGGGAGATGGTGACCTGGGGCTCTGGAGTAGCTGTCTCGGTCTTCACCTTGGTATTGGAACGGCGGCGGGATGATGCTGAGGTAGACGCAGGCGTCACTGACTGCTTCTTGGAACGGCGGCGTCTTGAGGTTGACGTAGATGGAGGAGTCGCGGTCTTGGTTTTGGATGAGGCGCTGCGGCGCTGGATCGAGACTGAGGTTCTAGCTGAAATTGTGGTTGATGGCTCTGGGGTCGAGCTTTTTGCTTTGGGTGAACTGTGCCGGGCACGCTTTGTGGCTGAGCCTGTGTCTGCTTCCTCTACTGACTGCAAGGTCTCAGAAGCGGATTGTGCATGAGCCGGTTGATCAGACTCAAGTGCACCAGGTTGAGGTGGAACAGGCTGATCGCGGCCGATAGCGGCCCAATATTCAGGCTGTAGAATATCTATGCCAGCAGCGGCAGCTTCCATCTCAGCAAAGATACGGTCCATATCAGCAACTGTTGTGAAATGCGGCTCTTCTTCCCGGGCATACCTATACGTTGGAGTATCGGTATGGGGGTCAGCCATTTGACGTAGGACCTCCTGCTCAGACGCCAGGATGAGTGCATACTCGGAGGGGGTGTAGATACCCAAGGGGTCAATGTTCCAGTTGCTGTAGTCAGGAGTCTCTTCGGGGTACATGAATGTGGATGGGAGGACATTTGGGTCTTCAAATGGGGTGATCCCTGGCATTACCGCTGAATCAAGTGGCTGATAAGGATCCATATGAGGGTCCATGGAAGGATCCATTGAAGAGTCTACAGATGGGTTCGGGGGTGTAGAAGGGACGAAACCCAGTGTAGGGGACAGGTAACCAGCGTCGCCGGACGGAGCTTCGTCAGAGCTTGAACGGGGCTTAGGAGATTCGCTAGTAGCGGGGGGCTCCGAAGTAGGATTGATACTAGTCGATGCCTCGTCGTAGTTAGAAGAAGTCTCATGAGATGGGCTTTCAGCACTGGGCTTAGGAGGATCCATATTGGACTGAGGGATGAAAGAGGACTCAGCAGGCGTGTTTTTAGCAGGTTTCAGCTGATCAGAGTCAATATTGGATGATTGGTTTCCGTGTTTTGTAGGGGACGAAGGGTACTCGCTGCTGACGGGGTCGGGTGGAACAGTCGAGGGAATGGAGTCCGGGGAGGGGGCGGATTGACGATGTCTCTGTTTGAAAAAGAGTTTTATCCTGACAGGAGTGACAGTGGGAGTCACGTCCTTGGAGCGTCCCTTTGTATTTGCAGAGTCTGTAGCAGTTTCCTGACTAGCACGAGAAGGAATAGAGTCCGGGGAGTCCTCACGAGATCTCTTGTTGACAACAAGTCTTATTCTAGGAGCGGCAATGGGGGTCGCGTCCTCAGGGCGTTCCTTTGCATTCGTGGAGTCTGAAGCGGCGTCCGAGTCCGGGATGGCCTCGCGAGGTCTCTTTCTGAAAACAAGTCTTATCCTAGGAGTGGCAATGGGGGTCACGTCCTCAGGGCGTCCCTCCGCATTCGTAGAGTCTGTATTAGTGCTCTGACAATCGCGAGTTGGGATAGAAGCACGAGGGGTATCACGAGAAGAAATAGTGCGACTCGCTGTAGGTAGGTACTGGTCAGAATTTCCTCCAACTGGAGCAAATCTAACTCGAGTCGATCTAACAGGAATGCCCCGAACTTGAGTAGTTGTCCGACGAGAACGGGTGTTCTGTCGGGAGGACTCCGGGGAAGAAGCAGATTGAGAATTCGAAGCCTTGTACTCCGAATCGGACGGGAGCGAAGGTAGATCAGGCACAGGCGAAGCAGCTTCGCGGTCAGAGTCGTTGCCGTCAGTGGTTAGCTGAGGGAAAAAGTAGATCTTGCAAAAAGAGGCAACGTTAGCACATGTGCATTGAGACAAAAAGACTGAGAGGATCGAGACTTACAGACGTTGGATATTGTAAAATAGGACCGGCACGAGGAACAGCAGACTCCTGGGATTGCAACGTGCAGCCAACAGGCAAACGTAGCGTAGGGCTTGAAGTTGCTGTAGGCGCATCAACAGCAGAATCCGATTCATCAATTGAAGGGGTTCCGCTTGTTTCTCGACACAATTGCACAACTAAGGCAGGGAAAAGATCCCTGGTGGTCTGATCACGATCCATTTCACGATGCATTTTGTAGATCTTGGAAGAGGCGACGAAGTTACGAACTTTTCTTTATAGCATTCATAATATATACCCGTGGAGCGCTAGGAACGACATAAATTTCCAGTGGTGACGATGTCATCGACGATGTAATTAAACAAGTCAAAGCCTAGGTAGTAGTATTTCTTAGTCGTTCTGAAAGCCCTTACATATCCTCCGGGAACTGTTAGTTCCCTTCTAACGGTACATATCCACCTCTCTCTTTCTCCATGTTTGATCTTGATATTCGGTCTCGACTTTATTGTTAATCCATTACTACTGCTTCCTATTCCTGCTCCTATTCCTGCTCCTATTCCCATTTATGCTCCTATTCCTACTCTCACGATCTGCATGTTATCACATGCCAGAGATCGTTTGTTTGCTTCATTTCTTTTGTTCTTCGAAGTGCTACTGTTCCTAATCGGGAAAGGGGTTTGCCAGTACTATGGGATAGCTCTGCTATAAGATCCCTGGGATTTCCCACTTGCTCTCTCTCTCTTTCTTCCCATCTTTGCTTTTCTAGTTTGAATGCACTCTTTCTTGTTGATTGACCTGGCACGTAACACCTACTCCTATTCCTGCTCCTATTCCTAACGATCCCGCGCCTCACGCTCCTACTTAGCCAAGGAAGCTTAGTGTCAGATTCCATAGTCTAGAACCTAGCTTCTACAACCACACAATGCATCTCACAGGGATATCCATCAAATAGAGCAAGACACATTATGTGTAGTATTTAAAGGGTATTCTAGCCCATAGAATCTAGAACTGTTTTTACTTTCAAAGAAGTATGTAAATATATAATGATAGTCACCATTACATAGCTGTTCAACCTTGGCGCGCTTAATATGAACAGCGGATTGGCCAGGATTTAGGGCTACAAAGAGAAAGAAAATCAGACCCAACATTGGAAAAGACTGGAAAAGACTGGGCAGTTTAATAATAAGTACAATATGTACATATGTACACCGTATATTTACGATAATAGGTAGAGTAATAGGTACAGCACATCACTTCGTGGGCCCGACTGATTGGCTTCAGGGCTGCAGCCTGCGCAGCCTGCGCTGGACATCGTGATGCCTCTCCTTTCACATATAATGCGTCTCACCCACAGCGCCATTCTCTTTCTTCTTTGCATTTTTCTCTTTTCTTCTTCTTTCCTTTTATTTGCTATTTAATCCATCTGTTTTTCCTCTTCCCAACTTTGGTTAAATCTCCAACTCTCCAACTCTCCAACTTCCCGGCTTACGGCTTACAGCTTACCTTACTGAGCTGTCTTACCTTGCTGAGCTGTCATGGATCCCACTTCTACCCCGGCTGAGGCCAAAGATGAAATTGTTCCTTCAGAGAACCTGAACGGCTCTGCCCAGTCTACAGAAGTCAAAGAAGTCAAAGACGCTGCTGTCGCCCCCGCACCCGAGACTACCCCTACCTCTGCCCCCAAACTGTGCAAAAAACACAAGAAGAAGAACAAGAAAAAGGATGAGAGTGACAGCTCCTCTGAGTCTTCTTCTTCTGATTCCGACAGCGATGCCGACTCTGAGGAAGAATCCGATTCCACAGAGAGCGACTCCGATAACGAGAAGCGCAAGCGACATCGTCTACGAAAGGCGCGTGCGAGACGTGTGCTCAAAGATAAGAAACGTCGCAAGAAGAAGAAGCGGTCGCGCAAGGCTGAAGCGTCGGATTCGGAATCTGACTCTCCCTCTGAGTCAGGTTCGGAGTCTTCTACTGACTCCGATGACGAAATAGATGACAAGGCGTTACGGAAATTAGTCACCAAGCTCAAGCTTAGCAAAAAGCGAGCTAAGAAGCTACGTGAACTAGCTTCTGATGATTTGGCCGTGAGCGATTCTTTGGGCGAAACTCGCCGCGAGAAGCGATCTAAGAAGAAGAAGCCGGCTTCCAAGGTGGCCTATAAGCGTGTAGATCAATGTGAGTTTCTTTTTTTTTTTTTTTTTTAAACAAAAAAAAATCCTATGCCTTGACTCTTCGTTGCTGACTTGTTATATAGTATGGGATACCACCATCCACAAGTACAAGCTCACTGAAACCGTGGATGACCCCGATGCCGACGAATGGGACCAGTATATCTTCAACATCCGTCGCAAGTTCAACTGGGAGAACAAGTACCTCGAGACTGTCGTCGATATCAAGAGCAAACCCCTCCGCGATGCCCTCTCCAAGATCATGGATGGCGTCAAGGGCGTCAGTCTCGTGCAGGAACCTGCCGTCGTCGATCCCAACATGCTGTTCCTATATCTGGAGGAAACAAGGCAGTACATGAAGGACCTGAAGAAGCAGTCGCGCAGCGAGAAGAAGAAAAAGGCCAGAAAGGCAGCTGCCGTCAAGGCGGCCCATCTGAAAGTTCTCGTAAAATACCTCGACACCGACTACGCAGACATCAAGAAGACCCTCTACCCGCTGCTCGAGGCCAACACGATCACCTTCGATCTCTTGTGGGCCCTGTACAAGCCCAACACCATCGCTTACACCCCGACCTACGGCAGCACAGATGAACCACGTGCTTTCAAAATCGAGTACGCCGTCAAAGAGTCCTCCTTTATGAAGGGCCAGTGGTACAGTGTCGATGGCCGCTACCTCGAGTACGATGGCAAGGACTACGGCTTCGGCACTATGTCCGCTGAAGTCGACGCCTTCAAGGGCGCTCGCAAGATCACCAGTCTCGCCTGCTACCCGCTGAAGTACCACCGTGACGCCGAGGCTCTGCGTGCCCGTCTCATCGAACGTGGCAAGCGCTTCGTCGCCCTCCGTGGTATGAACTACCGCTTCCACAAAGGTATGGCCTTCTACAAGAAAAAGCGCTCGCTCATCATCAAGGTCAATATCAATGGCCGCGTCATGATCGACCCGGCTATCCACCGTCGCATCAACCCTAACTATCCCATCTCCACTGTCCGTCCCAAGGATCCGGATCTAATAGATCCCGAAGATCTTGGGATCAGTGGTGACGAGGGTGATGATAGCGACGGCTGCTGCTGTGGTGGATCAGACTCGGACTCTGAGCATGGTGGTGCCTCTGATACCCCACGGACGATGTACAAGGTCGTGGAGGATACGGATGGATGTCCGCGCGTCGTAGAGGTCGAAGTTGACGAGAACGGCACTGAGATCCAGAAGGAGAAGATGGATCGCATTGAAGGTGCCGCTGCTGATACCAAGGAGCGCGAGTTCACCGAGGAGGAGCTGCTCGTTGCCTCTCCTGTCGTTCTGGGCTTTGCCTTCAGTGAGAAGCTCTGGCTCGAGTTCACGATCTCCGGTATCAGCGATATCGAGTGGGATAAGGAAGCCTTTGGCTCGCTTGTCCTCCCGTCGAACCAAAAGTCCATCGTCAAGGCCCTCGTCGAGTCACATACCTTCCACGCCGCGCAGAACATCGACGATGTCATCCAGGGCAAGGGTAAGGGTCTTGTTGCCGTGCTGCATGGTCCGCCCGGTACGGGTAAGACCCTGACGGCAGAGGGCATCGCCGAGCTACTCCGTCGCCCGCTGTATATGGTTAGCGCTGGCGAGCTGGGTACTGACTCGCGGACCCTTGAGGCGGAGCTGAACAAGATCCTGGATATCGCGCACTCCTGGGGCGCGGTGCTCCTCCTCGACGAGGCAGATGTTTTCCTTGAGAAGCGCACTATCCACGATATCCACCGCAATGCCCTTGTCAGCATCTTCCTCCGTCTGCTGGAGTACTTCCAGGGCATTCTGTTCTTAACTACCAACCGTGTTGAGACCTTCGACGATGCCTTCCAGTCGCGTATCCATGTCGCCCTGCGCTATGGCGATCTGACTTCCAAGGCGAAGAGGAGTATTTGGAAGATGTTCTTAGAGCGCGTGCGCGCTATTGAGGGTGTGCATATTGCTTCTTTCTCCGAGGAGGATTATGATATGCTTTCCAGGCACACGCTGAATGGGCGACAGGTATGTTTGCTGGGTTTCTTCCGTCCCACTCTATACTCCCCTTGTGGTCTACAAGCTAACCGATCTACCATCAGATCAAAAACTCCGTCCGCACCGCACAAGCTCTGGCCGTCAACGAGAACGCGCCCCTCTCCATGGAGCATATCAAGCGTGTGCTAGAGGTGGCCGAGACATTCGATCAAGACCTGCGCGGCGGAACAGGATACCTGGACGCCATGCGGAGCTATACTTGATTTATTCTTGATTATTTCCGATCATCTCGGGGAATTTGGGTGCTTACTATGAATATCGATGTAGATCTGGTACTGAGAGTACTGAGCTCGCTATTTGCTTTTCCTTTTATCTTTGCTTTTCGTGTTTGCTTGCTGTTTTCGGTTCATCTCAGGTACAGAGTATTTAGTTCAATGTTGCGATTTATCTCTCCTTTTTTTTTGCATTGCGGACATGGAGTGAATGAGTTTAGGTAACTTCAATACATCATATTGGTCGAAAATGGGTATAGTTACAAGTCAGGATCGTAGTATAGACCGATTTATGGATTAGAATGAAGTATCGATCTAGTGAAGAACATTGTCATACACTTTCATTATTACAAAAACAAAAGTCACGACGAGGTATGGATAGTTGTACATGGAACTTTTCAAGGGTTGGCCTTGACGAAGTCAACACCCTTCTGGATGTTCTTCTTCAGGTCAGCCAGGCAGGCATCGAGGAGACCCTGCTCGTACTCGTTGATCTCGCCAACGGAGTGGATCTTCTCAACACCGTTGGGGCCGAGCTCGACGCGGGAAGCGAAGAAGTCGATACCCTGGTCCTTGTACAGAGGGGAGTCGACAAAGGTGGGCTCGATGACACCCTTCTCGCCCTGGGCGGCGCGGAGGAGAGATTCGGCGAAGCGGGCACCGGCCATGGCCATGGAGAGGGTGGCGGAACCGGCACCGTCCTTGGCCTTGACAACCTCGTCACCACCGAACTGGATGCGGTTGACAAGGGCATCGCGGGCCTCGCCGGCGATGGAGGAGTGGTTGGACTGCGAAAGCAGGGGGACGATGGTCACACCGGAGTGACCACCAACGACGGGGACAGCCTCGCCGGAGGGGTTGGTCTTCTGGACCTGCGAGATGAAGCGCGAGGCACGGACGACGTCAAGGGTGGTGACACCGAACAGACGCTTGGGGTCGTAGACGTTGCGGGCCTTGTAGACCTCGGCGACGATGGGAACCGTGGAGTTGACCTATAATGATAGATGGTCAGTAGGGCACCCAATTGTGAGGTATTATTGTAACTTACGGGGTTGGCGATGACCAGGACGTGGGCCTTGGGGGCGGCCTCAGCGGCGGCCTTAGCGAGGTCGCGGACGATGGAGGCATTGGTGTTGAAGAGGTCATCACGGGTCATACCGGGCTTGCGGGGAACACCAGCGGGGATGAGGATGATCTCGGAGCCCTCGAGGCAGTCACGGAGACCGGAAGCATCGGGGGAGTAGCCAGTAACGGTGCTGTGGGTGTTGATGTGGCTCAAATCAGCAGCGACACCTAAACAAAGTCAGTAATTGAGTTGTTTGATTTAGTCGAAACATTGTCATTCATACCGGGTCCACCGCGGATATCGTAGAGAGCGAGCTCAGAAACACGGGGGTTGAGCTTCAGCAGCAGCGAGAGAGGCTGGCCAATACCACCGGCGGCACCGAGAACGGCGACCTTGGAGGCCTACACGAGGAGTTAGCTTTAATTGAGAAGGGTAGAGGAATAGACACGCACATTGATAGCGGAGGCCGAGAAGGCACGCTTCTGGAAGAGGTTGACAGTACGACGAGCGGCAAACATGATTAATATTTGGAGGAGATGTGTAAAGGAAGAAGTTGAAGGGGAAGGAGGAGATTCCGGTGAAAGAGATTGGCTGGGGGCTCCACAACAGTTTCCGAGCTCCCGATGCTCGGCTGAGGTCTACTTTTGTTTCTCTTACTTCTTTTACTTCTAGGGGCTATTTTTTTAGTAGCAATTGTTTAGTTTTTTTTGTTTATTATTGAGTATATGAAATAACAATGTCTTTAGCATCAGAAGAATATCTCATTCTCATGCTAAATTGCTTATATCCCATTCTCGGAGCAAAGGATGTGGACTTCTGCATGTGGCATCGCATCATCTTGCCAAGCTAAGTAATTATTTTCATGTGCCTAAAGTACTAAGAACACTATTTCCAACTGACATATTTACTTTAGCACTTGAAATATATAGCGAGTCTTGATCGGAACCACAATGCCTTGGAGAAGGAACCGGCTTATATGCAATTGACGGTGTGACTGGTATATCTCGAGGTCATAGGCCAACAAGTTCCAATTTCACCCAATGCCTACGTTGTATACATATGTAGCCGATACCTTGTGACCAAGAATGAATCCCTTTACTGAACTCAAACCCATGCAGTATATTTGCATATCTCAAAGAAGGATAGCTAGTGAAAAACCATAGTTGTACCTAGCGTATACAAGCATATATATACATTTACAAACCAGACACTCCCAGCTAAACATAGACACTTAATTGGCAATAAGGACATCAATTGCAAAGACCAAACGCCGGCGCTGATGAACCCAATACAAGATACAAGACCACGCGCTACCCCGGTAAACCCCGAGAACCTTCGCCAGCTCCCAAATATGCCCACCCGGGCAGAGACCAAGAACACATAGTGATATAATCCTACCGTAAGAAGTGCAGCACTGCCCAGCAGAACAAGAAGAAAATCACCACTCCACCCCAGAAAATCCACTTATCCTGACGCGCCCGCCGCTCCACCATCCGGATTGTATCGCCGCTCACGCCAAGGGTGTTCGCAACGCTGTATAGTCGCCGCTGTGTTCCCTTGAGTACTTCACGCTGCTGCCCTAGGTCGGCGAGAACCGCTCTTCCTCGGTCCAGGAAATCATCGAGTTGGGTGTGTGTGTTGGAGAAGAAGGACTGCTCGCGAAGCGCGTTGGTTTCGCGGTTGTAGTCTGCCGGGCTAGCACCAAAGCCGAGACCTGAGGATGAGGGTGCAAAGGCTGAGGTGCTCTGTGGGAGTGAGGACTGCGCATATGGGTTCTCTGGTGTTGCGGCGTGGTGTGGGCGACGGCCTAGGAGTTCATTGTGGTTGGTAACCGATTGCTGGTATTGGGTCAGTATTGGAAGTAACCCCCATGAAAGGATTGCTGGACACATACTGCATCCTCGCGTTCTTTGCGGAGTCGATCGAATTGTGTCCGGTAGTCTGCGAGTTCACTTCGGAAGTTCTTAATACGGTCGAATGCCTTTTGCTGTTTCTCGGGAATCAGTTCTTTCTTGGAGAGCGCTGAGTAGTCATCGACGGTGCGGGAAAGCGATGCCAAGGAGGCTGCAAGTTGGCCTAGGAGCTTGAAGTCAATATATTGGGGTTGCAGAGAGTCGGTGGTATGAGCGCACCTTGTAACGCGGGTGAGGAGGTGGTTGGCGACTGTGAAAAGGTGTCCAGATCCCGGCGGATGGACGATGATTGCTTTAAAGCAGAGTTGAATAGCGAGTTCTGTTCATGTCAGCTGTGTAAACCTATTGCGGGAAACTAGAATATATGTACCATGTTGTCAATTCCCCGTATAGATTGGACTCTTGGATTGCTTTGATACCCGGTAAGTCGTGGAAAAGGGAGCACTAGGACAGCTAACAGGATGAGTAAGAGATGACAAGCTCCCGAGCTAGTGACTTAAACATCAAGGTGGTCATCATCTGGTCCAACCGGAGGCCAGATGGTCTTGTTTGGGCCCATTCTGACGTAGTTCACCGCCTTCAGGTACAATGCATTATATACAACGTGCATCTGCAAGCCCTTGGGATATTTTTAGATTCTGCGAGGTATTTCAAGTTCTATATCTACAAGTTATAACCGCTAAACAAAACCACGTTTGATATAATCTGCCATATGCGTTACAATTGCTAGAACTTCAAAGAAAAATGATATCGTCGTTAAGGTACTGGTACAGTCAATCCAATCCGACTCCATTCTCGCCAAATGAACAGAGTGAAAAAACACAGAAGAGCTGGGATGGTATATCAAAACATAAAGCAATTAGGTAACATCAAAAGAAAAAGAGATGAAACGCCACACATCTATTTGGGGGGGAACTTGTTCTGCAGGAACCACCTAGGCGATGGATTAGCATCATTGCCATACTCATCAGTCCAAAAATATATGCAGTACTTACTTGCTGATAAAGTAGTCCACCGCACCAAAGACTCCAACAGCACCGGCGGAGAGTCCGACCAGCTCCCAGGAGAGGTTGCCCCGCGCGTGTTGCTTGTAGGCACCGAAGCCGAGGCCTGCGCCGACCACGGTTGCGATAGCGGCATTGGCAAGGAAGACAGGATTGCTGGTGTTTCCACAGATACCACTGCTCTTCACCTTGTGCGTCTTTGCCTTCTTCTTCTTTTCCTCGTCCTCGGGCTTGTCCTTCTCGGCTTCGCGCTCTATCCGCTCCGCCTGGGTGGTGGTTTGGACATCTTGCTTGAGGAAGTCGGACTCCACAGTCTGCACATGGGGACTATCAACGTCGATCAACGAGGCCGTGCTCTCGGATTCATCGTGGTAGACTCCACCCACAGGGGGAGCGCGGCTGGAATATATGTTAGTTGTGTATAGGGGATATTTGATAATATAGACAACTCACGCCTATTTATTGTTAGTGCTATAATTTATATATATAGGAGCTTTAAACTTACATCCTCGGGGGACTGCTTGGGGCCCTTTGCAGCTGCGTCGGCGTAAGACATGGTGTTGCGCGTGAGGTTATTATTAGGTGATGATTCTGGGGGAAATCCTGGTTAACACCTAAACACCTAGAACAAAAAATAAACACATATAACCTTGGAAACTTACCAGAAACGTGATGTGGGAAGGAAGGAGTTCGAGGGGAAAGAGAAGGATTTATACCAAGGAAGCTGGGGGGGGGGGTGTGACATCACGTCATTGACCTCCAGGGCTGGGCCCACTACCAAGGAAGATTCCATGGGGTTAATTTCCGCAGAGATGTTGATCTCATAGCTGTATTGTAGATGACCCTGAAAATATTTCAAGAGACTCTTCTATTAAATTAGTTCAAATAAGAAGTCATTTAGGAGATCTTATGGTAATTAGAATGGTCTTGACCTGACCTCGGGAGGCCTCAAAGCCACCTACGTTATCAGGTACTCCAACAACTTCACCAAAACACAAAGAATTATGCAGAAGTCGAGAAAAATTCCATTGAGAGGATTTAAAGCTGCTAAAGAGATCAAAAACAAACGGGACCTATGTAATGGTCTAATGGGGGAGGCAAGGTGTTTTAATACAGATTACAGATAAGTCAGAACAAGAGAGCTTCGCTGTTTACAGCAGAAGCTCCAGAGGGTTCTCGACGACCTTCTTCAGCTCCTTGATCCATTCACCACCAACGGCGCCGTCAACCACCTTGTGGTCGAAGCTACCAGTCACGACAATCTGGTCGTCCCACTCGGTAACGGTGCCCTCCTCGGTCTCGATGGGGATAGCGACCTTGCGGGTGGTGCCAACAGCCAGGATACCGGCCTGCGGGGGGTTGATGACAGCGGTGAAGCGCTCGACAGCGGCGTTCATGCCCATGTTGGAGATGGTGAAAGTGCCGCCCTGGTACTCCTCGGGCTTAAGCTTGTTCTCGCGGGCACGCTTGCCAAGGTCCTTGATCTGCTTGGAGATGCTGGAGAGTCCGAGACCCTGAACGTTCTTGACAACGGGAGTGATCAAACCAGAGGGGGTAGACACGGCGACGCTAATGTCAGCGGTGTTGTGCTGACGGATCACGGCTTGGCCGTTCTCCTCGCGCCAGCTGGAGTTGACCTGGGGGACCTTCAGAAGGGCAACAGCGCATGCCTTCACCAAGAAGTCGTTGACGGAAAGCTTGTACTGACCCTCAGCGGAAGCGTTCAGGGCCTGACGGAGCTTCAGAAGCTTGGTAACCGAGAGAGTGGTAGAGACGAAGTAGTGGGGGTTCTCGGCCATGGACTGCTTCAGACGGTTGGCAATGGTCTTGCGCATCGAGCTGACGGGGATTTCCTCGAAAGAAGCCTCGCCGGACACAGCAGTGGTGGCGGGCTTGGCCTTCTCAACGTCCTCCTTGGTGATGGCACCACCACGACCGGTACCCTTGAGGCCCTTGATGGACACACCCTTCTCGAGAGCCAAGACCTTAGCGGCGGGGCTGATAGAGGGCTCACGGTCAATGCTGGGCTGGAGCTTCTCGTCTGAGGTCTCGGGCTCTTGCGCGGCGGGTGCCTCCTCAGCAGGGGCCGGGGTCGAGGGCTCAGCCTTCTTAGGCTCCTCCTTCTGCTCAGTGGGGGCAGGCTTGTCACCACCGGCATCGGCCAGGGTGAAAGACTCGAAGGCGGAGACATCGGCACCCTCCTCAACAAGGACGGCAATGGGCTATAAGGAAGGCAGGTTAGATTGATGAATCGACCCCCACGGAGAAAACCGGGAAATTTCTTACCGAGCCAACAGAGATATCCTTCTCGCCGCTCTCCTTCAGAACCTTGGCCAGGACACCTTCATCCTGGAACTCAAAATCCATCTGTGCCTTGTCGGTTTCGATCTCTACCAGGACATCACCGGGCTGGAGGACATCTCCGGCCTTCTTCTGCCACACGCCGATGTTTCCAGCGGTCATTGTCGGCGAAAGTGCCGGCATGCTGATGAGTGTGTGGGGAGGGAAAGCTATGGGCAGACATGTTAGAATTGGTGTATGGGAGAAAGGGATAAATCAATTGTCATACACTTGGAGGCGTAGAAGCGGGAAAGGGCAGAGAGCGCCGGCACTTGGTTCCTGGTAGAAACATCATTAGCATCAACCCCAAACCACAATTCATATCAGTGGGACATACTGAATCACCTCCTGGAGCTTGGAGGAGACCTGGGGCCGGCGCATAGCGGCGGCACCTCTAGACATGAACATGGCGCTCGGGGTGCGCATCCGAATAGCTGACGCAACCATGGTGCCTGAGACTTGTTGCGATTATAAAAAGAAAGGAATAAAGGCCCTTAACGCTGATATGAAAAAATAAAAAGAGCCCGGCACAGAGAAAACGTGAAGGGCCGAGAATGGATAAGGTTGGGGTGGAAGGAGATGCCTCTAAATCACGAACTTTTCTGTTGAGCTACCTGTGGCTCCCGGTGAGAGGAGCGGCAGCGGCCTCTTCCGATATGGTCACGTGTTGTAATTTACAGTCTCAAGCTCCGGCTATGTATTATTGGTTTTTTTTAGCGCCAACGCCTTCTCACCGCCTTAAGTATACACCTAAAAAGGAGATTGGAAAGCATTAAAAAGCAACCTAGATCAAGAACATACCTGCCTAAAGGTGAATTTTTATTATTATTATTATTATCATGACTTGCAATATTCCCGAATGTTTTATTGTAAAGGACATATGTAGCGCATAATACTTTGTACATACTACATACATAGGTTTACAGAACCAGAGGATCAATATTCTGCCAGGAAAAAGAAGCCGGTGAGAACCTCTGAATCTCCGACTCCAGCCAACGCTTGGCTGAGGTAAGCATGCATTAGTCCCGATTCGGAGAAGACACGCAGCCCCCGTCCTTACATGTCATCGCGATTGTTTTGAGCTTCCCCACGTTTGCTCGTTCGATGTTTTAGATCTAATAGATCACTCCGCCCGGAGTCTCCTTGACTATGGCGGACACCGAACTCGGCTCTGAGCCGACCCAATCCATTGAAATGCCTGAGAAACCCTTCGAGACCCCCGACGTATCTCCTACAGTACCAAACTCCGACGAGCCAACACTACCCGAGCAGACCGAACCACAAGAACCAAACCGGAAGGACGACGAGGAAGTAGCCGAAGGCCACGAGGATGAAGAAAAGCCAGAGGTGCCGCCCAAGGACGAGCGTGAACACGCTGAACAAGATCCCCAAACAGACGGCCCGCCTACGATTCAGGAACCCCCCCGGGAGGACAACAATGTGACAGAAAGCAGGCTGCGATCGGATTCACGGTCAACAACTGCTACGTTTATGACGCAGCGATCTAGCCCGGTTAGCTCGACGGTCTTTATTGTGACGGCTCTGGACAATATCGCTGCTTCGCGGGACGCCCGGAGGGACAAAAAGCTGGAGGATGCCACACAGGTGGCCCTGGCCAATATCAGGCAACCCGATGGGCAAGCAATTGATCCGGAGCTTATCTTCCGTCCTCTGCATCTGGCAAGCAAAGCCCTCAGCATTCCTCTGCAGGTAACTGCATTGGACTGCATTGGAAAGCTGATCACATACTCCTATTTCGCATTCCCCTCCGCCGAGACAGAGAACAATGCCACCCGCGAACAACCCCCCTTATTGAGCGTGCTATCGATGCGATCTGCGACTGCTTCGAGAATGAAGCCACGGCGGTTGAGATCCAACAGCAGATCATCAAATCCCTGTTGGCAGCTGTCCTGAACGATAAGATCGTGGTGCATGGAGCTGGTCTCCTGAAAGCCGTCCGCCAAATTTACAACATCTTTATCTACTCCAAATCCAGTCAAAATCAACAGATCGCTCAGGGGTCGCTCACACAAATGGTCAGCACAGTCTTTGATCGAGTACGGACCCGGATGGACCTTAAAGAGCTCCGAGTACGAGAGCTGGAAAAGCCATCCTCGACCCTCGATGCATCGGCGAGTGATGTGGGCCAAACCTCGGAGACGGCTTCCATACCTGTGGCTGATCAGCCCATAACCAAAGAGCCCACAGCCGAGAAGCTCACCCTACAGAGTTTTGAGTCGCCTAAGGAGGTTACCACTGTCAACGACAATGCGCCGACTACAGTCACGCGCGCCAAGCGGTCAACAACGAGGTCGATGTCGGGCATCCCCGAGGAAAAAGATGATGATAGCTCGGCCGAGGACGATGTGGATGAGATTTATGTCAAGGATGCTTTTTTGGTTTTCCGAGCGCTCTGCAAGTTGAGCCATAAAGTTCTGACTCACGAGCAGCAGCAGGATGTCAAATCCCAGAACATGAGGTCAAAGCTACTTTCGCTGCACTTGATTCACTATCTCATCAACAACCACACCGCAACCTTTATATCCCCCTTGGCAGCAATCAAGAACAGCTCATCCAGCTTGGATGGAATGAATCTCCTTCTAGCTGTACGGCCTCATTTGTGTCTAAGTCTAAGTCGCAATGGTTCTAGCGCCGTGCCTCATGTCTTCAAAGTTTGCTGTGAGATTTTCTGGCTGATGCTGAAGGACATGAGAGTCATGATGAAAAAAGAACTAGAGGTGTTCTTGAAAGAAATTTATCTGGCCATTCTCGAGAAGCGCGGGGCTCCTGCGTTCCAAAAGCAGTACTTCATGGAGATTCTGGAGAGGCTAGGTGGTGATCCACGGGCTCTGGTTGAAATCTATCTCAATTACGACTGTGACAGAACCGCGTTGGAGAATATATTCCAAAAGTATGTGTTACCGAATTAGTGGTCTTCTTTGACATGAACTAACTTTCTTAGTATCATTGAGCAATTGTCCCGGTACTCGAGTGTGCCGGTTGTAACAACACCTTCTCAGCAGCATCAGTACCAAGAACAACACACTAAAATGTCAGCCATTGGTTCTGAATGGCACCATCGAGGAACTCTTCCTCCTTCGTTGACAAGTGCCCACATTATCCCCACTCCGCCGCCCTCGATGCCTCACATTCCATCGGAGTACGGATTGAAGCAGCAGGGTCTGGAGTGTCTTGTGGAGATACTGCGCTCACTGGATAACTGGGCCACACACCGCATAGATGAACAGCCCGAGGCAGCCATCCCCTCTAAATCGATGGACAACTCCCGTGAGTCCTTGGATACAAGCGTGTTTGTTTCACCGCATCCTGAGTCCTTCGAGAGTGGGACGGGCCAGTCCACACCTATGCCCGAAGATGACCCAAACCAAATTGAAAAAGTCAAGCAAAGAAAAATTGCTCTCACAAATGCCGTCCAACAATTCAATTGGAAGCCCAAGCGTGGCATCAAGGCCTTCCTGAAAGAAGGCTTCATCCAATCCGAGTCTCCTGAAGACATTGCCAGCTTCATGCTTCGCACAGACCGCATTGACAAGGCCATGCTGGGAGAGTATCTTGGTGAGGGAGACCCTGAAAACATTGCCATTATGCATGCTTTTGTCGATCTGATGGAGTTCACGAAGCGACGTTTCGTTGAATCCCTGCGCTCGTTCTTGCAGCATTTCCGCCTCCCTGGTGAAGCCCAAAAGATCGATCGGTTTATGCTGAAGTTTGCCGAACGGTATACAACTCAAAACCCCAATGCCTTCGCCAATGCTGATACCGCGTATGTGCTTGCGTACTCGGTGATTCTACTTAACACAGATCAGCACAGTTCGAAAATGAAGGGCCGCCGTATGACCAAGGAGGACTTCATCAAGAACAACCGCGGGATCAATGACAACCAAGATCTGCCACCCGACTATCTTGGGGCCATTTATGAGGAGATTGGAAGCAATGAAATCGTGCTATACACCGAGCAGGAACATGCTGCCAACCTCAACCCTCAGCCCCCCGCTCCAACTGGCCTTGCCACACGAGCTGGACAGGTATTTGCTACCGTTGGACGAGACATCCAGGGTGAGAAATACGCACAGGCTTCTGAGGAAATGGCGAACAAGACAGAACAACTCTATCGTTCCCTCATTCGAGCCCAACGCAAGACAGCAGTTAAAGATGCGCTTTCGCACTTTATTCCCGCAACATCAGATCGTCATGTTGGGTCAATGTTCAACGTCACATGGATGTCTTTCCTATCTGGTCTGTCTGCGCCGATGCAGGACACGTCGAACCTCGAAACCATCCGGCTCTGCATGGAGGGACTCAAACTGTCCATCCGGATCAGCTGTGCCTTCGATCTAGAGACTCCTCGTGTGGCATTTGTGACTGCCTTGGCGAAGTTCACTAACCTTGGAAACGTGAGGGAAATGATGGCCAAAAATGTCGAGGCCCTGAAAGCCTTGCTCGACGTCGCCTTCACCGAGGGCAACCACCTCCAGGGCTCGTGGAGGGATGTTTTGACATGTGTCAGTCAACTTGATCGGCTCCAACTCTTGAGTGATGGAGTCGATGAGGGATCGCTGCCCGATGTTTCAAGGGCACCTTCATCAGCAGATACCTCCCGCAGATCTATGCAAAGTACACGACGTGCTCGCCCTCGCTCTGTGAATGGGCCAACCGCTTTCCGCCCAGAAATTGCCATAGAGAGCCGTTCGGCAGATATGATTCGTGGCGTGGACCGTATCTTCACCAACACTGCCAATCTGTCGCATGAGGCCATTATCGACTTCGTTCGGGCCTTGAGCGAGGTCAGCTGGCAAGAAATTCAATCTTCCGGTCACACCGATTCGCCCCGAACCTACAGTTTGCAGAAGCTCGTCGAGATCAGTTACTACAACATGACTCGTGTCAGGATTGAGTGGTCTAAGATTTGGGATGTTTTGGGTCAGCACTTTAATCAAGTTGGCTGCCACTCTAATACCATGGTTGTCTTCTTCGCCTTGGATTCGCTCCGGCAACTTTCGATGCGCTTCATGGAGATTGAGGAGTTGCCTGGTTTCAAGTTCCAAAAGGACTTCCTTAAGCCTTTCGAGCATGTGATGGCAAACAGCACTACTGCTGCTGTCAAGGACATGATTCTGCGGTGTCTGATCCAGATGATTCAGGCCCGTGGAGACAACATCCGTTCGGGATGGAAGACCATGTTTGGCGTCTTCACGGTTGCAGCACGGGAACCCTATGGTAAGCCTTGCTGCTCAAATTACTCCGTCGCTTGCTAACGCATCAAACAGAGGGAATCGTAAACATGGCTTTTGACCATGTCACCCAAGTCTACAACACCAGATTTGGCGTAGTGATCACCCAAGGTGCCTTTGCAGATCTCATCGTATGTCTGACTGAATTCTCGAAGAACTCCAAGTTTCAAAAGAAATCGCTACAGGCAATTGAGACCCTCAGATCGACCGTCACCAAAATGCTACGGACTCCAGAATGTCCCTTGTCACACCGTGGTGCCTCGGCGGCCACCTTCCAAGACAATGGAACCAATCTTGCTAAACAACTTACCCGTCAATCGCAAGAAGAGCAGTTCTGGTATCCGATTCTCATCGCATTCCAGGATGTACTTATGACGGGGGATGATCTCGAAGTCCGCTCGCGGGCACTCACATACCTCTTCGATACCCTAATTCGACACGGTGGCGATTTCCCCAGGGACTTTTGGGATGTCCTCTGGAGACAGCTCCTCTGCCCGATTTTCGTGGTCCTACAGTCTAAGTCTGAAATGTCCAAGGTTCCGAACCACGAGGACCTTTCGGTTTGGCTGTCCACGACAATGATACAAGCGCTACGGAACATGATTACCCTGTTCACGCACTATTTTGATGCCTTGGAGTACATGCTGAGCCGCTTCTTGGAACTGCTGACATTGTGCATTTGTCAAGAAAATGACACGATTGCACGAATTGGCAGCAACTGCCTGCAACAGCTGATTTTGCAGAATGTTGCAAAGTTCAAGCAGGAGCACTGGTCCCAGATTGTTGGGGCATTCGTGGAGCTCTTCAGCAAAACGACCGCTTATGAACTTTTCACGGCTGCTGTCTCGATGTCTAAGCCAGCAGAGGTAGTCAACGGGGACCTCACGCAGTCTCCAGATGCTGCTGTAGCGACAAGAGACTTGCCTGATGCGTTGCAGCCTAACGGATCCCAAAGCACATCTTCTCTCCATGAAGGTGGAGATCCTCCTGTCCAAAGTGAAGCCCGCGCCGAATTAGAAGACTATCGCCCTCAGTCAGACCAGCAGCAACCTGCGGCTATCACTGCAGCTCGGCGTCGTTACTTCAACCGCATCATCACGAACTGTGTTCTGCAGCTGCTCATGATTGAAACGGTCCACGAACTTTTCTCGAACGAAAATGTCTATGCACAGATCCCCAGTGGTGAGCTCCTCCGGCTCATGGGGCTGCTGAAAAAGAGTTATCAGTTCGCGAAGAAGTTCAACGAGGATAAGGACTTGCGGATGCAACTCTGGCGCCAGGGATTCATGAAGCAACCTCCTAATCTATTGAAGCAGGAGAGCGGCAGTGCCTCCACCTATGTGCATATTCTCTTCCGAATGTATCACGACGAGCGAGAGGAAAGACAGAGCAGTCGCGCAGAGACTGAGGCTGCACTCATTCCGTAAGTTGATTCTCCCTGGCTTTTTTTCCTCCTCCTTGTTCATTGCTAATTCCCCTAGACTCTGTGCGGACATTATTCGTAGTTTCGTCCGCCTCGAAGAGGACACCCAGCACCGCAACATCGTCGCTTGGCGTCCGGTGGTGGTCGATGTGATTGATGGATATACCAACTTCCCGCAAGATGGCTTTAATAAGCATATCGAGACCTTTTACCCGCTCGGAGTTGAGCTTCTGAGCCGTGATCTCAACCCGGAGATTCGCGTTGCCCTCCAGTCTCTACTGCGCCGGATCGGCGAGGTCCGACTAGGCATTGCTCCGCCCAATCCCCTGGACGTCCCCATTAGCCCGCGCAGCTCCGTCTCCCAAAAAGCCTCGCGCCGCGATAGCCAGGTCTGACTTACTGCATGATTTTTTGGATATCCGCGGGCTTGGTTTTCGGCGTTCTATAACCCGACTCTTCGGGGTCTTTTGTTGTCACACGAGCATTTTGTTCTACTTTAGAGATGCATAGCTGCTGTATTGATAGGATAAAATATTTCTTGATTTGTTTTTTATTTATTTATTTTGTACTTCCTCTAGAGTTGGGATCTTACCGGACTCGTAAAAGGATAATACGCTGTCCATGTCCTTTTCGGTCATCTGTACAAGCTCATCGAGGCTCCATGTTTCGCAGACACCGGACATCCTATAATTATTAGCTCAAACTTATCCCTGAAGACGGACCGGAATATTGCAACTCACCATTTCATTCTCTTGGGGCCTTGGTCAGGATTCGGCGCAACCTCCCGGAGCTTTTTCCGTAGCTTTCCCACATTCTCAATAGCTGCACCCATGTTCGCTGGCAAAGTCTCCGCGATCTTTTTGCGCACAATACTGGCTAGCTTGGGCCCGTTCCCATTTGTGCTGACCATGATCTGCAATGGCCCATCGCGATGAACACTCCCAAAATAGAAATCACATTCAGGCGGGACATCAGCGATGTTGGCAGTAATTCGCCTCTCCTTGCAGAGTTTCCAGACTTGTGTCGAAGCCTCCGGGTCGTCGATGGCACAGAGCACCATGTCCACATTATCGAGGTCGGATGGCTCAAAGTTTCGATCAAAGTGTGTGACTTGCTTTTCTGTCACCCTGAAGGCCACTTCTTCGTTTAATCCAGCGGCTGGACAAACCACAGTGACCTGGGCATCGGCATTGAGAGCGTGGAGGATGCGTCCTGCAGCAACCTAGCGGGAATATATAGATCAGTTCCCAACCTCAAAACGACATATAGCTGTTATCAGTGTCAATCACGTACCTCTCCACCACCTACGACTAGCACATGCTTGTCTCTAATTTGCCAAGCAAGTATCAATGACCCTCCACCTTGTACTTCTGGGAACTTTGACATGGTGGGGATATGGGGTGGGATGCAATTCTCCCGTTTATCGGCCTCCGATAAAGAAAACCCGTACGGTGGGCGGCACACACCACCCCCGTAGTCTTCCCGAGCTTTTCCCTCGAACTTTTTTCTTTTTTCTCTTTTCTCTTCCTTTCACGTCACTCATGCCTTTTTCTTAAATCATGCGGGGCGTCCAGATATTTTCGGGGAATTCCCACCCCGGCCTCGCAGATACTATCTGCGAGCGTTTGGGCACTGTGCCTGCCAAAGCTAACCTAGGAAAATTTGCCAATGGCGAGACCAGTGTCAACATCGGTACCTCAGTGCGGAACCAGGATGTTTACATCATTCAAAGTGGCAGCGAGAAGATTAACGATAGTGTTATGGAGCTCCTGATCATGATCTCAGCGTGCAAGGGTGGCTCAGCGAAGTCCATTACAGGTATGTTGCAGATGACTTCAGATACAAAAGCTTACCCCACTAACTCGTTTCTCTAGCGGTCATGCCGTATGCTGCCCGTCCTGTTTGACTCAAATCACAGACAATGCTGACTCTCGAATGAGATATTTCCCATACTCGCGCCAATCTAAGAAGAAGAGTCATCGTGGTGCCATCACGGCCCGCATGCTCGCCAATCTCCTCACGATCGCCGGCGTGGACCATGTGATCACCATGGACCTGCACGTATGTTTCTATGCGATGTTGAGTTTTGTAATATGGATATTGATGGGCTCCTAGGCATCCCAGATGCAAGGATTCTTCGGAAAGCCGGTCGACAACCTCTTTGCCGAACCGTTCATTGCCCGCTGGATCCGGATGAATGTTCCCGGCTGGAAAGACGCCGTGGTGGTTAGCAAGAATGCTGGCGGAACCAAGCGAGTCACTTCGCTGGCTGATACTTTGAAGCTCAACTTCGGTATCGTGACGACGGATCGTCGGCGCCCGAAGGTCCCCGTGGCCACTATGACTGATAGCACAGTCTTCTTCGATGCTGTGGATGAAGATCCCCTCGTGGCCAAGGAAACACAGCCTTTTGAGCTCCATATGCACAGTTCTAACAGAACACCTGCAACACCCCCCATTCCGGAAGAGCCGGAGCCAACCACTCCCCCTCCTGCGCGGTATCTTCTGCGCCCGGAAACCCCACCTGCGGCTCGCCGCCCATCGGAGCTGGAAGCAGCATACGAGTACACGGATGTGCGTGTGCGGGATGTGATCACCGGTCGCCTGGTCCAAGGTCAATTGGTTGATGATGATTATCGTATCAACGAAGAGTCACATTCTGGCGGCACGACACCGGGAGCTGGCAGCAGCAGCCATGACAACACTGAGGCTATTCCTGATTTTATGGTTAATTCCATGGTCTCCAACGCCTCGTCGCAGCCTCCTGATCATGCGCTCGGTGGCTCCTTTGACGCAGTTGAGTCTGACGACGAAGCTAGTGTCTGCGGCGGCCATGTCGATGAAAGGACCATCACGCTGGTGGGTGAGGTGCGCGACCGATCCGTCTTCCTTGTCGATGACATGATTGACAAGAGCGGATCGTGGATCGCAGCTGCCGAGACTGTCGTCAAGCGTGGTGGGGCTAGCAAGGTTTACTGTATTGCCACCCACGGATTGTTCGGGGAGAACTCCTTGGATCAGATGGAAGCTTGTCGCTCAATCGACCACATTGTCGTGACCAACACTTTCCCGATCTCACCGTCGATGTTGCGGCGATCAAAAAAGTTGATTGTCATTGACATATCGAGTCTATTGGCAGAGAGCATCCGGAGGCACCATTATGGCGAAAGGTTTGTTTTCACCGACCCTGGTGTCGTGTGACCGTCCACTAACAACGAGCAGCGTCTCGGCTCTCTTCCACCTTAACGACTGATGAGGCATATGGCAGTAACGAGGAAAAATAACGAAACCAAGCAAAGACAAACCTAGATACTTCCTCTAGGGCGTCGATTTTGCGTACTGATGTGCAGGTTCCCCTGCAACCGTTGATGACATGATACCTATTTCCTATCAAATGAACGACCCGTTCTGGACCTTTCCCCCTTCCTCGTTCCCCGGCTGTCCTTCCCCTTTCCCCCTACCGTTCCCGGCCTCGTAAAGTGATCACATCACGACCCCTCAAACCAGCGATGCAGTCTACTCTGAGTTCTGCAGGAGCATCTCGTTTTCCACAAGGTGTTCTTAACGGAGCGTTGGCAGATTAAAACGGATCATGTTTTCTTACTTCATGCTGTGTTCTCTTCGGAGTCTATAGCATGGAGAAGTCACCCCTTTCTCAGTTCTTCGGAATGATTGACCTCGCGGTCGTGGAAGTGGTGCAAGAGGCGATCTCGAACATGATGTAATTCGATAGCAACAATTTGCAATTTATAATTTACACATTTGATATTTGACATTCGGCATTTGACCCTGTTCAATTATGCAAGCAAACTTCCCGTACGGAGTCGAGACAGTAGACATTTGGCCGAGGATTTCCTTTCCAATGATTGTTCCCGATTTTCTGGTCATGTTGACTTCATTTCCCGTCACACCGATGCGGTTGGCCGTGAATGATTCTGGAAGCCGGTTTGTGATTCGATCGTGGTCTGGTGATCGCCGAGCCCAGAGTGTGTCCACGGGAGTAGAGGTATCTACGGATGATACGGAGTACTCCGTACATGCTTCTAATATGGGAGTGTCGGTGTGCACGTTTCCATTGATCGACCGTGAGACAGTTAGATAGAGCAGAGTTCCCACTTTTTCAGGTGTTCCAGGTCACTTGGCGTGATCAATTGGTTCCAGGGTCTTCTAAGTATAGCGTATTCTCATCTCCCGAGCAGATCTCGAACGGCTATGGCTGGCCCAATTCGCAATCTTCAGCTGTGACAGATGAACCTAAGATCACTCAAGCATTCCTTGCACACCCATCGGAGGTGCAGTCTTTCTCCGTTGAATCCCTGCCCATGTCTCTTCGTATAGTTGAGTACCCCCCTTTTAAGTTGATAGTTGTAGAGAGGACTCGACCCTAGAAACTTACCGTTGTGTTACCCCAATTGTCTTTCTCTCGGTCCCTTTGGTACTCCGTACTCTGTACTCACTTAATACTCTTGTGCTCTTGTACAATCAGAAAAAGAACTGGAACTGCCCCATCCAGTCGCTGGAGAAGATCTTGGCTAGACTTGGTAGAATTCCCAAACAAACATGTGGATTGACGGATGTGACAGAGATCACAATCCTAAACGAGAGACTCAACAATTCCATTTTCTTTTCTTTTCTTTTTCTTTTTTTCCGCGCAGGGCTTTGCGGCTATTCAATAAGCAATTGGGCCATGCAAGCGCTAAACCGGCACCGCACTAATGCCGGGGGTCATGTCCCAAACGAATTTGTCACTTCATGTGACCAGCTGAGAGACAAATAGTTGAATGGGCAGGAATAGTTCTGAAACTGAAACTGAAATTGAAATAGCTGAAAGCTGAAATAGTACAAATGACAAGAGGAGCACTATGTGGATCTCTGTTCGGTCTAAGCGTCTCCGCAAAGTTGATGTATCAAAAGTTGATATTGGGACTTTCAGGGGGGTTTTCTTCAAAAGATAATGAGGTGAATGTCTAAAAAAAAAAAAAAAAAGATCTAATAAATATATATACTAGGATATAGTAGGATCTCATGCTCCAATCCGTGGATTATATACGAAATGACAACGATATATGCTACACCCTAATGTATACCCTACTAGAATATGCACTCGATCGGAACCGGATTGCTGGGATGCAAAGGTCCGATCGAAAGAGAGAAAAAAAGAAAAGAAAAGCAAAAAAGAAAAAAGTACGGAGTACTATACTCCACAACAATTAACTAAATAGAAACCTCCGATCTCAGTTTAATCCAACTCGTCGGGACGGGACATGTCTCTCGGTATACAATTCAGCTCCACTTCTGATTCTAGTCGGAATTATAGGATCATACTAGTCATTTCTATCATATTTTGGGTTTTACTGGGATTTCTGGGATTTCTGGGATTTCTTCACCTTCCAATTAGGTTAATTCCCCTTTATTCTTGATTTTTGATATTCCTAAAACGCTACATTTTAACTAAAAAAAAAAATTCCAACAATTCATTCGGGTCACTTCCGGTGCCCCCAGCTTTCTCGGGATCATCCTTTGGCATCGAGAAGCTCCCAATCATGTCTCCCCGATCTCTACCATCTCTGTGATCGAAGACTCCATTGTCTTTTTGTTAGACTAGGATCTACTAGGATCTACCTAGCCTCGCCTAAGTTTCTATGCAAGATACGATTTCGGTACATCTATTCATTGGATTTCTCTCTATACATAACACTTCTCTCTCGGCTTATTTCTTCACCTATTCTTTTAAATTTCTGTTTTCTTTTCTTTTTCCCTTCCTTTTTCTCAATGAGGAACTCAATTGATCCCGGTTACATGCGTCATCGGCTTTGTGCGTATTCCGGCTCTTTAGTTGTGGACTGGTTGCATCTGGGATTCCTCTCACCGTGATCTCTAGAAAGAAGTATATAATGATTGATTTGTCCTGGATTTTTGAGTCTCATCTTCTTCATCTTGACTTCATCGAGTTCCTCTTCCCCATTGACTCTTGAACTCTCTTCGAACTCTCTCAAACCCTCTTCTCCTCTTCCTATATCCTATTGGTTTCCTCAATCCAAGTGCTTGGAACCTTTCTCCGCTTTTCCCAGTGATCGACGCCAGTTCCCAGTCCCTCGGGTTTTGCTTACTATCTGTAAGTCTCAGCTTTGAACATTAAAGGAACCGCAATCTAACTATAACAGCTTTTCCAACTCTCTTGATATCAACATGGCCAACCAATGTTCCGGTCACGTCTTTGCCATTGTCCAGGCTACCAATGGCAACATCCTGACCTGGCGCTGCTCTGACTGCAACTCTGGACCCTTTGTGGCTATTTGGCGCTGCAAGATCTGTGGTCATTGTCGCTGCAATGCCTGCCACACCAATAAGGGATAGGCGAATTACGGTAAGATCCCGTGTTATGAACTCTATAAATTGAGTTATCTTCTATATTTTCCCTCCTTGCAAAAGGCTAACTTCCTCAAAGAGACATCTGCATTTGCTTTCTAGCATTTACGGGACTGATCTGCCACTCTGCATGAACCCTGTGCAAGGGTACATCCCACCCACCCAACCCCTTGGGGCTGGGTTTCGTTCAATCCACTTTCTTCGTGGCCTTTGGCGTGTGTTTCTGCATTTTGATGTGTTCCAAAAAGTCCCCAAAAAGTTTTTGATGCACTGCATCTCGCATCCGGAGGAGTTATACTTAGATTTTTTTTTCTCTCTTCTTTTCTTTCTCTGTTTTCTTATGGCCCAATTTGCATTCTACAGTTTGAATCTGGATTTCCTTAGGGAAAAATGTGACATTATTATAATTTTATACCATGGTCATGGTACAATTATGCATCTTACCCAACACCGCCTCCAGCACCTTGAGCGGGACTATGTTAGGCCAGTTACAGGATGTACTATGTAGGATCTCGTGAACCTTATCTATATGTAGGGTTATATGTAGGGTCCTATTTCCCCCATATTATAAAATGCAAAGTTCAAGGTTTCGTTTTCGGTATCAGGTCAGAGATCCAGCTGTGCCCTTGGGAAGGGAAAATAAGAAGAAATCCAAAGGTACTAAGAGTACTAAAAGTACTGAAATAGTACCAAAAGTACCAAAGTACCTGATATTCATTGCCAATAAACAAACTAGTCCATTCTTTTTCCGAGGAATCTTTTTCCGCCAGCTATTCAAGTGATAATGGGATGTATCTCTTTTAGCGGAATTGCGGTTCAGTGAACCCGGAACAAAAGCAAAAGATACTAAAGATCCCAAATATCGTAAATAAGAATAAATAGAAATAAATAGAGTCAAAATAGAGAGACTAAGGGTTCCCAGGCGGTTGGGTCAACCCTATTGCTTCTCCACTATGGGCCTTTTGGGAGATTTGCATTTTGCAGAAGTACGCTGTTTCTGTTTCGGGCTTCTATAGTATTTTGGGTGGAGGGGTCCCAACTGTGTACTCCGACATATTTCCTATTTTTCGTCTTTCTTTTTATTGAGGAGATTAATGAATATAATTTGCATTTATCTCTTATTATCCAAATAAAAACAGATCGAATTATGTGGAAATAAATGCAGATCTCCCTCACTTCCCCTTCAGTAGACTTAGGTGTAGATACTCTGTCCAACAATTAGCAACCTCATAGATATAAGAAAAATAAGGGAAATCAATCAATCTTACCTCTGTAATCTGATTCACAGCCAACCCAGGCTCTGCCATTTCAGCGTCGCGCAGGAAATCCAATGGCAACCAAACAAGGTGACCCTTAATGAGATCCAGCTTCTCACGCACATCCTTGGCCGGCATATACGGATCGAACAGATGTCCTTCCTTATGTGTGCCCCGTGGCCGGAAATTGTCATAGTCCTCAAAAGTCTTGATATGATCGTCAGGGTCCGCCCGGAACAACATCCGATACGCCTCGGTGTTCCCGCTTGCCTGAGACGTCCAGGTGTTCCAGACCCCATCGCTGAGTGGATCCATCACGAACTCGTTCTCCGGCCCCTCATCGATCTTGTTGAGAGACACATCGGGCGGTTGCGCGTTCGGATCACCTGAGGCATCGTATTCTTGCGCCCGCAGTAGGCCTAGGTGTTCGCGCCACAGTTGCCGTCGGAGCGTTGCGGCCAATCGGGATGCCCGGTACGGCTGCCCGTTCATTTGGCTGTCGATTAGGTCTTGGTCTTCCATTACGATGGCCAGTTCGCTATCGTGCGAGCCAAGCTGGGACTGTGGGGAAGATTGGACATCAGCTGATGATACAGACCAGAAAAATAGAAGTGAATGCGTCGGATGTGACGAGGGATAAGGTGCTGGTGTCTACTTACTCGATCGTTGATGTTGGCGCTGCCGCAAATGATCGTGCGATCATCGACGATACACACTTTGCCGTGCACGTACAGCTCCTCCTGGACGAAGTTGGCCTTTTCGGCCTCTGGGTCGCCCTCCCAGGTCTCGTCGGACATCTTACCCCCGTTCAACATGCTGCAATGCGATACGGAATCCTTGCTGTGGAAACCATCGTGGGCCTTTCTCTGCTCGACCTTATCTTGGAAATTCTGGAGCTTGCGCAGAGTTTCTTGCTTCGCACTTTGGTCGGCTGCGTAGTCCTTCTCGTTATCGTCGCCGTCTTTGCCCACCGCTGGGTGCACACTTTCACTCATGATGGTCTCTGCGATACCGCGCTGGATATCCTGGTATGTGACATCGGCTTGCTTCTCGAGCTCCTCGAGAACGGGCGTTTTGTTGATTCGATCATAAGCGCGCAGGGCGAACACGAAGACGTGTTCTGAATAAACTCGTTAGACATGCAACTGAAACTGAAGCGACCAAAAAAAAAAAAAAAAACACTTACCTCTTGGGTCAATACCCTCTTTCTCGATCTGCCCAAAGATCGAGTGCTCGCCGCGACAAATCGACTTGTACTGGTAGTCCATGATCGCCCGAGTACCCAACGCAGCATTGTCGCGCAAATCGCCGGCGAACCCGGGGATCGCGGGGATGACAATGATAACCCGGAACTTGCGGCCCTCTTTGCCTGCGCGCACGCAAGCTTCGACAATCGCTCGGCCGATCGTGTTGAAAACCGGGCGCTGTTGGTCGCCAGTGGCAGTGACTATAAAGGTTAGCAAAGTACACTACTAGAAGGAAAACGCGGACATACTGAAGAATTGGTTCTCAATGTACACATAGTGCTGGGCATTGCGGATAGTCTCGCAGTACGCGTTTTGGATACTGTGCTCGTTCAAAATACCGCTACTCCAGTCGTCACTACTACGCACGATTTGAGCGCGCACAGTTCCCACGTTACCGCGAGGCTTAGAAGATAGGGGTGTCAGTGGGTGCTGGATGTAGTCTCCGCAGGGGTACTTGGGTCGCTGCACGGCGATGATATCTTCTTCTTCGCCTGTGCGGCCCTCCATTAGCAGCCAATCGACATCGTGGCTGCGCTTGTATTTGTCGCGCTTGATGAAGTTCCAGCGCAGAACAAAGTGTTCGGCAATGTCATACACACAGTCGCCCTGCAAGCCCATGGCCACGTCGTGCCAGGGCATGCGGCCAAAGTCGACTTTGCTGACTTCGTTGCTCTGCCAGTCCTCTACGCTCTGGAAGTCCATGATCCGGTTGTTATTGAAGTCTTGTCCCGGGAAAATGTCATCCCGCAACCCTGCAGGGTGGACATCGGCCAGTGGGTGTTGGTTTGCATCCCATCGTCCGAAACAAAGATCAATGCCTCCGATAAAGCCCACATTGTAATCAATGACGATGAATTTCTCGTGGTGCGCCTTGGTTATTGTTAATTTTATCCCAACCAATAGATTTTATGCACATACCCAGTAAAGGGTCATATCAGCTGCGTTCTCGAAGACATTATGGTCGGGATGGCGCATAACTCGGATATTGCCATAGCCAGGAGTTCCCTCGGGGCAAAGATTCCGCAAGGCATGTTTAGTGTGGGCGGAATTACAAGTCAGGGCTTGGTTGACCTACAGATGAATTAGTGTAGTTCTTTTTTCTTGATACCAACAGGATAATGCCAACCTCTTTATAGACAATGATATAAATCTTGACACCTGCTTCCGCGCGCCGCTTCAAGACCTGATCCAATCGCCATTCCTGGTGCTCAACAGGAGGACGGCGCAAGAAGAGTTCTGGAGAGAGCCACCAGTCGGCGATGTAGATAGTCTCGGTGGCTTTCTCCAGAGCCTCGGAGACTGCCCACATGTAGTCCTTACCATCGACATACCACTTGACGCGATTACCATCGTGGACAGGTGCAAAAGATTTGAAGCGGTGTGAGTCTGCGATCTCGGAGCGCTTGCGGTCTGTCACTTGTTCGTGCTCCTCGTCATGGCGATGATTTGGGTTTATGATATTAAAGAACTTGCCAACTTTGGCCTTTAAATGTGTAGCATCAGCTTTAACATCATGGATATGGGTGTCTTAAGACAATCAGGTCAGTTTTTTTCCTGATAAAATGGGAGGGTGGGGGTTCTCAATCTGCCAACCTTTGAACGACCCCTCCAAATTATCAATTTTTTGTTCAAACTTCTCCTTGAATTTCCGCATGATTGGGGTTTCTTGGGGCAGATTTGGAGAAAATGGGGTGGGTGTTGGAAGGGAGGGGGAGGGGGAAGATCTGGAGATAATATTGGTTTCTAAATTAGTGACATCACAGCCCTACATAGGTACTCCATACGTGAACATATGATTTGTCTCTCTAATGCCAAGGAAAATGTTTCAAATGCCGATCAAAATCATCCATATGTAGGAGTGTCCTATTTTTACATGGGTTTGCCGTGTGGAGCTTTCTTATTTCCGTGGTTCCTAATATCGAACCACTCGCTTTTTTTCTTGGCAGAATGTAAATTTCATATTGAATTATGTAAAAGGGATAGGAAAATAGTAGTAAATATCAGATGGCAAAGATCTGTGGAGAGTCGATCATGTAGAATGTTTATCGGTGTTCTGGTGGAGATATATAGATGTGCTTACATATAACTAACTACGCAGTACCCGGGCAGCATTCATACATATGTATGAAGAGAAACAAAAGAAAGTGGCCAGTCAGTTCTGGAGATCTCTAAAGATATTATACATGGAAAAATTGTTCGGTGAGAACTATGCTTTTCACTAGATTCTACAGTACAGTCGTCAATCATTATCCTTCTTGCCATAGTAGTGAGGGAAAAAAAAAAAAAAGCCACCTCAAGGAGAACACTTCGAAATGACATTGTAGTGGTATCTCAGAGGTAGCACCTCTAATATCATCTCAAGGTACATGATATTCACATCTACTCCGTAACTATATAGTGGTGTGGACGTAGTTAGTTGATGTCGGAACCAATGATGTAATTGATTTGAAAGTTCCCAAGGATTCATCTGCGCCCACTTTGAGATCATTTAGTTGATATATAGATATTTATTCGTATAATATCTATAGATGTTGTCCAAGCTATTTATTGTTTTGGTCTTCCAGATATATAAGGCTCTATATAAGTCATTGTTGACAAGGTCATGTGATATGAACCACCTTTGAGCTCAATTTCAAAACATAGGCATATTTAGGACTATAACTTGTGTAAAACATTGAATATATTTGTGATAGAACACATATATACTCCTCTTATTCTCAATAAACCCAAGCCCATGTTAAAGCATTTGAACGTGAATCATTCCTCAGCCCATTGTTAAGAAGTTGTTGTTTGGCAGGAATGCTGACCGCCACCACGTGACTGGATGGGAAAAACAACGTTGTCAGAGGAACGGGCCCTTTTCTGTTTATCCTCCCTCGACTCACACAACGCGGCTAGCCTTTCAGAGCCCAAGGCTCGCCACAAGTCGTCAATTTTTGGTTAATGTTCTTGCATCGTTTTGGATTACATATTCTGTTTGTCGGGTGTGCCTGCCTAATTTTGGATTTGAATGGTCTTGTAAACGTTGCGAAACGAGACACACGACTGGCCATCGCCCTGGTTACCGGCTCCTCCACTTACTAACTCAAACGAAGCAGAGCATGATGCCACCAGAACTAGGTAAGTACAATGCAGGACCGAGAAAAAAAACTCTGCTGCAGGTCATTTGGTTCCTCATGCTAACGTGCTTGCAAGCCCGAGCTCACTCGCAGGGCAGTGCAGTGTCCCAGACAACACAGATCGCCCCTCAAAGCCGGCCAGGTACTGCAGACCCTGTGCGAGCACGGTCCGAGGCCCTCTCAAGGGCTAGCCGTCGTCCTCGGTCTAGAGGATCAACAGCAAGCATCCACTCGAGTACCACCCAGCAAACCCAAGACCAGCACCTCGACGGGTTCCCACAGTTTATGCCATCGCAAGTCGGAACGGGCCAGCATATGTTCAACAACCCGGAGGACATGCTTATGCGGTTTGGGCATCAGCTTTCACATCATAACGGTGCACCGCTGGATCAATCGATGCAAGACACCCACCCCGGGATGTCTCGAGCCGAAGACTTTCCAAATCATCCGATGCAGGGACACCCGCTTTCCCACCACCCTATACAGCCCGAAATTCCAAGCGGCTTGCCTGGTGTATCCGTTCCACAATATCAGCCAATGTATGATAGTGGTGTCGAGAACCACCTTCCGGACCACATCGTCGAGGATCAAGAAATCTCGGAGCCAGGGGCTAAAAAGAAAAGAGGAGCGAGCTCGACGGTGGCTAACGACAACGAGCTCCGAAAGCTGCTTCGCCAGTATGAGGGATGGAATCTCAAGCAAATGGCGGCTGAGGTTATGAAGAATGAGGGTGGTGGGGGCAAGGCTGAGAAAGTGAAGCAGGTCTTCGCGATGATCTGGTAAGGCACATTGCCGCAAATGCCCTGCAATAATTTGTCTAACTGTGAACAGGCTGAGAGAAAATTGCCGGAAGAGCAGTGGCTCAGTTCGTCGTGACCGGGTGTATTGCTGCTATGCAGAGAACTGTGGAACGGAACGCGTCTCAGTACTGAACCCTGCATCATTCGGAAAGTTGGTTCGCATCATCTTTCCCAATGTACAGACTCGGCGACTTGGAGTCCGAGGCGAGTCCAAGTATCACTACGTCGATTTGTCGGTCATTGAGGAAAAGCAACAAAAACTTGCGCCTCTCAACCCACAAATTGCCCATCATTCAAATGGCCCTGCTTCTATGCCCTCCAGGGCTGCCAGTGCGATGCGCTCGAGAAGGTAAGATATAACTGACATCAATCTTCGTTTGCTCTCACTGACGAATGACTAGTGCTAGCGTACAGCAACCGACTGCCGACACTGCCGTGTTTCCTTCACCCACAACCTCCTTTGCTCCTCGATTCCCGAACAATGCCTCTCCTGCCGACTGCAATTGCCAAGGCCACACCCCATCTGGGCCAGATGCAACGATCACCCGCGAGAATGTAGCCCAGCAGGCTGGGAAAATGATACACCAGATGCTTCAGTTCCCGATGGACGAGAACACCTTGGTTGATAATGATACCCTTCAACTTCCCGATATCCGTGCCTATTTACCTGCAAACACCGACTTGAAAGTTGCTGCAGCTCTTGCTGCCCTGTATCGCTCCCATTGCATTTCGGTCATCGACAGCTTCCGATATTGCAAGGAAAGAAACCTTATGAAATATTTCTCCGCTTTCCATGGAACATTGACTGTTCCCGTTCAAAAGTTGTTGACCCATCCCAACCTTGCTCCATGGATCAAGGAATGTGATTGGATGATGTACCAGAAGATGATTGCGTTTGTGGCGCCCCTAACAACTCAGGTGGTCCCCAAGCCAGTCCTAGACGCTTTCAACTCCATCTCACAACGGCTTTGTGGTCACATCGCTGAGACCTTTAAGACCCAACCAACCCATGTCTCCTTAGCACGCTTGATTCCTGCGCATATCTTTTGCAATCTCCTCAAGCATATGCTTGATGTGAACCAGGCTGCCAATGCCGCTGCCGCCTGGCTTTGCCACCCGGATAACCGAAACCAAATGTGGACCGACTTTAAGACTATGGTCAATCCTCGAGATATGATGACCAAGGCGAACATTCCAACGTGCGCTGAGCCAGCGACGGAGCAAATTCTCAAGCATGACATTCGTGCGCTCTTGACTCCATTGACTGATGCTGACCCCTCCGCAAGCTTGCTTTTCTTCACGCAACCTGATACTCCCGATTCTGTTGAAGCGCACAAGTTCCCTGTGGAAAGTGCTCCCGGAGACGAGTACAACTTCCCAGACAAATGGGTTCAGTTCATCCTCAACATCCCCGCTGCCTTTGCCAACCACCGCACGCAATGTGTCATTGAAAAGGTTGATGCCTTGTGGGATAGCGTGTTACACCGACTTACCCTGGCTGGGGCACCAAGCTTTAGTGCGTGGTGGATGACAAAAGTCTTCTTCCACGAGATGATGGTCTGGCAAGCAGAGAAGGGTGGGTTCATGCGCAACACCCCTGGATCACTGCAAAGTGCGACGTTTGGTCCCGAATCACTCGGCCACTTTCATATAAAACAAGCGTCTGTTCCCGAGACATCCCCTTTTGAAGCATCAAACGATTCCCAAGTCAAATCCAACCCGAGTCCTCCTGTGGCTCACAATGGCCACCAAAGCCACCCTCCCAGTCAGCATCCAGAGTTCAAACACCCTCCCAACGAGAAACGTCTCTCTCTTCAAGATCCGAGCTTCCAAGGCCATAACAATGACGACAGCGCGATTGACCTTGAGGATGATACCATGTTACTGGCAGTTGGCAAATACGGTGACATGATGGTCTCCGATCCCGCAGATGCCGAAGGTGATGTCGTCGTCATCTAGTCTAATTTTTGATTTCTGTTCATGAGTTGGAGTTGGATATCCCTTGTTTCTGGAGGCTTCTCTATTGGTTGTGGATGGCGTTCCCACGATTTTCCTTTGTTCTTTTCTTTTTCATCTCCTTTGTTTGCATGAAGCGATGAGACATGAGCAATGAGGCTCTCGAGTCTTCCTTGCAACCCCGGTACGCCGGGTGCTTTCTTTGGTCAGACCTACAGCATTTAATTGGCGTGGCGGAAATCAGTACTGACTTGGTTCTTGCTTCTCCTTTTCCTGTTTGTTTACTTTCGGGTCTCACATCGAGTCCCTATGTACATATTACTTGTGGACGTACCTTGATCATTGGGGCAATACTTTAATGTGCATGAATAACTGTTGCCACACACATTTCCATATAACCTTTAAGTTGATTGTATTCCCTGTCATGATTTTCCAAGTGTTTACTGCTTTTTCTGGCTCTTGGGATAGTGGGTGGTTTATGTAAATGCATATATTGTAGCCACAATGATTATTGGAATCTGGAAAATAGCCAGCCGAGACTAAAATTATATCATTGATCATTCTTTATTCATGGAGAAGTGATGTACTCTTACCTTCCTACATATTTTGTCTCCTCAAAGTCTCTAAAACTCGGCGAAAAAACTAATATTCAACTAATACACAAGGTCCAAGGTCCTGTATGAGCGGCAAATCTTTCATGAACTCCTACGAACTTCCACGAAGATTAGTAGCAGGCACATGGGTACATATGTTCAACAGGTTAATTTCCTGAGAGATGAGGATCAAGATCCTGAGCAAAAGAAGGGTCTTGTTTTGCAAATCGATGAATCCACTTAGAAATTTCTAGTTGTTCACATATTATCGACAACTCGTATACGGAGTATGCATGCCCTCAATGACGCCAAAGACATCCCGGAAAAGACAGACTTTGCAACATGTCGTGGGTCCAGAGGGTAGCAGTTGACGCTTCTATCTTTTCCTTTTTTCCCCCTTCCGGTTCAATCCGCAGGCACCTGGCTTTAACCACGTCAACTTTAGATTCGTTAATGCACATCGATCGGGGGAATTAATAATTGAAGCAGATTCTAACTTGCATGAATACATGTCCTGGGCTCAGAGGGAAATTGTTTGCTTTATAGTGTGTGGTAAGTGATCATGAATGTATGTAGTAACTAGGTATTTCATATAGGTACCACCCACCCACAGTTACGTACATTGTAGATTGCTTTATGCGCACAAGGCCTCATTGTGCAAGGGAATAATTGACTGCGATGTATGTACATCATCTTTCATGCATATGACGATCTCTTTCTGGTTTTATTCTCACCTCTTTAACATCCCGTTCTTTATTTCGTTCCTAGTTCAACTGTTTTTATAGTTTAGCTAATTTTTTTTTTTTATTACTCATAGATCGCTGGAGCACCTTAAAGTCAACAGAAGCTTAAAAGCTTATCTCATGGACCATTGATTCCTTTACACGTGCAGCCGTTAGCCCAGATAAGGTTAGTTTAGATTGCTTTATATACATATGTATGAAGACATCAGTATCAATGTGAGAGAACCAAGGGTGATATTTGCAATGATATAACAAAAAAATTACATCCAGTTATGGTCAAGTACAGTTCGCGGTAGATATGATGGATATATAAACACATGAAGAAGAATCGCTTCTACTCCGGACGACAAATACGTCAGGGGCTCACGTCCTGAGACACACAGTGTCTCATTCTCGAGATTGGCGCCCAAACCAAACGATCAACACAAGGTTTGAACGATGGACCCGGTGAAGCTGTGCCCGGCTCGCTCCCGACCCCCATGTTCGGGACCACCAATACTGGCGGATCCCGCCATGGCGGCATTGTCGCAAACCCAGAGTGCCCATCCCAAGCAGACACTTGGTAGATGAGGCATGCAAATATTAAGTTAGATGAAAATGTAAATAAAGATTCGCGCCCAAGTCGGTTTATGAGAATGCTTAGGTTTTGTCTTCTTTGGCCTCTTCTTTAGCCTCTTCTTTGGCCTCTTCTTTGGCCTCTTCTTTGGCCTCTTCTTTAGCCTCTTCTTTGGCCTCTTCTTTGGCCTCTTCTTTGGCCTCTTCTTTGGCCTCTTCTTTGGCCTCTTCTTTGGCCTCTTCTTCGGACTCTTCTTTGGCCTGTTCTTTGGCCTTTGGAGAGGAGTATCTCCATCGGTCCCAGTTCTCCAGTACCCACCAGTTGGTGACATAGGATGCGTGGTAAAGCCAGTTGAGAACTTCTTCATCATCATACTCCTCATTGACCGCGGCCGCTAGGTCGATAAGGCTGAAGCGCTCGATCGGGCTCAGCTCGTTCGGGTCCTTGGACACATCGGAGAAGCGCCATTCCACGTCGTTGACTAGTGGGATCACCAGGCGGAACTCGGGCCGGGCGGCGGAGCGAACAGATAGCCATGAACCACCGGTGTTCATGACTGTGAAATGCCAGGCTTCGCGTCCGTCCTGCTCGACGACCTGCGGTCGGATCAGGGATTGACCTTCGTACAGCGAGCGAATATCGCGGGCGGAACGTGTGCTGTCCTTGCTGAGAGATGCCGACTCGATCAACAAGTCGACGATGGTGGGGACGATCTGGGTGCTGATGACTGGGGTGTCGATCTGGACGGGAGGGAGTAGAGGGTGCGCAATCACGATCGGGACCTTGAAGCTGCCGACGTGGGGGTTGTCATAGGGAGTGATACCGCCGTCGTTAGGGAGGGAAAGGCCGTGATCTCCAGCCATGACGAACAGGGTCTCATTGGCAACTCCCTTCTCCTCCAGGATATCGATGAGATCCGAGAGCCAATCATCCACATAACCAACCGAGTTCAGGTATCGATTCATATCGTTGTTGGCACCGGATTTGGAGCCCATAATATCTTCATAGGCGTCATTCGGAACTCCCCACGGATGGTGAGTGGTACTCGTGAGGTGGGTGAGGAAGAGACGGTGGTGGTCACGTTCTGCATCATCGATGGCATCGCGGATGTACTCCCGAAGCTCAGATTCCGGATAGCCATAGTAGTTCACCTCGGCACTAGTGACTGGATAATGCTTGGCATCGGGCTTGATGATCGTCTCCTTGGTCTGTTTGTCACGGAATCCCAAGTGGGGAGTCAGTTTGTTTTGGTTGTCGTACATTTCGGTGACAGACATCATGAAGGTCGAATGCCACGGCCACTTGGTGAAGTCGTCGGTCTCGCTAGTGATATCCGGTTGCTGGCTTAGCATGTCGAAGACATGGGGCAGACATGGCTGGTAGATGTGGTGTTCGAATTCGCGGTTGAAATCGGCGACCATGGGGGTCACACCACAGAAACTTCCTGTCAAACTCTTGAGAGTATATGTGGAGGAGGTGATGGCATCCTTGGCGCTGATGCCACCATACGCCTTGCGGCCGTTGAAACGGGCATTGTCGTGCTCAAATCCATTAGGGAAATTGGTCAAAAACTCGGCAGTGCGGGTGAGGTTGGAAAGGCGGTCCACAACCTCTGGGGGGATCGTCTTGTTCTTCCATGTTTCCGCGATGCGCTTCCACATAAAACTGTCCTTTTGCAGGGGGAAGATATCGGCACGTGCACTTTCGAGTTTCAAGAAAACGACATGCTTGATCTTCACATCGCCGCTAGCCAATGCGTTGTGAATCTCCTCCAGCACGGGCTTGTGGAGGTTGGAGATGTGCAATGGGTCCTCTCGCGGGTTGTAGTGAAGCGCCAGGGGGTCAGCTTGATCCCAGTCCTCGAAACCGGCGATGGGTTCCTTTGACATCCAGCTCCAACGGGGTGCGGGGCCTAATGCAGTGACCCTATCCAAATACTCGAAACGGGCCGGTGCGCCAGTGGTATCGACGGGGGAGTGACGCTCCGCGCCTTCAACGACTGTAGTCAAGGGCAAGGTGGTGGACATGTACATATATACCGGTTCCCACGGTCGCATAAAGCGGAGGAAGAGGAAGAGACTGAACAATCCCAGGATGAGCGCCCGTTGGGGCACACCATCGGTAACTCGCTTGGACTCCGGGAGGCGGTTGGGTAGTTGTGCGGTATTCAACAGATGGTCCCCTTCTTCGTTATCACTGAAATCATCGTTGTCATCCATGGAGATCTGTTCGTAGATTCGAGGGTCGGGCAGGTCGGGGGCGGGGGATTTGGATCGCGGCCAGAAGCGCTGCACCAGGGGCTCCACGTGTGGTCGCACACGAGCAAACAACCATCGAACGGGCCAGGCCCAGACATGCAGGATTCCTCCCGTGATTGCATGAATGGAATGAGCAGCGAACAATGAGATTGTTAGGAGGATACCCTCGACAATCAAAAACCCGGTCAAACCGGTGAGCAGGGTATGAATGGCAGCGGCATCACCATTGAAGGATTTGGCTTGGCGCCAGTGGATCTCGGCACCGGTGAAAACGTAGAAGGAGGTATTGGCGGCAGCCATGAAGGAGACAAGTAAACTGTAACATATTTGATTAGAGATCAGATCAATATTAATTTCATTCAGATCAATTCAAATTCACTTGAAATTCATTGGAATCCGAAAAAAAATGTTGTTGGAAAAAGGGGGCACGTGGACACATACCTAGACGGGATAACCAAGATTGCCAGTAGGGCGGCCCCCGGTCGCCACGCGACCTTCTGGACGAGAATGCGAAATAGCAATAGAATCATCACATCTTGGAAAAAGAAGGTAAGACCCCATAGAAATAGACGGGGAAGAGGTAGGGAATATATATGAGCATAAAGATGAAGAAATTTGGCACTGAATAACGAAAGAAAAGCGAGGGTGAAAAAATAGCGACGGGAAAAGTCCCAGACGGCATCCAGGGTCTCACCAGGAGAGAGACGAACCCGCCGGATGCCGTGGCTTAAATAAGCATGAACAGCGTGAACGACTTTCATGATATATATATATGAATGAATGAAAATGTGTATATATACACTTCACACCCCCGACATTTAAAGAAAAGAAGAAGAAGGAGGAGGGAGAAGAAGGCCCCCAAGGGTCTTGGTGTAAGCCAAGTGGGATTTTGTGGAGACGATGACCGTGTTGATTTAGTGACCATTGAGGTACTCAGCTAATACCTAGGGACCATTTTCCGTTTCCCGAGGTCGATGTCTTGGATTAGTATTAATTTGTCTGATTTTTACTTATTAGTAGTGATCTCATTGGTGTTTTAATCTCTATTTACTCTACAAATACTACCCATTTAGTTACTTTACTTTATACGTACGAATACGATCCAGTCCGAGTTAAATGGCCCCCAAATATACTCCAACAGCCTTTCCCCCCTCCTTCCTCAAGCCCCTCAAGCCCCCCAAGCCTCCTCCAAGCCCCCAAAAGCCCGCCAAGAAAAGGCCCCGCTCTCCGGAATTGAAATGAAAATAAATCCGGTTTCTCCTTTCTCTCTTTGAATATGTGTGCATCATGTTAGGGAGCTTATTCGGTTGGATCTCGCTCCTCTTTGAGCCACTGGCCTTTCAAGTTCCTCTGATCGAACCTCAACCCAGACTCAAGGCAGAGAATGGTACAGCCATTCCCGTCCAGGGCGCCTGGCAAGATATCATCACCGGTCATTATGCGATCCCTCCTATATTGAAAATCCATGATCGGAACAGTGTTGTCAAATGGAGTTGGCAGCGAGAAGATGTCACTCAACCCATCCCACCTCTGATTCAGAGTGGTTTATATAGCGATTACAACGATGCGACCGATATGAAATGGATGCGAGGCGGTAAAAGCGTGGCTGCCGTCTACAGTGCCCTCATCGTCGTCATCAACCACACCCCCGATCAACCCTCCACCGATAAGAAAATCACATTTGCCCTCAACAGAGCAAATGATGTCCTAAACAATGCCCATACCATCGAGCCTTTGCCCGGTGATCGCCTGGCTGTCGGAACCACCGGACAGCGACCCTGGGACGGCATTTTGGTCTACAACATGAGCGAGACTCTTCCCCTCGTCGATGAACCTCCCGTATTGCAAAGGATTGAAGGTCTCCGGGCCATTCACGCCATGATTTGGGATGAGCAGGGTCAGATGTTGTGGGCGACCGGCACCGATGCCGCCGCCGATGGCTCCGATCCCGTTCCGGCCTACGGCGTCATTCAGGGATACCCCTTCGATGCCGAGACGGGCCTACTCGGTGTGGATGAAGCCTATCGATTCCGATTCCCGGAGTATTATGATATCGACATCGAATGGGGACATGGATACAGTTGGTGGTCCGGGCCCCATGATCTCGTCCCCGTCCCCAATGAACGAGTATTTCTCGTCTCCAACGATATCGGTCTCCACGCCTTCGATATCGATAAAATGAAATTTACCGCCGAATACGATGAAGTCATCGAGAGATATATGCCCGGATTCGAGGTCACCACCAACGATCGTCACGGGATCAACCGCCAGGGAGAATACGTGGAGTTGCCGCAGTCGGACCTCAAGGGTTTCAGTCTGGCCCCCGACGGAAGCTACCTATACACTCAGTCTCTATGGCGACTATACCGAGGGAACCATACCAGTCTCGTGGTCGATGGCGTGCGTCACCAGATCATGAAAGGGAATGAAATCTATCGGTCGCGATGGTTCGGAGACATCGATGGCTGGCCCAAACCAAAGACATAAAGAGTGCCTTTGGAGATGTGAACCAAGTTCAGTTGTACAGCACCTCGCCCTGGTGGGCTCCAATATACCTAAATCTTGATAATGAACATTCAAGCGATGGCACATTTTCGCCTTGTCATGCACCATGCCTCGTTGACCTACAATATCCGATCTCACCTCCCCGGTCTTGATTTCTCAAGCGCTACCCAAATTCCTTTTTTTTTTTTCTTTCCCGTTAGAATAGAGCTTGCTGACCCCGGGAGAGGCGTCTTATTACTTTTTCTTTGTGCTACAATAAATATTTAAATACCCGTGGAATCAGATATCTTCCGTTGACCCCTACCGAATCTGTCCATTTTGGGAAAGTTCAATTTAAAACACGCTACTCCGTATTCGTATTTAGTAGATTAGATTTATTTTCCGCTATGGCCCCGGCCCTAGTCAGCGTGACGCAAAATCTCCAAGCTGACTGAAATCCTAGCACGATAGCAGGTCGATTTGTTGTCAATTCCCAATAGGCTGATATGCCCTGGCCCCCTAGATTCTGTGTCTGTGCTCACATGTGCAGTTTGTAGCCTCAAGGCTCGGTTCCCCCAGATACTCCGTACGGGGTGGACTCCGTATTGGTCTAAAATTCAATATCTGGCCTCTTTCAAAACATGTTCCCTTTGGGGTTTAAATCCATTAACATAACGGAGGCTCTGAGACCTCTGTAACAAGCGATGTCGATCGCGACGCCCCAAAGGGCACGCGACCTTTTCCCTCTAATCGTACTCCGTACTCGGCTGCCTCGCGTACCCGTAGACCCGGTTACGAGCGACGAATCGGATAAGAGCGGAGAATTAGCCACTCGTCATTGCCAAGGCTAGGAACCTTGGAACAGGAACGGGTCTGAGTAAGAAATTTCACAGGATTTTATATATGAGTTATATCAGTTAGACAAAAACTAGAAAAACTTCATACATTAAATCGCGGTAAACTATACCTAGTGAGGTCGGAGACAGTTGATATAGAATCCGTAGTACCGTATCTGGGTACCAGTTACTCCGTACACTGCGTTAACAAGAAAACATGACCAGGGAGGAAAAACGAGATAAAATCAGATCTAGTGTGCATAAATGCCCGTGCTGATGTGACGGATCCTTTCTATTCATATCGATGATTCACGTGGCTGGAAAAATATAGGATTTTGTTTCATTTCTTAAAACAGCTATGACCTAAAGCCATATCCTGCCTCATCTCGTAAACGAAAGCAACGAGATGATACGGGGTGAAGAGCAGGTCCAGTCAAGTAAACTCGAATCGTTCCAGATCAGCAAACCCCTGACAATGCTCACGCATCAACAAGGTCCTGTCGCTCCCGGAATGGTGGGATCTCGGCTATCATCGCTGCATACGAGTAGACTGTGCTTTGCGAAGGCTCGTTTCCGTAAGCTATATGGGTAAGGGCCATCTTTTTGTGTGTCGGAGAGCCGATCCATGTGACTTCTGGCCTGCGTTTGCCCGCCCAATCGCAATTGAGTGCCTGGAGTGATGACTGTCCCACATTAGCTATTTGATCCTCCAACTAATCACTTTGATATTCTGTACTTACCTCTCCCTCTTCAGTCATCCAATCAGTGATAATGTGTGAATGTAGCTTGTCTCCAACGCGCACTAGAACTTGTTAGCAGACTGAGATTGTAGCTATTTGCACGTGCCAAAATCCTTTGGGGCCCTTGACTTGGCGTGAAAGAAGTATTTATGTCCAGCAGCGATCAATGATCATAGGGTGGATGCGAGTTTAGGGAGGAAACCCCGAATATTCCACTTCGGATGGGGTTGCTCACCTTGTCCTGTCTCAGATGGACCAGAGTCATCCTCTTCATCCTCTTCATAGTAATCCTCTTTACAGTCATCTTCCATAATCACCGGAACAACATCAATCTGTAAGCCAAGGGATTTAAAAACAGAATACAACACAAGGTCAGCACCCTTGAGTGCCCTCGGAAGTAGCATTGGAGCCTCATCGGATGTATGAGGATAAGCGTGAGAGCAATAGAACCCGAAAGCACCGCCTAGGGAGAGTTAGCTTGGTATCTTATGTTCATACAAGGGCATATAGCAAACACACCCTCTTTCATAAAGCCAGGTTCCATGACAAGTTCTTTCAAGAAGCTATGCAGCGACAAGCTCTTTGGGTCAACAACCAAGCTGGGCGGAATCGATCCCCCCACTGGCTCGGTTACATAGAGGTTGTATGTCAAGGTGATACGCTCGCCTTCCGTGATTGTCTCGATCTCGTGCTCACAGTCACTATAGAATGCTGCCCATTGAATCGCGGACGCACTCTGGTGACCCCAGTCAAACACAACCTGCTTTCCCTCGTGCCGAACGACCAAGTTGCCCCCTTTGAAATGAGAGGGTAAACAAACGACTAGCGAGCCGATCTGGCTCTGGGATTGCGGAGTGTCAACATGCTGCCGGAAAAGGCCAGATGGTCCCGAGTAAACCTATCGTTAACAGGCGCATTAATATTTGTTGCAGAAGAGATATTAGACTAGCATACATTCAGTTTGTATAACTCGGCACTCAGTTTCCGGAAGGGTAGAGAGTCTTGTGACACCGTGTTGAAGTTCGGAAGGAGAATTTGCTCCACATTTTGGAGGATTCCGAAGTCTGATGGGTGAAAGCTGGTGAGAAAATGTCGGGGCTCAAGCTTTCCAGCTTTTCGGTATTTAGGATCAATAACATCTTCCTGTCCCCTGCCAAAGCTAGCAGGATCGCAGTCTACTACTAATTGACGCAGATCATCGGATGCAGTTTTGGAGTCGGCATTTGAGTCGAGAGGTAGAGCCAACCCTCGTAAAATGTTGTCACCATCTGTACGCCAGCAGATCCTCACTGGCGGAGACACGGAGGCGGTTTGCGAGGATGTGGAACCAGCTGCAGACTTTGCATCAATGGGGACAAGACCTCCACAGACAAACGATGCAGATGCCCTTTTTCCGACGATGAATGCCTGCAGCTGACGACAAATTTCGTTGAATGCGAGCCTTGTCAACGATGGAGCCGTAGACTCAGAACCCCCCTTACCAGAGGTGGTGGTAGAAGAAGCCATGGTGGGTTAAAGGTTGGAAACACTAAGGGGTAGCAAGAGGAGAGATGAATGATTTGAAACCATATACTCGTCATGGTGCTGTCAGATGCTAGCTGCGGGTAGTATTTATAGACATTTTACATAACTTATGAAAAAGTCTAATATGTAGTAGACAAACATTGAAACTACAGTTACAACATACATACGTACATTATGTATCAACGGCTAACTATACATGGAAAAGTCGTTCTGCACATTTTAGGCCGTTTTTAACGCCTATACTTTAGCTACAACGCCAATAAGGGAGAATATATCTACCAAAAAGACATCACAAGGCAGGATTGGCGGTCGACTATTCTTGTGTATGTATGTAGGTATCAAATTCAGGCTGTGGCTTCCAAGTTTGTCGGGACAAACCTTGTTCTCTCTCCTCCCAATCATATTTAAGGGCCCACGCACCGGTGATACCTATTAAGCCCCTATAATAGAGCTCAGAATCTCGCCCGTTGCCTCCGTCACCGACTTGTTCATAGTTCTGGCAGTCCACCCGGATAACAGCACCAACTCAAAGAATCGACTGTCATGAGAGACGAGAATCTCGAAGACCTTCTCGCCTGATTTTCCTGGTCGTAACTTGGCCAGCTTTTTACCAGTAGCATCCTGCAACTCCATGTTCCTCCCCGTCAACATATCGAGTTTCCACTTCAATTGACCTGTGGCAGGTGACTCGAGAGTGAAGTTGCCTGACAATTCGTTTAAACGCATCTTTATTGGCTGGCCGTAAAATGCCAGGCATATTTTGGAAGACAGGCTTTGAAGTCGTGCATCGCCGATGATGTCCCAGGGACCCTCACCCCAGCCTCGAAATAATACCACGTTGGGAGCACTATATTTGGATGTAATCGAGTACATAGGCGGTGCCTCTGTTGGGTAGTCTGAAGGGTGAACCAAAATCTTTGCTGAGTCCCATGGCGCTGGTCGTAGCGAGAATGAGGCACAAGACTGTTGATTTGAAGGCTTGTAATTGGTAGAGAATGAAGAAAACAAAGCCATATGGTTCATTGTTGCAAATGAGCACTGATGCAGCGCTCTGAGACAGGAGTCGAAGTGTACAAAGACTAGGTGAAAATCAAGGCTCAAGAGTGTAGAAGAGTAGTTGTAGCTTTTTTTACAGTCAGTTTTCGATTGTTTTATACCCTTTGGAGTGTTTTTTTTAAGTTGTAATGATTGCCAGACTAGACATCTTGATCTATGGCTATCTTCTCCTATTTCCCAATCGGGCATGATAGCGCGCCGCATTACGGGATGTGGACTGTGCTCAGTATGGCTGTAACATATTTTGATTGGCTCATTTATACGAGGGCTCAGCTGCTTGCCAAGCACGCTATCTCTTTCACCTACATATGTTGTACTCCGTACTCGGCTTCACGGGCTTGGCTAGGGGCTGTGACAACGAGCCGATGACGTCACATTAATATGTCCTCGTCGCGCCATCCATCCCATTTGGGGATGATTCTACCTAGTATACACATTTTATATTTCATTCCTCTACCTTACACTAGGCCGAAGCAAACAAATGCAATATCGCCTAGTGACGCACAACTGACGGTACACATGCCTGGGGTTCCATCTAGTCGGGGCTGCGATGCGTGTCGCAAGGTGAAGAAGAAGGTTTGGGTCTTCCCAAAAGGCTAGCTTTTTGTATCTTATTAATTTAAAGACCAGTGTGATCAACTCAAACCCACATGTTCACGATGTGCGCGTCTGAAAATGACCTGTGTTGGGGGAGGACAGCAGCGGTACATGTTCAAGAATCAATCGCTCAAAGTGATGCAAACACAAAGCGGAGCAGAAAGTCAATCAGAGCCTCGATCATTTTTCTCTACTGGCAAAAGAGTTGTGTTTATTGGGGGACCGACACGGGTGCCCAGCACTGACACAAGTATAATGGCAGCAGCCTTTGTAGCAGCATTCCAGGTGACTGATATCCGATTTGCCGTGGCTTATTATGGACCTTTCCTACGGGATATTCCACGGAGATTGGGCAACAGCACCGTTCTAGATTCAGCCGTGAGAGCTTTATCAACCGCTTACCCGTTCCTTCACACGGGCTCTTACCCACCAAATGCACTCGTTCTCTATGGACAATCGCTGCGGGCACTGAGAGAATGCCTGAATAATCCAGTCGAGGCCCGGACTCCCAACACACTATGTGCTGTCTATTTGATCACCATCTGCCAGGTAAAGTTCCACTTGGTACGACCCAGTTGAGCTGTTTTGACCCCCCAAAAACGATATCTGTGAAATAGGAGCTGATTTGTCATAAGAGCTGGCTAGGAAAACATGATGATTCGCTCACTAGTCACAGCGAAGCTATCGCTCATCTCCTCAGGGCTGCTGCACTGCATGAGTGGAAAAGTACATTTGAGATGGAGATGGTCATTACACTTTGTGTGCCTATAGTATGTTTGGATTCCGATTACTTCCAACAACAAATTCAGCCAATGTCACGAGAAATTACTTATAAGCAATAACTTGAATAGATACTTGAAGGCATCGTCAATCCTCGCATCAAGATGGATTCGGAGTTTTGGGAACTGACCTCATCCTTCAAACGTCGTCTATCTGCCTCACGGGACAACAATCAGCCACAATCAACCACCGAGCTGCAACATCTCGCCATGTTTCCTAAATATGTCCAAAACCCCGAGCCACACCTTGCCGAAATTGCAAAGACATACATGCAACTGAGGCTCGATGCACAGCAAATAAAACAACATCTTGATCAATGTGCAGAAGCTGTTATTGTGTCTTTCTCATCCTCTGAAGTTGCGAGACATTGCCGTATTCAAGCAGCTTATGCCATACTATCTACGCTGGCTGTGCTATTGAACAGTCTTCTTCGAGTTTTTGATCCCTGGAACGCTTCCTTGGTGAGTGAAGCTGTCTTTCTCTGTGATGAGATTACAATCCAAGCCGAACTGGCATCTTGCTACCGGCCGGTTGGGGCAGGGTATATTCCTCTATGCTTAGTTGTTGCTTGGGCGGCATCGGATAATCTAGTCCAGTTGGCAAGAATAGAGGCGATCCTTTCTGAATACCAGTCTGATTTTGCGGACGTGCCATGGATGAGCCGTGCTATCTGGTTAGCCTTTACTTTGGATAGCCACCGCATACGAGTCATGTCTGGGAAAGAATTTCCAGAGTCCCCTTCGGGGGCTGTTTCTCTGGCTGATTCGGGAGGCAGTCGTGGTGCTGGTGCAAAAAAGGCCTCAGTGCGCCCAGAGTCTTGCTGCATTCTCTAGGCTCAAAGATACGAGGGAAGACAAGAAGAAAGAATGACTTGATCTATTGCATACTTCGTTTGTTTGTCTCTGATAATGTTCATTCTGTTTTTCCATGTACCCCAAAACAGAACCCGAACCCACCACCACCATTTTTGATACTACTCTATTAGAGCTAATCCAGGAGGATTCAGCATTTCATTTAGTGATCGAGTGTAACACTCCGCTTGGAATACTTTTGTACATGACGATTTGGGCTTGAAAGCTTCCCGAATCACGTCGAATGACCCATGTTTTGTTGTTGGCATGAAAAAGATACAGACAATAGGCATTTAAATAGAGCAGTCACCAAACAACAAACATGCCCCAAGGTTACCTACCATTTGGCAACTGAATTGGAGTGGTCGACGCAATTCATACTTTGGGTATATGCTGGCTAAATAGAACAATGTTCACCAATACAAATTATCCAAAGAGTGCATATATTAGATGGTACATCTGCGATGAGACGAAAGAAAGAATAGAAAAGAATATAAAAGAACAAAAGAAAAAGAAAAAGAGCCCATGAGAACCCACTGTTCCCCACATTGTTAATAACTATCGCCAGCGGAGCCAATGCTCTCGACTCGAATACCCAACTGGCTCATCTTCTTGATCTCGATGATGCATCGCCCATCGAATAACCATTTTGGTGTTGCCATGTTATCCGCAATTCTCTCCCAGTCAACCTGCTTCTTGGGTAGGTTGTCGCCGGGTTTGCCCACAGAAGGCTCGCTACCATTTTCTCTCTGGCAGTCTGGGCAATCTGCGGCACAATTAGGCTCAATATGAAGTTTCTCTTGAGCATATGCGACATATAGTGGATTAATCATATCACCTGTCTCAGAAATGGCTTCTTGCTGCGAGGACCCGTGCATGTCTTGGCTCAAGGGTAGATGTCTTGGTGGGAGGTTTGAAGGACGAGGAACGGCATCCGATTCAGTATTCCGGAACTCATCAAACTCAGTGACAATGAGTATCGCGTTAGATGAAGCACATGCCTTATAGACATCGGAGTAGACTTTCACCGCGCCACCATCATCTCTGAGAGCGGGAGGTCCGTATCCGTGTAGCTGGCGGATCTCGCTCTCGATGACATAGGGATTGCAGCAAGGGTCAAATATTGCGATTTCTCCGGGGTTTTCATCAAGCAAGGTCTTGATTATCTCAAGGGCGGGTGCTTCTCGGGTATCCGATGTGTTCTTCTTGAAGGCATATCCCAGTAGAGTGATCTTCTTGCCAACCAGAGTATTGTTCAGGCACTTGATGACACGACTGGTAAATCGGTTGCGCTGGTATTCATTCATGATCACCACCTGGCGCCAATACGTTCCGACCTCTTTAAGGCCCAAGGACTCAGCAAGGTATACAAGACTGAGGACATCCTTTTTGAAACAGCTACCCCCGAACCCAATGCCTGCGCGGAGAAATTTGTCACCAACTCGGGAGTCCATCCCAATCGACGCCGAGACTTCATTAATCTCAGCCCCTGTAGCCTCGCAGATTGCCGAAATACTGTTGATGCTGCTAAGTCGTTGGGCTAACATGGAATTGGCCACGAGCTTCGCCAACTCCGATGACCATATGTTGGTAGTGATGATGCGGGCACGTTCAACCCAGCCAGCATAGACTCCAGCTAGTGTCTCCGCTGCAGCTTTTCCTCCTTCTGTCGTTGTAGAACCTATGATAACTCGGTCCGGGTGTAACAAATCGTGAATTGCAGTCCCCGCCGCGAGGAACTCAGGGTTGGATAAAATTTCGAAGTGCCCACCGGGCCGACGTACAGCAATCTATGTGGATACAAAGTGTGAGTATGTTTTCATGATCAGATGGTATGGTATGACTTACCATCTCCTGGATCATTTGGGCTGTTTTGCAAGGGACTGTGGACTTCTCCACAATAATCGATCCGTTCCTTGCGTGCTGCACAACATCCGCAGCGACAGCCTCAAAAGCTGTCATGTCTGTTGCACTCCCTGCACCTGATCCTCGCATTTTGGTCGGAGTGTTAACCGCAATTATGACAATATCCGACTCTCGGATACATTTTGAAACGTTCGCGGAGAAAAACAAGTTTGGTGTCCGAGAGGACGCACTTCTTCCCTCTTGTTGTCTTTCGTGCGCTTCGTGTGCTTTATGCTCTTCAAACATGTGTGCAGTTCCCTCTGGTTTGGCTGACATAGGTGGAGTGAGATAATTGCAGAGTCCATCTCGTGCAATCCGAACGATTTCAGCAAGGCCGGGCTCGTAAATAGGTAGATGTCGGGAGTTCCACCTTCGAATGCGTCGCTCGTCTTTGTCGGCAACGGTGACTCGGATATGTGGGTTTCTGAATGCAATGACAGCAGCAGTTGGGCCTCCTGTTGGTTATTAGTCTGTAGGTCACGCGAGAGAATATTAGAATTATGCATCCGCGTCGCGTACCAACATAGCCTGCGCCAACGAAGCAAATATTTCGGATTGGCCTTGCGCCAACTGGGGTGTCTGAATCACTATCATCCCCCACAGTGGTTCTCGTACCACTCGACTCTACGTCGAGTCCATCCGTGCTGCCATTCAGGCTTTGCTCCGGAGTTGTCGGCACACTTGATAGTGAAACGGTTGCTTGAAAGTCAAATTCATGATCAATAGGCAAAGACATAGCTATCAAGTTGGAATCCTATGGAGTTGGATTTCATGCGCTCAAAGAGAGCTCGGGTGGTATGTTTCACAAAGGCAAACAAATGTAAATTGCATAAGACTTCACCCGGATACATGCCTACTTATGGCTTATTTTCGGTTTTTTTAAATGCCGAGGAAATACTTGCCTGTCAGAGTAAATCATCACTGTAGGAGAGTATTCAATACCTACCTAGGGTACCTAATCCTGCGTGGAGTATTTCGCATTAGGATACTTGAGCATCGAAGACCCACTTAAGGGATATGACCCATACAACACATCTAAAGCTTAAAACCCCTTTGGTAATCTTGAATTTACATCTGCCATAGAGAATCGTGCATGTAGCCATGCGGTCGAACACGTGCCTTTGCATCGCAATACATACGCAATCAACCTTATCAATGAGACCAAATAGAACCAACCATCTATGGTATTCCATGCAACTGAAATTGGGAAGTGGCACACATTTCCTCATTTCCTCACTATATAGATGACTGAGCCTAAATTTCTGGTTGGAGCGAAGGTGACGCCATTTCTTCCGATTCCAGCTGCATATTGCAGATTTCTCCTCTGGATAGGCATGCAAATCTGATCTACCTAGGTTACCTACGTACGTATGTAGGTAAGATGCCTATACTTGAGTTCCGTAAACCAATTCCAAACAATATTTATTCATTGCTAAGCAATTCCTAAGTCATTTTATTACCAGTACATTTTCCCTAGCACATCGAGAATAAGAAAGATCATCCTAAATCACTTGGCACCTGCAGCCCGCAAACGAATCCAAAGTCTTCAATTGTACATATGCTTCAGGTCAATACGCTCTTAATAGTATCCATGGATGTCTGGATTTTGGGTCTTTTATTTTTTATCTTTTTGACTTCCAAATTAACCGGAAAACGGCCAATCCCTTTGTAATGTATTATGTATACGCTGAAGTAAAAGTACGTATATTCATGAATGTTTTTTTAGGCGAAATTATCAGGATCCTCAGCCCTATCTACAAATGTATGTATTCACCTCTTGTAGGTCTTGGTTTGTGTTTTCTCTTGATCCTTCTTTCTCCTAAGCTTAATTAGATCGTTCTTTTGAAATCTAATATCAACATCATACCATTTTCCAATCTCTGAGTTCTTTCGTGTACCGTATGTTAAATTGTCGTATCATGACACTTTTGCTAGGTCACTTGTGCCCAGGGGCGGGTAACGACCTGCCACAATTGGCTCAACCACTCCAAATCCACAATGGTCTGAGAGCCTCCACGTGCATCAAAGAGAGGCCTAGGAGGTTTTCCTAGGTTTGCCTTTGCCAGAGCACTATTTTCTACCAAAGATGCTACAATTACAATTACAATTACAATACCTAATACCTTTGGACTTAAAATGAGGGGCAATCTTACCATGTCTGGGGATCGCAGTGATGATCTGAAAGGAGAAATGGTCATTTTTGATGCCTGAGGATGCCTGAGGATGCCTGAGGAACCGGGCACCATGCCAATTTGAAACTCGGCCTAATGGCCCCTGCTTCCCCTACTTCCCGCTAACCATATAGATAGAGCTCAGCGGTTAGCCAGCGTTTAGAAAGAGGTTCATGAGGGATCGTGTACTCCGATAAGTCCTTCTCCCTTCTCTCCCTTCCTTTCTCTTCCCGTCCACTCTGCTGCACAGTGAATGCACTGTTTCACTCCAGGTCTCTCACTGATTCCCTAGAGTACTTGCATGATACTTGGAAGCCACTCTATCTCGTGTACGTGCTTGTCACGTCTGGGAGTAGCAATGACGTCTACCAGCCCTCCTACGCTGACCACAATCTTTACACCACCACCATCATGTACTACCGACACTTGGATGATTGAGAACCTGTCAGGTACAGATTATTACACGACAACTGTCACGACAGGCCTCACTGGCTGGTGGCTGAACCTTGGCCCGACGGACTGGAGTACTTGCTTCCCTTCGGGCTATGCACAGGCGACTGACTTTTACTACTCTCCTGGTATTTGTCCCTCGGGCTATTGGACTGCCTTCCAATCGGCCTATACTTCTAGTGGCGAGGCTGCTGAAACCCATGCCACATGCTGTCTAATGTGAGTGCAAGCATGCTTGATCATTCTTATGGATTTATGGACTTGTATTAACTTTATATTCTCCGCCCAGTAACTACAGCGTCCAGACCCGAAGCAATCTGCTTTGGTTTACCACGAACCAATGTACCTCCCGACATACCGAGCTGAGCGTTTGGACCTACACTCAAGGGGGAGTGGTTTCTAGCTTGACGACCACAGCGGATGGTATCAACGCCAAGGGGGTCTCTATTCGCTGGCGTGCCTCGGACCTTATTACCGTTACTACGACGAGCTCATCGCAAATCACAACTAGCACAGGGATACGTGGTCTCACAACAACACCAACACCAACATCGACACCCCAGGAAACACATTCGTCCAGCAGCGGGCTTTCGACAGGAGCCAAAGCAGGCATCGGCGTCGGTGTAGCTGTTGGCGCTCTTCTCATATTCGCGGTGATAGTTCTGATATGGATGTTGCGCCGGAAGGGCAAGAAAGATGATCCTTCTTCCGACAGCATAGAGCCTACATACCGCAACAGATATATGCCGCCCACAGAACTTGAAGATAATGGAGCAGCGTACGGGTACACGGAAGCCAAGCACGGCGACTCAAGCAAGCACTCAAGCAAGCCAAAGCCACTTCATGAGCTCGACTCAAAACACATTGCTGCGGAGCTGCCCGCGCAATGATGTAGTTAATCGCTAGTTTTCAAGGTTTTCAATACGGGTCATCTAATACGTTTTGTCCTGAGGAAGTCTCGCAACTGTCGGCTTCTAGCTGCAAAAGATTATCTCTCCTTTCTTTCCCTTCTGTTGACCACTTCTTTCCGGTTGAGGGAAAGAGCTCTCTATTGTTCATTATATTTTGATACCCCTACTGTCTCCAGACTCACTTCGCGTTTGACTTTCTGCTGATTGTCTGACGGTTTCTTTTTGATTACCTTTCAAAAGCCTGAATAAATATATATTATGATATAATAAATGCAAAATCAGCGCGATTGCCTTGCCATCATCCGAATGATACTACTGTCAAGTGTCAAGTATCAAGTGTCCTAGAATATTGAAGCTTATTGTCAATCATATTCCTAGAGCTGTTCATGAACGACACAACGGAAAATCAAACGTAGAACACCATTCTTAAACATTTTGCTTTCAACCAAACTACCTCCGACGGGGCGGGTGTTTCAGTTTCGATAACTCAAAACTCAATCGAATCTCCAAACCTTCAGCCCTATGAGATCGATCTATCTGTCAACATCATATCTCCATTGATAACCCCCTTACCTGCAATCCCTGATGTCCTCAAGGCCGACCCAAAAGATTTCGTCACAAAGATATATCTCGGAACAAACCTATTGACCAAAAGTATTTATGGGCTATTCCATTTGTATCGATGAAAAGACTTATCTCAATCACTTGTGGTATAGGCTATAGTTTCAACAGTATGATCGGTCAATCTTAGAAGGGGGTTGGGGGGTCCAATCCATGAAAGAAAAAAAGCAAATTTCCAACGCCTTGATTGATGGGCGAAAATGGGTCGTCGCTCATGGCTACCCGATCATATCCGACGAGGGCGTACGCGCTGCTGGTGCATGGGTGGATGTTGATGGCCAGTGGCTAACATGGAGAGAGCTATGTCAATCATTCGAACACGACATTTCGGGGCGAAATAGTAACATTGAACTGCAATCTGGCGTTGAGGCTGGATTATTGTATTTTTGTTTTCATTGGGTCATGATGTGCTGTATTAACCATCATAGTCCTATACACCTCAACTGGCTGTATTAAGTCCGAGATTGATCGTGTTCGGAGTTCACATATTATACATGGTACGTGTTCACTTTCTTAACAATCTGAACGTTCATATTTACAAGCATCCCAACAGAAAATTCCCACGAATAACCCAAAATAACATAGAATATCAATCACTTGGAAAAGCCGCCAACTCCTGCTATTCAGGGGATCAAGCTGCGCCGTCATATTTCTGTCGTCCTTTCATAGATTTCCATTGAACAAGTCCAGCACCAATAAAAGATAGTAGTGCGGCAGCAACAGACACGTAGAATGTCTGGATGACGGCAATGTTATAGGCGTGTAGGACGGAGGGCAGCATATCTTTGGGCACGCGTTGGGATAAATTTGCAGCCCCGGCTTTTATTAATGCGCTTGGGCTGACATTGGGAGCATATGCCTTAATGCTGGCCACAAGGCGATTCTCAAAAACGGTTTGTGCAATCGAAATAAACATTGCACCACTGAGGCTCTGTGCAAATGTGATGATGGCAATTCCGATCGGTATGTCCTGTAATGGCAGTACAGTCTGAAGTGCGTTGATGCATTGCTGAAAGCCAAGTCCTGCTCCAATTCCAATAATGACTTGGTATCCAATCCACTGCGGATGTCCGCTATTCACTTTGAAAGTTGTACACAGCCCAGAGCCAATCGCGAGAAACGCGCTTCCAACGAACATGAGTGGTGTATAGTATCCAACGATATTCACCAGTAGTCCTGCTAAAGCAGAGAATACAATCATAGCCACCACCATTGGAAGATTGTTGACTCCGGATTCTGATGCAGAATTCTCCTTGACTGCTTGAAACCAGATAGGGAGCTTGGAAACTTGTTAGCAATGAAGCTGAGAGGATGGCATTCAGAACCCACATAGTATCCAAAGACAAAAAAGGAACCACCTAGGAATGTAGCGTGAATCACTGCCCCAAGCACATTTCGATTCTTAAGTAAACGAGGCGGTACTGTAGCGTCGTCCTGCTTCCAGACCTGGATAATACACCATGCAACACTGAATACGCCAAACAGAACAAATAGGGCAATTATTCGAGCATTGCTCCAGCTGTATTTGGTGCCCCCCCATTGCAGGCACAATAGAAGGGAGACGATCGCGGGGATGAATGCAAGTACACCAAGGGGATCCATTCGCTTTAGCTGCCCAAGACGGCTTATTTTGGGTTTTTGTGATGTGGAATCCTCGAAGAAGAGTAAAATGACAAGGCCAGTGAGGACACCGAAAGGTAGATTTATCCAAAAGCACCATCTCCAACTGACATGATCAGTTAAGAGCCCCCCTAGCCTATTGTAAAATTAGCCACCAGTCTATGCGATTAAAATAGCGAGACTTACAGTGGTCCTGTGATTGTCGCAATTCCACTAGTGCTACCAATAATCCCGAAATAGAGGGCACGCCGGTGAAGGGGCACACTATTCGCGAGCACGAGTAGAGCACCCGGCGACAATCCTCCAGATCCGATGCCGGCAATTGCTCGACCAAGAATTAATCCCTTCGATGTTGGTGTCACTGCACATATTAGAGACCCAAGTTCAAATAAGCCGAGAGCAATCATGTATGTCCACTTTGTCGAATAATATGTGTATACCTTGCCAAATGGCAGGGTGACGGCACATGTGGTTAAAAGATAAGCGCTGGCATACCATGATAGGTCGCCTAGTGAGTTAAATTGTTCAGTGATCTTGGGAACGGCGGTTGAGAGGATTGTGTTGTCCTGGTAAGTCGTCTACGTTAGCCCAAGAAATAGTAACAATAACTTGAAGCTTACCAAGGCGATACAAAAAGATTGAAAGCAAAGTCCTATCAAAATCGGAGCAAGCTTCGAGCTCGGTGGATAGACTTGCTTTTCTTCTTCATCATCACTCTCCTCGGTTCCAGTCTCTTTCAATGGGATGTCATCTCGATTTGTGTAGACTTGATCCCCAAAATCTCTCATGCTTGAACTGCCTGCCATGAAACAGCAAGTTAAACTCCCCAGTTGTTGTTGAAACTGTGAGAACTCATAAAAATGCGCTTGGTCGAATCATCTGCGCTCAGCTGAAGGGTGTTTGAAATAGGCAAGGTAGAAACCGCTACATTAAATCTAAGTGTGGATGTACAGTACTTTTCTTGTAGGACCTATGTACGTACATTATTACAGCCGGATGTAACCCGATAAAGCAAGGGGTTTATATCTTGATTTATGCTCGGGGTCTTTCAATTTCCCCTAATCACATTCTTGCTGCGTTGATTGGTATGCAGTACTTTTTCCCTGATAAGATGCTTGCTAGACCTAACCAGCATCTGTATTTTTGTCCAAAGGATATCGGTCATGCTCTCAAAGTATCAATTCTCTAATTGAATAATTAATCTAATGATAAGGGTGTATCATTTTATATCGTTAGTTACTCGAAGTCGATCAATCCCGACGTGATGAATCTCGAGACCCTGCATTCCAGTGAGACTGTAACCTCGCTAAACACAGAGACTATGATGGCTAGATACTTTTAGTAATAAATAGCTTCGAAGCCTATCCAAGATTCTGGCGGTTTTCCAGACAAGATCGAAGGTACTGAGTTTCGGTCCTTGTACTCCGCTAAGAATAGTTCATCCCAGAACTACACAAAACTTTGTTTTCCAATTTACATGAAGACTATGTATACTCATACTGTCAATTTAATCACGACATCGCTTTTCTAAACCATGTTTCTACGTACCTACTCATCGAAATCAATGTGCCACCTTTGTATAACAAACTGACTCGCACAAAGGCTTGTGTGCGTTTTATTATTGTCAAAATACAACGATTTTCTCATAGGGCCCACCAATAATCATTATAACCGGGCTAGTACTCATATACGAGGTTGTATATTTATGAAGTGTAAAGTGGTCATTGGAGGCGGAAAAAAAGTGGGTAGCCACAAGGCTACGACAGCACTCATTAAAGTACTCGACTAGTAGTTTGAGCACGCCTCGCAAACTACCCTTATAAACTATACACTTGTATACTAGAAATCCAGCATTGGGAGGACTATCTGGTTTTTATGGGTTTGAAACATTCTAGTGATCTGATTTTGGTGCGAAGAAACCACAAGACTGTCCTTAGCAAATACATACGGGGCTCCGCAACAACAAATTTCTCAAGCCTCATTTCGAAGGGATAGATAGAAGGGGCACCAGGGTAACTGGTTTTTGGTGCCAGCAGATCTTCTAGGAATCCTGATCCATCAACGATGTAAGTAGATGAGTGAATATTATTCCGAGGAATGCACGTGAGCTGATCTCCAACTTTATTCTTCTACAGGTTCTATTATTACACAATCAAAATCTGGAGCTCACAGCTCGGAAGCATATTGGGCCTGTTTATATTGTTTTCCGGTCTGTTTGTGATCACAGCATCGGTGCTCGCGGACTTGAGGCCTAAATTAGGATCTTTTTCTTTTTGTGCGAGTTTGATGAATGTTTGCCTGCGATGGTACGGATAGAAGACATTATGACGAGTTTTATGGCAATGAAAGTCGAAGTGTCAGTGGTGGTGTAGCGCAAGTGCAGTAACCGAGACTTGACGGGTTGTGATTTGCGAACTATTAAGCTTTGTGGGCGATATTTGGAGGGGCCGTGCATGATAGAGTATGTAAATACGGAGTAAATGTTGAACAACCCGAATCTCTATTGGTAGAACATGTTGCCTATAAAAGCACAAAGACGAATACATGGTTCTCTTGGCCTAGTTCGGGGCACTCGAAACCCCAGTAATGACATGCCAGATTGGGAACCCGACACCGGTACTCTGTAGTAATCTCCTAGCCCATGAAATGCGAAATACGGAAACACGCGCTGGGGGCTGGAGCGCCCCGAAAGGCAGTCATCGGCTGTGATCTGCACCCCATGTCCTAAAATTCTTTGAGTCAAGCCAAATGACTGAAGTGGCGGACGCAAGGGCATCGTTCTAGAAAAGCATGATCGGGAGGGTATCTGTATATCGAGGTACTCCATATGCAGCAGGGCTGTATATATTGTAGAAGTGGGTTGCAGCCGGAACTGCCTGACTAGGCAGGTTTCATTGCTCCCAGGATGCGGCCCCATATGTTTTATGGAGAGCGGAGTAGTGGAGAGAGCAAAACAGAGACGCGCAACATGGTAAACCGTCTAAAGTGCCAGATCTTTTCTTTTTACCTTTCCCTTTTCCCTTTCCCCCTCTTTTCCCCTCTAAAATAGATCTCGGCGAAAAAAACACTTGACGAAATAATATAAAGCAACCTAGAGCATACGGAGTACTTCGTAAAGAAAAAAGAAAGTTCCCCCGGTGCCCATGCGGAAGTGTTCCACTTTGTAGGAACAAGAGGCTGAAAGATATTTCTGGACGCCAAGCTATAGACTGTTCACTACATCATATATTGTATTTCTCCTTTGCCACTGCTACCACAATTTCCTGTTTTCCCGTGTACAGAGTACGCAGTACCGCATCGGAGGATGGTAAGACACATGAGACTCCCACAAACCAAGACCCTCTCGCTCATGTGAACACCGCCTAGGTGGCCCTGCGCCCGGGGATGATCAGAGGGTCCTGTTAAGCAAATAACAAGCTATTATTGGCACTTAGTGGCGTACATTGGCATTGGATTTCCTAAGAGTTTCCACTTGCAAACTGAAATCTGACAGGCGGAAAAGTGATCGGCAGTCTCTGATCCTGCACAAGCCCAAAACACCCACTAACTGAATCTGGAGAAGCCGAGGGATTGCCCCGATGAATTTGTATTTGCCTAGGTGAGATGGGTGCACGGGTATTGATTATTGGCTTATCTCGCGTGGGCACTCCAGATGTCCAAAGACGGGGAAATGTATTGGGTTGACCTCTAATGTCCGTGCAAATTGTTATAAACTTGGAGGTGATGGGAATAGCTAATCTACATTGAGCCTGCTCGCTCGCATGGGTTGATTTGGGAAAATAGTGGGCCATAAGCATTAATTACTTTTTAAATCACATTATTATGTGTTTGTACAACGTATGTTGTAGCGGAGGGCAAGAAATTCTCCAGGCCCCCTGGTCCAGAGAGGTCAAGGCCCCCCTGGAGGCTTTTTTAAAACCGGCCGAGTTCCCCGCGTTGATCGTTCTTTTCGTTTTTATATTCTTCATTTTATATTATTTTGGCTGCTTCGGCCTATATATTGGCAGATTCAAAGTACATAGGTTACCGTTGAACCACACCATTATGCGGACCAGGCGGTTCTTGGGCCTTAACGGCACCAAGGTTCAGATCGTTATCGGTTTTCTAGCCGGTATGGACTTTCTGCTGTTCGGTTATGATCAAGGTGTGACCGGCGGCTTGCTGACACTCGACTCTTTCGTCAAATACTTCCCCGAAATCAATACTCTAGATTCATATACCGAGCACTGGAGCCAGTCAGCAAGGAGCAACCAGTCAACACGACAAGGTATCACAGTCGCAGCGTACAACCTTGGATGTTTCGCAGGCTCGATTCCCACAATTTGGATCGGTAACATTTTGGGTCGTCGAAAGGCTATCTTTCTCGGTTCTTTTATTATGTGTATCGGTGCCATTCTTCAGTGCACATCTTATGGGCTTGCTCAGCTTGTCATCGGTCGATTGGTCACTGGGTTCGGTTAGTATGAGCGAGTTACATGAGAGAGCAATTCATTAATACAAATCGCAGGCAACGGAATCAACACCTCCACGGTCCCTACTTGGCAGTCAGGTAAGCCAAAATTAAGCCAATTCCGCCTCACTGTTCCGATTCACCTCCCGCCGCTATATCTCGATGATTGCAAGTGATGGACTGGTGAGATTGGCACTGAACATTGAAAGTAATCTAACATCAAGTAGAATGCTGCAAATCTCATCGACGAGGTCAGATGGTCATGATCGAAGGGGCCATGATCACATGCGGTATAACCATCAGTTACTGGATTAACTTCGGATTGATGTTCGCAGACCCAAATGAAGTCGCTTGGAGATTCCCGCTAGCGTTCCAAATCTTCTTCGCCGCGATTATTCTGGTCTTCGTAATGTTCCTCCCCGAGTCACCCCGTTGGCTTATCCTTAAGGGTCGCGAGGAAGAAGCAAAGGAGGTCCTGGCATGCTTGATGGGTGATGAGACTGATGAATTGTTCATCGACACCGAATTCACCGCTATCAAGGCCACTGTTCTCGAAATGGCAACGGGATCATTCCGGGATATGTTCACAATGGGCGAGGACCGTCATTTCCACCGCACCATGTTGGCATATGTCAACCAAATGTTCCAGCAGATCTCCGGCATCAACTTGATCACCTACTATATTCCCACTCTTCTGGAACAACAGGTCGGACTGGATGCCACAACTTCACGTCTTATCTCTGCATGTAACGGAACAGAATATTTTATCGCCTCCTGGATAGCCGTGTTCACCGTTGAAAAGTTTGGCCGTCGAACACTCATGCTCTTCGGTGCTGTGGGAATGTCGATCTCAATGGCAGTTCTTGCCATCGCTGACAGCATTTCCTCAAGCCACAAAAAGACTCCTATAGGTGTCAAGGCGGGTGTGGCTCAGACAGTATTTTTGTTCGTGTTCAACACCTTTTTTGCCATCGGCTGGCTTGGGATGACTTGGTTGTATCCAGCCGAGATTGTCCCACTGAAGATTCGTGCACCGGCCAATGCATTGTCTACTTCTTCCAATTGGATTTGGAACTTCATGGTTGTCATGATTACCCCAGTTGCTTTTGAAAGCATTGGTTACAAGACCTACGTAATTTTCGCTGTGATGTAAGTCCTTTTTATCCCCTTATCGCTATGGGTTGTACTGACTAGCCTCAGAAATGCCGCAATCGTGCCTGTCGTCTATTTCTTCTTCCCTGAGACTACTATGCGTTCACTGGAAGAGATGGACCGTATATTCCGCAAAACCACTAGCGTATTCAATGTGGTATCGCTCGCTCACACTGAGCCCCACATGTATGGTCCCAATGGTGAACTCTTGCGTACGCTAGATGATGTCGAGGATGATGCTGTCCGTCGTGCCAGCTTCCTAAACAAGGAGAGTAAGGCTCAGCACCAGAGCCACACTCAACACGCAGAACAATACAGTGACGAACACGCTAGCGAGGAGAGATAACCTCGGTCTGTTGTTTTGGTCGATGTTATCATCTCTAGGCATCTAGTATAACTTCACTATTCCAACTTATACTAGGTTATTTCTTTGTACCCATCTCTCGATCTACCCCGATACCCTTTGTCAGACTAGACGTTTTTCATTCTTCTGTGATTCTTGAAATCACTTTGCACATAATATTTCTCCGAAATTCCAGCTCCATTGAATGACACCACCTGACATCGGTTTGTGCGATCTTGAGTGCTGTTCTCAAATTAGATACCCACTTATAGATTATATCGAATCAAGGCGAGTGCGACATCACTAGCGTCAATATTTTGTCCGTTGGATATGATATTTATACTGTGAACTATGAACATCAAATGTCTCAGTTCATTTATTCGTAATATCCATGGATATATTGGTGGCCGCCCATGTGTTACTGCGTTGTTTGGGGAGCCATCATCCACCGTTGATTTAAACCACCTCTTCATGGGTTGCACTGCTGGTCTCCGTCTTAGCACCAAGCTCCTTGCGGCGTTCAATCTCTTCTCCAAAAATATCTCCGATCTCGTGAGTGCGCCATGGCTTGATATCAGTTTCGAAGACGAGGTCGATCTCTTCGAGAGACCGGCCCACAGTCTCAGGATACGTGAAGAACACGTGGAAAGTCATGACAGTGCAGAATACCCCGAAGATAATATAGGTCTTCCACTGAATGTTGTGAAAGGCTGGTGCTACAAAGTAAGCCAGAGCAAAATTGAAAATCCAGTTGGTGGCGGCCGACAAGCCGACGCCCTTCGCTCGATACTTGAGCGGGAAAACCTCGGCGGCATAAATCCATGCAGTCGGAGCCTATAAACGTTAGATGGGGTCGGATATAAATAGAATTGAATACAGCATACCCAAGTCAGGCCGTAGATGCCGGTGAAGATATATGAAAAGGCGATGACTGTCATTCCTGCACTGCCCTTGATCTCCCACGTCAAATTGGCATTGCCATTGACATTTGGAACTGGATTGCCTTTGCTGGCCATGACACCAGCAATGATGAAGTGCACAACCATGCAGGTGACAGATCCGATAAGCAGTAGGTTTCTCCGTCCAACGCGATCGATGAAGGGAAGCATAGCGCCTGTAGTCACCAAGAAGATGACATACTGAATAGCGGAGGACCACAGTGTTGTGTTCCCGGTCTGTAATGGACGGTCAGCAAAACTGCTCGAGTAGTTTTTCTTTCTTTTTTTTTTTAGGAGAAATTTACCATGCCAGCCATTTCGAAAATGTAAACCACATAATACATGGCAACATTACCGCCCAGAAGTTGCTGCCACATTTGAACACTCATCCCGCACATCGTGCGCTTCCAAACACGAGGTCCAAACAATGCCAAGAATGAGACATCTTGAGATTCATGCGCCACACGCACAGCCTCCTGGACTTCTTCGAATGCTACCTGTACAACTGGGTCATGGCGATCACCATTGGCGTGAATAATTGCCAATGTGTCCAATGCTTCTTCCCAACGCTCTTGTGAGGCGAGCCAGCGAGGCGACTCGGGGAAGAAGAACAAAGCGATGAACAGGATGAGGCCTGGCACGGCCTGTACACCCCAGCAAATCCGAAAAGCAGCCGTTCCAGACACGCCAACAACACAGCCATATGCGATCAAGTACATGATCAAAATACCCCATTCGATTGCCCACTGTTGAATACCCACCACACGACCACGGATACGAGCGGGCGCCAGTTCTGATAAGTAGACGCATGTTTGCGAGGAGGTCACACCAACTGCAAGTCCACTGACAACACGGCCGGCGACCAAATGCGTTACATTTTGTGCACTGCATTGAACCATGGCACCGACGATCCAAACAAGCGAGGCAATCATCAATGCATAGCGACGACCAAGAATATCTGATAACCAACCGGCTGCAATGGAACCGGCGAAGGAACCAGCGGACATTGATGCTGTGATCTATTGTGGAATGTTAGCACGTAAATCAAAATGGGAGACTGAGATCACGTACTCCGCCTTGGAGGTTGGAGTCTGGCGAGCCGAAGTAATCTGTATATGTATCAACGCCAATCCAGGCGCTCATCGAGCTATAGCTTGTATTAGTCTCCATGTTATCATATTTGGGGGAAGAGATGTTGAATGTAGACACCTGACATCGAAGCCGAAAAGAGCGCCTCCAATAGTACCGAAGGCGGCAAGAACTGTGGAATGTTAGCGTCACGAACACACACTTAACAGCCAGACCACAGATACCGTAAATGTTCGTTATAGTATACATGATTGTAGTTGGACCATGAAGGTTGTCGGTCGAAGCCTTGGGCTTGCGGGAAGGCGTTTTATAAGTAAAGTAGTGGCAGATCGACAGGTCAATGCACGATTCGGCATATTGACTCGGGCTACGCGATGTTGCATGGTATGACTCCGGGACCGGGGGTGACCCTGGAGCGGGAAAGATTAGCGGGAATGAATTGCGGAGGAGCGAGGAGAAACCCGGGGCACAAAAGTCGGGGGGTGGACACGGCGTCATTGGCGGGCCTGTAGTTCAGCGAAGAACCAGTCGGGGCATTCGATGTGCCCCCAAGGATATTAACCGAGATGTTATTTATCCGCGGGATTATCGCCGGTCTTGTATGACTCCCAGCCAAATCTTCCACACGGATAATTGGGCCATATCATTCCGAGACGGTTTGCTTTTTGCCTATTATCATGATTCCTTCTCTTCCCCAATGTTCCAAAGACGAGCTCGGCCCGTTTCTCGCAACGGATCGGCATACCGACGTCATTTATTTTCCCCCCCCCAGACAAACCTGTAGAAAATTGGGGTTGGGCTTCGCGACCGATAAAGCTGAGGTCTAGCCCATCTGTCTTAGCAAGACGAGCTCCGAGACATTCTTGAAACTGTAAGTGACCGCTAGATCTGGCTGTGTGGCGGCCAGTTGAGAAACAAAAGAGCAAAAGTCAGCGGGTAGAAAAGAGGAGAGAGAGTGGGGGGAATGTTGTGAATTCCATCAAAATCAGCTCCAAACATGGAGTACTCCAGTCGACGAAATTCAAATTCTTAATGTCCTATTTGCTCGAGGCTTTTTTTATTCGAAGGCTTCATATTAACGGGGTGAGCACGGAGTACTCCGTATCGGATGTCATTTATGGGCCCATTTGTTTTAACTTGTTGCAAATACGCTCAATATGGCCTGGATTTTCTTCCCGTGAAGAGGTTCCTTTGCTAACATCATGCAAGTGCCCATTAAATTAACTTGCCGAATATGTATGCCACTATCTGTGAGATGGTTGTGCTCTGAAGCAATCGGATCATAACATTATATGCTCTTTGGCTCGCAAGCCCTTTAATCTGCACCGAAGAGCCTGCATGAGCTCATCCTATATATGTACTCTGTAGCATGCGTATTGCTGGCGAAGGTCGGGTAAAACTTTTTTTTATAGAGCTGTATCGGACTATTGCCTTTTCGATGCTCCCCCTGGCTTGACCCCCGGCTAATTTTTTTTTTCGTCTTTCTCTTTTCACTTACATTCAGCTGCTTTCAAGGTTAATATCACTTCTTGAATCTTTCGGTGGTGCCTCACTGGCGCCTAGGATCATTCAGACTGGTATTGACTGGGCTGTATAGTTCACCAGGGTCTTCGCACTTTCATGACATCTCTATCTATCCAATACGCTCACCCTTGAGGTCTCCTGTTGCAATATCTCCAAGCTGTCGACAAATCAATGGTCTGCGCTCCGAAACCACATTGTCATCACCCCGTGATGGCCCTAATCTTAGCACATATGTACTCGACAGGAGGCAGTACCTAGGGTTTGACAGAACGCTTCAATTCTCGAGAGAGCGCGATAAGTCACAAATAATCACCTTCCGCCAAGATTGTGAGATGCCGGAACACGGGCTCCATGGACTTTAAATAGTTGGGATATGAAAGCTCAGCAATGGGCTCTTCAGCACGGCAAGTCCGATCTGGACCATTCGTGTCGCAACCTGCCGCTCCACAATATCATCACGGTCTAGATGAACTGCGGAAGCAAGGTTCACCAGAGAATATGTAACTTGATCCAAATGATCCAAACACAGTAGGGTTAGAATACAATCATTGGCCATTCTATGAGATCTAGGTATATAGCTAATCTCTCTATGGTCTATACTTCAAACCAAAAAGGCGTAAAAAATACATCAGAAGAACACGTATATCGCAAAACCAAAAGATTTACAGCTTGCTCTTGGCCGGCTCATTCTTGAGCAATGCCGAATTCCATGGGTAAGGGTCAAACACCAAGTCGTTAACAGGGTTCTCCTCGCTTGCGCGGCGGAACAAATCCTCGTACACCTTGCCGTCATAGCGACCCAGGCTGCTGTCCAGCTGCCAGTCCGGAATCGCCCAGGCATCGACCAATCGGACAGCGTGCGGGCGAATCTCGTCGAGTAGCTTTAATACCGCAGTAGTGCGAGTCAGGGTGATTTGTCGCACAGTCACCGCACCGGAAGAGAAGAACTCGGCCGCTTCGCGCTCCAGAGTGTGCAGCGAGAAGAGTCTGAATAATTGGTGCATGAGGCCCTTGGTCTCTGGATCCAAGGCCGCTGAGAGTTGAGGAGAGGAAACCGCCTCGTAGAAGTTCTTCACCATCAGGTATTGAGAGTGAGCCGTAGACAAGCGCCAGAAGTCAACTAAAAGGCTATTCCAGGAGCGCTGCTCAGCATCCCGATGCTTCAGAGCCTCGAAAGTTAGATGGGCCGTGCGCCATGCAAAGGCAGCCACAATGTCCTTGTCTTCATCGAGCACATCGAATGAAGCTCCCTTGTCGCGTCGGTCGAGGTATGTTTGGAGGATCTGGCTAGTGTCGTTACCAGCCGGCTTGCCAGCCAGGACGGCACGGGCAGATTTAAGAAGCTGTTGATACTGTTAGCCTCAAGTGAATAGAATGGAAGATAAGAACGGCGACATACATAACGTGCAACTTGCTGGGTCAACATATAGTTATCGCCTTCCCAGGTCAGTGTGGGCAGATAGTCCGCGTAGGCCGGTCCAATGCCGCTGTAGCTGCTGTATCCATGACCACCACATGCGCGGCGGCAGACCTCCAGACCCTCACCAGCAGTGGTACTGGCCAGAGCTTTGAGACCACATGAGGTGGCATGCAGATCCGCCAGGAGGTTCGCACCGGCGCGGAGCTGCTCAGGTCCAGCGCCCCGCGACTCTTGGTCGGGCGAACTGGCTGCCTTCATGCGGCTTTGATTCTCCTCATACAGACGCATCATGCCGCGGCCGGTGAAATGAAGGGCATACATGGATGCCAAAAGCGGGAGCAAGCGCACCTGGACCATCTTATAGTTCAGTACCTGGGTCTCACCCGCGTGTGGATCCGCATCGCGATCCTGGAACTGCCTCCGAACCGCACAGTACCGGGTCGCAATAGTCACACCGCGAGCCAGAACACCACCGGCATCCAGAACGATGTTGGAGCGCACCCAGGTCATAGTACCAAAGACAAGAGATGGCATAGCAGGCTTGGCATAGTGGTTCGTCTCTTTGTCGACCTGACAGAAGCGGGCCAGCATGTTGACATGGGGGATCTTGACATTGTTGAACAGCAGGAAACCATTATCCATAGTGCTAAAGTAGTCATTAGTCCTGATGCCAGGCAAAGAGTAATCATGGACTTACTTGTAGCCAAACTTGGGGCCAATATCGCCGACATATACATTATCCAATGGCTGATGGGTTTCGAGGTCACGGACCTGCACGACGAATGGGTGAGGACCGTAGTTTTTGCCATCAATAAAGAGCTGAGCCATAACCACAGCGTGATTGGCCGTGCGACCGAGAGATCCAATCCACCACTTCGAGGCAGTCAATGTTGGGGAGTTGATGGTGAATGTCTTATCGTTGGAGTTCCAGGTGGCGGTGGTTTCCAGACCGCGCACGTTCGATCCGTGGCCCAATTCTGTTTGTGCATAGCAACCGATGATCTCGTATTTTTCTGCGCGTTCGAGGAACAGTTTGTGCTGCTCGGGGGTGCCTTGTTCCCGGAGAGTCACCTAGATAAACGATCAAAGCGGTCAGGAGGATTCTTGCCGGGGGATGCAATCTACTTACCAGGAACATGCTGGCGTGCAAACCATACGGAGTAGGTTCACCGATCAAATCATTAGCCGCATGGAGCTCTGTCATTGACCATTTGTGCTCTTCCGCGAGCTGCTGGAGGCGCTTGGCCTTGCCTAGCGACCGCTGGAGCCGCTCTACGCGGCCCAAAGTATGATTTTGAGACTTGTCAAATACTTTTTCGGGTTGCAAAAGAGCTAAGAGGGATGCTCGTCTCTCCAAGGTTTCCTTTGTGTGCAGCAACTCGGATAATCTTTCGACATCGACATTCGATTGAGCACGCTCCTGCTGGAGGAGCTCAGATCCTTGCGGACCTGAAGGCTTCAGGGCCTTAACCCAATTAGGAGGAGGTGTTGGCATTGTTGGAAAAAAGAAGGATATATCGGTATAGAAGAAAGAAAGAATGGGGAAAGATGGGGTTATGAACCCCAGAAAGAAGGAGGATTCCAAGCAAGGGCCGAGGGTCTCAATTGGGAAAGAGCCTCGGCTTAAATGATACTGACCAATCAGGAAAGCGCAATGCCCAGGTGGATCCCGGGGAACATTTCCATTTCCCGACCTCGGGAGGGTCAACTCCCTTTACACCTGTTAGAACCCCCCCCCCCCCTTTGACTTATGGAAGCCACAAATTTATACACAATTACTAACTATGGTTGATTCCGCAAGAGTCACCCCGCACATTCTACTCATTTTGATATGGGGAAGCGGGGAGAAAATACACACTTTTGGCGGCTTTCATGGGTTTAACCAATCCCGAGATCAGCCCGATTATCGGGTCTCAGAATGATGAGATCATCGGTGTGAACACTCTACGGTGTACTTCGTACGGTTCCTGGGGAATGACCTCGGTTTGAAGATGTTTTGCCCTTAGGTTGACACTTGAATATCCTAACGTCCACGGGTGTTACAAACTATAAGTCATGTGGTCAATTTTTCAATCAGGGCACAAAAAAAAGGAGTCGCTCACGTGAAACGGAATACACCCTTGCATACGGGATGTGCGAAAACTCCGAGATAAATAATCGGATCTGATAACAAAGAAGTTCCCGAATCATTCTCACATGTCAACATGTGAGAGTTTTTTTTTTGATCTATTCATTGCGTCTGACCTTGGACACCCGCGGCAATCCCAGCCACGTGATTAGAATCGCACCGGACAGGGCAATGATAAATGGCTGTAATACTTTCACCCCCTTGGCTTGTGCAAGCACACCGACCGCAAAAGGGAGAATTGCGGCCCCGCTACCTCCAAAGGCAGCGACAAACCCTATTGAGGTGACATGCAGGTGCCGAGGAAGAAGCTTGGTAACCATTACAACTGCTCCGGGGAAAAGGGGGCCGAGAAAGAAGCCTTGCAAAGACACTGCCACGGCCGACGCATAGAACTGGGGCACAAGCCATAGAACCAAAGCAAACCCCATGGAGAAAACTATATAGACCTGGTGAAAATCAGTCTCGTTCTCTCATAAGACAGCGCGATGCTCACCGAAATTGCGACTTTCTCGCCGACCCGGGGCGTCACAAACCCCAAAATTACCCGTCCAACCGTGATACCCAACCAGAACCCAGTGGCCGTCATACCGCTAGCAAAAGCACTACCTTGCCGGACTCGGATCATAAAAGTAACAATCCACCCTCCCAGCGCGACCTCTACTCCAACGTATCCCAGCAAGAACAATGCGCAGAGCCAGGTTACCCGGGCAGCTGGGCGCTTGAAGAGTGCATCTCTCAAGCCGCCTTTTTTGTTCTCGTCTGCTGATGGTACCTTGGATGCGCGGAAATCGGCGGCGGTTGATGTCCAGAAGCATGCGCCAGAGACCACCAATTCGATGGCCGCACATCCGATCTAACTTATTAAATCGTGGTCAAATATCTGCGAGGAACCTTCAGCACTTACCATGACGTAATAAAAGTAATACCACGGCAGACCACCCTTGGCAATCATTGACGTTGCGACCAACGGACTCATAACTGCACCGGCCCCATAGATCCCATGCAACACTCCCAACACCTCATTTGCATTGGCCATGTTACCAATCCATGCATTCCATGCAGCATCCTCTAGGCCATTTCCCAACCCTGCGAAGATGAAGGCGACCACTAGTACCGGATACGGTGGATGAACGCAGTTGATAACATAGGCAATGAGATGGCACGCTGGCCCGATAATGGCCACACCACGTTGACCTAGCGTATAGTGGATGCGGTGATTGAGAAAAGCGGCGACTGTATAGCCTACTAGAGGTGACAAAAAAACCAGAGACACGATCGTGTACGATAGATGGTAGTATGATTCCAGCTGTATGCTGGATGAGAGAGATTCTCGTCAATTGTAGGGGAGAGTCATCTTACATATGGAATTAGAGCCTGCGAATAGTCAGCAGATATCTCGCAACATCGGAATCAAACTGGTCCTTTGGGGCCATATCAACTTACACCATAGGCTGCGTCATTCGCACCCATGACCAGGAATGACCAGAACGTCGCAAAGGTTCGATGAATATTGACGCGAGGCTGGTTCCATTTCTCTAACAGCGGAAAGCTTTCAGGGCCCAAAGGTGAACCTGTATCTGGCTGGCCATGAGGCAAAGCCTCAAGAGCGATAAGACTCGCATCGCGCGATTTTTGAATCACACAGGTCGTTGCCATAGCGTGTGATTCAGTGTTGTGTGATGTTTGTAAGCAGAACAATAAACAGCAATGACAGTCCAAAAACAACATCTTCCTTGGCGCGGTGGTTCAACCCACATTGCCGGATTGAGATGAGGGGATGGTGACGTCCCCCGCATTGTTTCGGCAGAACTTCGGGTGAGGATGATAGTTGTCCCTGAAGGGTTACCAGACGCCATTCCCACTTCTTTTTGTTCGGACAATTCTTGCGCTTGTTATATATATATGCGGTAAAAAGTCATGCAAGAGACACTGTTTTGGTGGATGAACTCCAATGAGTTGTTGTGAAGGGCGGAGTACTCGTGTCCAAAACACTCCGTGATTAGAGCTCTGAGAATTTGATTTTCGATCGACATATAATGTCTGTGGTCGTTTTGAGACCCTGTCGAATAATTCTTAAATAAATTTGACTCAATGACTTCCATGCATTGGATTTATCCTCACGAAGAACAAAGCATTAGGTCGTTGAGCCATCTCGTGAATTCTATATATATTTTACCACTAACACTTCATGAAAGACCCTCCCAATACGAACTCGCGCCACATTTGGATTCTACGGACGTTGTTTTTCCACCAATCAGAATATATTCATTTACATATAAACAACCTGGGCAACCCAATGGTGCGGTGAACTCAGAATATTCTAATAGCAATGAGTTACAATAACCCCATCATCCCGGGGTTCAATCCCGACCCATCGATTGTTCGTGTCGATAAAGACTTTTTCTTGGTCACCTCCACCTTTGAATACTTCCCTGGAGTTCCCATTTACCACAGTCAGGATTTGATCCAATGGACATTGATCGGTCATGCGTTGACACGACCCAGTCAGCTTCAAATTCATACGCCAGAACCGGGAGGAGGCGTGTGGGCAACCACAATTCGTTACCATGGGGGGTTTTACTATATCATCGCTGCGAGCTTTCAGCGTTATCGTCCTCAACAGGACGACCGAGTGTGGCCACAGGGATTTTATGTCAAAACGACCGATATATGGAATGAGAAGACATGGTCTGATCCAGTCTATTTTGATCAAGTTGGGTTTGACCAAGATGTGAGTTTTAACCAATGGTACCACCGCCTGTATAGATTACGATAATGATAGTTGAATACTACAGCTCTTTTGGGATGACGATGAAACCGTATATTTATCATCCACCTACAGAAAGATTCAGCCGACTACTGGTGTTAAGCTGAAAGACTTTGCGATTCATATATGTACTGTTGATCTGGCTACCGGGAACTCTACGTCAGCACCTAAATTGATCCGGGAATCTTCTTCTGGTGTTGCCGAGGGATCACATATTTTCAAACGCGATCGTTATTGGTATTTGTTCACAGCAGAAGGCGGTACTGAAAGTGGGCATAGTGAATGGGTGAACCGCAGTGAGTTCGGTCCATTGGGACCATGGGAACTTGGGCCAAATAACCCTCTCTGGCGCAACGGGGTTGAAGACGAAGTACAAAACACCGGACATGCCGATCTGGTTGAGGACACCAAAGGGCAATGGTGGGCAGTGGTCCTCGGTGTCCGTCCTACAAGACAGGGAGATACGTGGGAAGACTCAGTGCTAGGTATGGTGTCTCAAAGTAGTGGTTGGTTATTATACTAACCTGCCTAGGCCGAGAGACATTTCTAGTCCCCTTGGAATGGAAAGACGACTGGCCTGTGATTAACGGAGGCCAGAAAATCAGTCTCAACTCCCATGGACCTGGTCTTTATGCATTTCATACCCCGGTCTTCTGGAGAGATGAATTTTCGGACCCGCAAATGAAAGTTGGATGGTATCGAAAAAGTGAGTATCGAAGAACGAACCTGCATGGGGCCCATCTGACCAGAAAATAGACACGCCCTTTGTGACTGACTACTCACTTACTCAGCGTCCCAATTACCTTCGTCTCCATGGCGGGCCGTATAACCTGTCAGTGCCGGCAAGTCCAACTATGTTCCTTCGTAAGCAAACCCACCACCTCTGCCGGTGGGAAACAAGGCTCTCCTTTCAGCCGACGGTAGACGAAACCGAGGCTGGCACTGTGGTGTGGTTAAATTATTTTACATATAGCAGCATCGGTATTAGGAAAGATAGTAAGGGCCGTTTCATCCGTTTTCGACCATCAGAGGGCGACATCATGGAGCATAGATTGGATACAAAATCCGCTGTCACTCTCACAGTTGACTGTGGCATAGAGTATCGATTTGGGTATCGTGAAGGCACAGAATCTGATATCCACTGGATTGGGTCAGTTTCTAACAGTGCTGCTACGGCAGCACCTCCAGTTGGGGCCAACTTTACTGGCATGATGTTGGGTCTATATGCATTTGGAGAGCGCCAGCGATGCCTGGCCCCAGCCGATTTTGCGTATGCAGAGTTTAGATAAGTAAATGATGTTTCTGTCCACGAGTGCTGGTGTCGTTAGCTACATATATTTGGAAAGCTTTGAAATGCCCAGAACGTTGATATATCTTCAAGCACTTCATCTGCCTTGGACATCTACTTTGTATGCGGATCCATTTCGGCTGTCGTAGCGGATCCACTTTTGTGACCGGCCGGAACCTCATCTCTTAACTCCGTGAGCAACTCCGATCGCCAAGCAATCTGATTGGATTCTTCCTCGACTGGCGTGGGGTGGCGGCCTCCATCTTCAAAACTGTTGTCTCCTCCCAAGCAAAGCACAACACCCTAGTGCTGATAGCCAGAATGACTGAAACCTTGAAAATTGACCATCTAATCTCCGTCCCTGATGACGCCGAGCAAGTAACGGACAATTGGTCTGGATTGAGTGACCCGACCGAACGCCGTCGGCGACAGAACCGCATAAACCAGAGGGCTTACCGTGTGTCACTTTCGCTGCAGTCTGTTCAGCAGGAGCTAATATTTGGTAGGAAAGCGTAAGCGACTGTCATCAACCAAAGACATCCACCCCAAGAGCCTAGCACCATCCCCTCATTCGACCTCTACCGTCCAATCACAAGATCGTTCTTCCCAAGACAATCCGAAAGTCAACTTCTGTCGCAGCCCCGAATTTTTACAAAATGTTCTGGAGAGATTCGCCAAGTCAGCGTATGAAAGTTACGCACGGGGTGACCCGACCGCCGATCATCTTATGACATTGACTAAAGTTAACGTCTTTCGAGCATTCGCCCAGAACCTGAGATTAATCGGTTGGTCGGAGTACTGGATGGATCACGACGCCATTTCACCGTTCAATACAGCTCTACCACAAAAGCCCCTTACCCCGGACGATAACAGTCTCATTCCGACCAACCTGCAGCCAACTCGAATTCAGAAATCGATACAACATCACCCATGGCTGGACTTCTTTCCTTTACCCAAGATGCGCGATAATCTCATCGAAGCTGGGGATGACTGGGATGATGAGCAGCTCTGTCACGATATCATGGGTTTCTGGGGTGAGTCAACGATGGATGCAGGGCTGTTAGTTTGGGGAGAGCCTTGGAACGTGCAGAACTGGGAGGTGACTGAGCCGTTTCTGAAGAAATGGCAATGGGTTGTTCGAGGGTGCCCCGAATTGATGAACGCAACAAATAAGTGGCGTGCCCGTCGAGGGGAGAAACTAATATTCCGCTATATTTGAATCAACATACTTTAACCGGAGAATCAGCTTTAGCGATTTTCAAGAATAGTCGGCCGCAAACAGGGCCGACGTCCGTGAGAATGACATGATCCAGTTGGCTCGATGGTAGTATTTTTGGTAGTCATCTTGGTAGTTTTTTTTAGATGTTTTTCAAGATGTCTTTTTTTCGGATAATTTCTCAGCCAAACTCAAGTTTTCTAGGCAGACGGCATAAAAAGGTGGAAAAAGGCTTAATTTGTGAAACCGACTTTTCTGTGTATAACCTTGACTGAGCAGCCTAATGATAAGGGCAGCGGTGACTGTATTATTGTAAATTAGGTGCTATCTACATACCAGAAAGTCTTAGCGAAAAGCAAGTCTCCATAAAGTAACAGATGTGATGAAGCCAAACACTAAAACCAACCCCTCGTCCAGATAGATAAATGCGATCCGTAAGACATCCTCATGGCAGGTCACTGGCACGATACCGCCTTCAACATTGGCCAGGAATTCTTCAGCGCTCATTGTAGCGCTTATGGCACGTGCGGCGATAAGGAAGTAGTGGTAATTGGGGAAGAGAATATTAAGTATCAGATCCCGAATCAGGAAGATCAGGCCACGAATTCGCGTGACAAAGATAGAATCAAATACACACTGAATACTTCCAAAAATACTGCGAAAATGCATAATCTATGCATACTCGTTCAGGTCACGAGTCTTAGCATGTTTGTAATATTTGTTATCGTACGATAATCCGCGGATATCCGCAAATGAAAAAATAATTATCGCATCGTTGCGTTGCGGATACGATAATCGATTATCCGCCGATAATTTGGATAGTGCCGAAGCCTAAATGTGACATCCATGGATATGCTGATCGTGACATGTGTAAGCCATTAAAACCAGATGAATCATTGAAATGAAATTTTTTTTACGAGAAGCAAGGCTTCACGTTATCCTCCAGGGGCTCCTCAATTCCCATCGAAGCAGGCACTTCCTCGACTACCTGCATAACACGCAACACAATACCCCCAACCACGCCAGCAAGGTCATCAACAGTCACTCCCCGATCCAACAAGACTCGAATGAGATCTGGATACCGACTAACATCCTCCAGCCCCAGGATGCCCGGAGGCATGCCATCGAAGTCGGACCCCATCCCAACATGACGGTATCCGATCAACTGACCGATATATTGTATATGGTCGGCGACGTCCTCGATTGAAGCCTGGAGGGGATCATCGCAGCGGGTGTAAGTAGGATAAAAGGAAACCATGACGACATTCTCGCTTTCTCGGACTAGACGGAGCACGTCACCTGGGACGTTGCGCTCATACGTACAAAGAGCGAATGCAGATAAGTGCGAGAATATGACCGGTGCGATGGTCACATTAAGCACGTCCAGCATCGTCTCATATATGACGTGAGCTAGGTCCACGATTATGCCAGCTCGATTCATCTCGTGGATCAAGGTCCCGCCTGCGGGTGATAGACCGTGATGATAGGGGAAGAGCGGCGTGGCGGCAAAGGCATTGTGGCATTCGTGGGTGAGTGTCGCGTAGCGGACGCCGAGGGTATAGTAGAGACGGAGGATACTAGCGCTATTGGCAATCTGGTGCAGGCCTTCAATTCCTAGTATGCTAGCGATGCGAGTCGGGTGGCGTGTAAATGTCTCCCATATGTCGGTGCTAGAGTGAGCTAGGGATAGTGTTTCGGGGTTGGCGCGGATAAGACGGTGGACTAGGTCTATTTGCTGGAGGGTATCTCGACTTCAATACTCTCGCGAGGCGGCGTATCCGCTGGGGTATTCGGATGCTTGAACGCAACATGAGGGCACACTACGGATTGTATTAGCGACTGATTTGGACAGCAAGATAGAATAAAAGGCATACACTTGGCTTCCACATCCTCCTTACTATCCCAGATCTTAATCATAGTCACCTCGTCCGTCCGCTGCTTGTCCAAATAGTACCATTTTTGTTCGTCGGCGTAGACAAAAGTTACTATCTGCCCACGGTAGTCATCAACTTTGTCTCCAAAAGACCGGTGGGATAGATCAGATTGGTCCGGCAGGTTCGATAGTCCATAGTGGCGAGAGGCCAGTCCTGCATAGGGCCGCGTAGAGGACACCAGAGACTACATATGTTGTCAGCGAACCTAGAATCGATTGGAAGCAAGAGAAAAAAACATACTTGATCATAATAACTCGCTTCTAGAGGGTTTCGTAGATATTTCCTGGGACATTCTGCTCCAGACGGCGGAGTGCGCCTTTAGTCGACCTAGATTATGAATTACTATCATAATAAAACCATAAAATCCTCTGCCACTGGGGGTTGTATAACTTACTAATCGCAATATACCTGGGGTTAATATTGTCAGTTTCTCAGAAAATGGGCAAAAACTAAGAAAGACTCACCATAGTCGCCGGCTGCTCCTTGCCTAAGGGATTGTCGTATTTTCCCAGCTCAGGACGCCGCTTGCGAGACGTATGGTCAAATATCACCACGCGAGATGCCCCCGTCTCCTTTTTCACAAGATTTTCAATATGTGGGTAGTGCAGCTGGCGGACTTTATCGAGGTTATTCTCGCGCAAGACGTCGAGCATTTCCGGGGTGCCGCCCTCCGCGTCATCACGGTAGGCAAAACCATATTGGTAGAGGGTAAAGGCCACTTTATTGTCACGGGCATCGGTGATAAGCACGGAGTGGTCAACCCATTCGAAATTCATGTGTTTGTAGCCTGGCTCTGCGTTGGTTCGGATGAATAGGAGTTCTTGGTCCTAGGACCAGGGCTCGATAAATCGCATAACCGAGGTGTATGTTGCCATGACTGTTTTGAAACGATGTTTGGGTGTGCACAGGTGTAGTTCAATAAAATAATCAGAGAAGGAGTTCCAATTGTAGAGAAAATAAGCGCTCTAAGTAGCTATATAAACCAGATCTCCCACATAAGTGTCCATAATCGGTCCATGATCGGTCCCCAGGAGTGGTCCCCCTGATCACGATGGTTAGACCCACGTTTTTCATTGATGGATACCCATTATATAAGATTCACAGCAGATCACCTCCTATATAGCCTGCTTCGGCGTGCTTACTTCCTCCGTGGTAATATCATGACCAAAAGTCTTCGCTTGGGCCATAATCTCCTAGATCGCTAGACGAGCTAACAAGCGCTTGGCCCACGCCTCAATATAGGGTCAGTCCTTAATATTGACGCCGAGAAGGTTGAACATCCACGGCATTACAAAGGGAAAATAAGAAAGGTCCGCAATGGTCGGACGGTCAGCAAGGGCCACGTAGTGTTGATCTTCCTTCGCCAGTTGCCGGTTCAGAATATCCCACTACTTGATCGTATTCTCATGCAGCCTGATCAATCTCTATTAACAACCAATCTTACTACGCAGAATAGAACTCGGTGAGGGTGATAGGATTCACATACTTGGCGATTGTACATGGCAACTGGAAGCTATTCTTACGGGTGGGATAACCTCGCAGAAAATAGAGCCAGTATTTGGCGGTTGCACTAGTCATCGTCAGGACCGGCTTCTTTCTCCTTCCTTTCCTCTCGGCGCTACAAATGGAAATGGTTACCTACCCTATTTCTGCAGTTTAATAAGCCATCCATATGAAGACAGCGCCTCTCTCGGCGGCGGTGCGTCCGGTCCATTCGCCGTGGACGTCAAACCGATCGGCCAGATACTGCAGACACGCCGTGCCCTCGAACACGTTGATACGCTCACCGGTTTCGAGGTCCGCGTCTTTGAGCGCGGGGACCATACGTTCCGGGTGGATTTGGTACGCCCATTGCGAGGTGGTATCAATCAGAGATAGAACATGGGGGATCTTCGGTTCCCGGGCCAAGATCAGGGGCTTGATATAGTTGATGTACGAGGTCTCGTCCGCTAGTAGAATTATTAGCATCCTGGTCTACATCCGTTACAGTGTGTATATCACCTTTTAAATAACCACTCGTCCATCAATAACTGGCACGTCGCCGATCGTCACCTGGCCATTTGTCCCGTTCATATTATTGATAGAGGTGTTTGCTACCATGGCTGTCAATTGCTTTAAAATATTGTCTAAGTGGCTTTGATCATTCAATTTAAACCAATTCAAGAATATAGGATCGGCTTCGGCGACCGAGGAACCGCTCCGCTTGAATACTCGGTCTGTTGTTTACTTTACACTTACTATCCATTGAGAAGAAAGTAACTGCGAGTGAATTTGGAAGAAGAGAAGATATTATATTATTGTACAGAGAGTGGGGAACATGTGCTATGGATTTCTCGATCCATCTCGATCAGAGAGTGGAATGTATACCGGCTTGTTCCGAGTATGTGGCGGGCCAAGGGATAGAGCTATAAGGGAAAGGTCCACTGGTGCATCCGAACGTTCTATGACCCAGCCCTTTCCTTTTCGCCTTCACTTTGTTGAGTATCTTCTAAAGATGAAGTACTAGGTTTCCCGGGCCTCTGTAGGGCTACCAGCAGGAATCCCAGCAGGGCAAAGGCCATCGCTCCCCACCATGTGTCGCGTAGAGCCAGTTCATACAGGCCCAAAGTCTGTTCCTTGGTTGTTCCGTGGATGGACTGCATGAATTCATTGCTGGCTCGAACGTAGGCACCTCCCCCTTCCAGCAAGGGGCGCAGCTCCTGTGGCACCCGGCCCAGATTACGATTCACGCTCTGGTCGAAGATAATGGACGGAATGGTCATGCCCCATACTAGAGCAAAACTGCGCAGAAAATTGAAGAGGGCTGTAACGGCCGTCATGTCTTCCGGGTTAAACTGACCCTGGACATTGGGGAGCAGAGTAGCCAAGAGCAGCCCGTTGCCTCCGGCCACGATTATCTGCAGCACGACGTGCACGGCGGTCAAGGAGGAGGCCGTGAGAATAGTGAAGCATCCCAGACCAATTGACATCATCGCAAAGGCGAGTAGGTTATTCAGGACAGCCCATGAGTGGGGGAGCTTAGACATAGCCACCCCGCCTACGATAGAGAAGACAACCATGGCCACAATTGTCGGCATAAGGTCGAATCCGGCCTGCTGTGGAGACACCCCCAATACCGCTTGGAAATATACAGTCAAGAAGTAATTGATCCACATAATAAGCATGCTCTGAATGAAGCTCTGGATCTGCAGAGAGACGGCAGAGGGATTGCGAAGCAGTCGTAATGGTATCAACGGGTAGGGACAGAAATGTTCATAGACTCCGAATCCTACTAGACCACAGAACCCAAGGACCAGCGGAACGATGACCCGTGCCGAATTCCAGGGATACATCTTGCCCCCCATAGTTAATGGGAGGAGAATAGCGACGCTAGAGGCCGGGAGCAGCCCGTTGCCCACCCAGTCAAACCGTCTGGCGGTGACTCGCAGCGACGTAGCGGCACTTCTCTGTTCGGTCGTCCGACGAGCCAGAACCGGGAAAAGACACACAAGGGAGGCAGCGGCGAGAGGGAGATTAAGAAAAAGATCCATCGCCAGGTGCTATGATCAACGATCACTCCGCCGATGATAGGCCCAAACACCAATCCCAGACAGGATGTGGCCATCACCATCCCTAACATCTGGGGTCTCTGCTCCAGCGGCAACTGATCACTGACTATGAGCTCTGCGATTAACGGGATGGCCCCGCCCCCAATCCCCTGGATGAGTCGTCCGGCCAGAATGAGTCCGAGGGAATTTGCGGCGCCAGCCATGGTACTACCAACAGCGAATACCACGATACTCCCCAGCATGAGAGGCTTGCGGCCAAAAGCCTCGGCCAGCCAGCCCACCAAGGGTTGGAAAATGGCGGAGGCTAAGGTGTAGCAATTAACTACCCAAACATAGTCGGTGGTGTGCAAATCCCGCGCGATGGTTGGGAGAGCGGTTACCACGATGCTGCCCTCCATTGTCACGGCAAATCCGCTCATACACAGCGTGACAAAGAGCACCCAGAACTTCCATCCTAGCCCCGGTCCCGAGGTGGGTTTGACATCGTTCGTCGGAGGGGAAGGCGGCGACTGGCTTTCCTCATCTGAGGTTTTATTCTCTGGTTGAAGCTCGGATTGCGGTTGTTCTGACATGATTAAGAGGGATAGAGCGAAAATGGACAGCAGGATGTTAGGAAGAAAAGAAGAAAAACTACATGACGAGATAGGACCTGGAAGTCACAGGAGAAAGACAGCTAGACAAAGAAAGAGTGTAGCTCTTGCGGTGAAACGACAGGGGATCGGTCACCGATCCCTGTAGCGGTCCCTACACCCGCATATACGTGGGTAGATCGGAGACATTCTCGGAGACATTCTCGGAAACATTCTATGGTAGCCTTGTAAGGTTATGTAGGAAAGCTGACTCATGAAAGATCGGGTGACCTCCCGCGGTCGGAACCTTATCTAGGTGGGGCTCGGGAAGTTCCGTGATCGCGTCAGCCAATCAAACTCTGAGCATCGATCTATCCATGGATAAGTCTCCGATGTCCCAAGGTGGTATCCACGGGTTTCAAGGTTGTTTCAATGGCCTCCTTTGTTCGCAGGGATCCCTCTTGTATACGGGAACTTTACTAAAAGTCCCCATAGTAGAAGTGGACGAAAACCATATAGGTCATTGATAGGTATGAGTGTCAAGAATACTAGTTTTCAGGCTAGCACCTGTTGGTCAGGCAGGTAATATAGTGATAGAGAAGAGAACGTGTTGTATTCTTCATATATAGGCTAATCCTTGCTAATGGGAAGTCATGGAGAGGATCTGGTTTAGACTTCCGCAAAGCCCAACTTTGGGCGTAAGGTCCGGGATAAAAACTAAGCTTTATAACTATATAGATTAAGTGGTTAGAAATATTCTATATATATAAGTTAATACCTACTAAGATATATATTCTATACTAGGAACTATATATATCTTTATAGTTAAGTCGAATACTAAGATTGAATACATGGTGGAAACAGGGTAAAATACCCTGAATATCATGTGACACATGGTACCAACCATACCATACAAAAGTAAGTGCATATTACAGTTAGTCATCTATGTCCGCACAGATTGTCGTACCGCCAGATTTCTGTCATTATTGATGATGGGGCCCAATGTATAGTTTTCTTACATACCACGCGGGTTATAATGGGTAATTCGGTATATTTGGTCCACGGGTGGAAGGTTGTGCTTATTAGCTCCCGCTACTGTGGCCGGCTCGCATGTGAAAACGTTAATCAGAGGTGTCCAACCTTGGGAAATACCTACTTATATGACGTCATATGCTTGAAATCACATGTCAGTATGTTAAATTCAACAAAGGCTCTCAAGACCAAATAAAAATTTGTTGGGCAGGGCCATACCTCAACAATCGAACTTTCAATATATATACTATAGTTAGATATTGTTTTCTATATCACTCTGCTTTTTCTCTCTGTCAATATATAGCGTTATCAAAAGTCACCATGATTGGAACGTCTACAGCTGAGTACTTCTTTATTCGGATTTGCATCCTATTTCTTCACAATATTGCACCAATCAGTATTTTATACAGCATTCAATTACTGGTCGTTCAATTTTTTCATCTGCCAACTTATACTGAGCGCATACCCTACGCTGTCCAAATTTGGCTCACTGCAGAGGCAGTCTTTTTTACAACTGTCTACATACCACTTATATACGCTCTCTACCATTCTTCTATCGGCCATAGGTGCTTATCTGCGGAGTTCAGAGAGAATTTGTTTATGAAATGCAATAAGACTGTGCCAAATTTGGAGAAATACCTCTGCCAGTGGCTTATGGTCTCAGAAGCTGAATGCATAAAGCGCGATAACGTGAAAGACTTTATCAGATGGTCATTATTTGGACCTGGACATACCCAGGAGCAAGACCAGCAGAGTGAGCGGGAAATCGAGGCCTACACAACTGAACTTGAGAAGCTGATTGGTCGAAAATTGTCACCGGGAAGGATGGATGTGAAAGGCCTAGGACGGCTTTTAAATGAAGCAGGCGGTTCACATCGAAGTCTGCTATGGTACAGTGTTAGTTATCTCTCTCTCCTCTCTATGTGTGACACAGGCCATTTTAAACTGACATTCCAATTAACCTAGTGCGTCTGTGTGGTTGATACAATAATGTACTGCAAGATGTTATACAATGGATTTCACTTCCATCGCAATTCGCTCTCGCGATTCTTTACCGTCTTCCCATTTCGCCCTCTCACGATACTCACAGCCTACCAATCACAGGCGCGGCATCTCACATACTGGCATCGACGGCATACATCCAAGAAACGGCTACCCATACTATTCATACATGGTATCGGGATTGGCTTGTACCCTTACACAAGCTTCCTCCGAGAGTTAAACATGGAACTAGGGACGGGAGTAACCGACGATGGTGAGATCGGCATCATCGCACTTGAAATCATGCCGGTAAGCTCTCGGATAACTCATCCTGCTCTCGAAAAAGAGGTGATGATCGGTGAGATCATGGAGATCATACGGTACCATGGATGGAGCAAGTTCGTGCTTGTGTCTCATTCTTATGGTTCCATAATCGCTGCACACCTTCTCAAGTCCGATCTGTTTGCTCCGCTTATCGGACCTACGGTCTTCATTGATCCGGTGTCATTCCTTCTCCACCTGCCTGACGTGGCATACAACTTCGTAGCCCGCCGGCCAGCACGAGCCAATGAATATCAGCTATGGTATTTCGGAAGCAAAGACATTGGAGTTGCGCATACATTGGCAAGGAGATTCTCTTGGATTGACAATATCATTTGGAAGGAGGACCTCGGCGTGAAGGCAGAAAATAACCAAGAGGGCAGAAATGTTACAGTTGTTTTAAGTGCTAAAGATTTGATTGTGGACACCGAAACAGTGGGGCAGTACTTGATGGGTTCATCAGAAATTCGGAAAGTTGATAAAGAAGCAGCACGAGCATGGAAAATCAGGCCCTGGATTGGGCATGGACTTGAGCTGCTGTGGTTTGAAGAGTTGGATCATGCTCAGGTTTTTGATTTTGAGGATACCAGGCGGACAGTCATCAAGACGATCTCTATATATTCAAACACAGGCTGAGACTGTCCTGTTCGTCTGACATGTTAGTTTATGATTTCAAAATCTAGGACGAAATATGGCTCCGACGAAGCTTCTGTGGTGCACCGGTTCGAGATCAGAATAATGCTAATACTTTTTAATTCAAACCCTAGGAGCAATAGGCTTCGATGCGTTTACCTTCGTATGCTTGTTCCCGTCGTAAATAAAGGGAACTACGACTGAATTCATATTTAATCTCTTAGTCACTTAGTTGAAACCGTAGCAGCCCAAGCATAGGGATTTTCTCGTGGTCTCTGCCATCAAAAATTGATCTTGATGTCTTAATCCGTTTCATGATACTGGAAATATCTTGAAAAATGGCCTCCAGCGTCTTCGACCTTGTCTTTTACTCATCGGGTAAGTCATTCGAATTGATAGTTGGGATAATCTGAAGAGTCCCGTATTCCCAACCTAGGAGTTCCCTAGGTGCTTGCAACTGTATTGACCGAAACACCATGGAGATACGAACACGACCATGTGCTCCCTCCGTGGGCGACTCCATTTCTGTGTTTTTCCTAGACGGCGTCTGGATCACGAGGCTATCCGGCCCGTTCATCAAGTACATTTTGCCGCTGAGCCAAGACAGAATCAAGGATACGATCGGACCTTGCCATTCTCTTTTGTAGGTCTTTGATTTCCTTTTCATTTTTCCCCTGTTTTGCAATGGCTGCGTCCAGTCGAGACAAAAGCGCGAGAGCCGTAGGATTGCTGATTCTGGGGGTTGAAGTGCCTGTGGCCAGGTCGTCTGATCGGACAAGTTCTGTTGCCATGGTTTGAAAAATTTTCATTGCTTTAGGTATTTCGAAGGATGATGCCTGTCAAGGAATAGGTGCTGATAAGTAAACATTTATCTCAGATAAGAGGGATTTTAGACATACCTCAGCAGGCGGAGAGCCTAAAAGTACCATATGGCGCACTGGCGGCTATACACTGCCGTACTACATCCGTACGTGAGCGACTGCAAATATTCCAGAGACCCAGGGTACGATTATGATACACAAGTCGTGACTCCATAGAGATTAGTCGTACAGCGATCAGTCTGTCTAGAGACCAGAAGCATTTCAGATTCTTTTCATCTAGGAGAGTCTAGCCAATAACCACCGAAATGTCAGACGGAGATCGTCTGTCAGGGCAAATCAAGGAAATACAACTGGGCGAGTCAGGAGCGTCGGCGGATTAGTTCATCATTCCAGCCGAAGCCGGGCGAAAGTTTGCGCAATCGATACGTATGACTAGGTGCATCATGAGTTACAACTGTTCATATTGGTCCATTATCAAGCGTAAATCCAAGTTGAACCGTTGCTAGTACTGTAGCTGGGTATTCTAGCAACATGGACGCCTAACACTGAGATAAGAGAGCATATCATCAACGAGACCGCAAAGATCTAGGAAGAAGTATTGGTATATTCCTCAACCTAGAATTCTAGAGAAGGGAAGTTGAGACACCTGGAGAGACACTAACAAGAGAAATCAAGACAAACCTAGAGACGGATGCATGGATCGATGTCCGGTTAGCCGCGTGCAGCCAAGCGGTCCGAAGAGCGAGCCTGGTTCGTGGAAGGCGAGAATTAATAAAGTACTATATGTCTGTACCTAGGTAGGGGAAAAGACGTATCCGAGGTTAAGTGACATACCAGACTGCATAGTCTGGTTTGCCAAATTGCCTTCGCCGATTTCAAAAGGGATGTAACACGCAGCGGAAGGACCAAGTGATGACCCTTTGCGAGGAAGTCAGACCATACCCTTGAAATCCACCCCCAAGTAATTCTTGCCCTGAACAGAGACGTTTATTAGTTACGGTCAAAAGTCTTCGCTAAACCATACTTCATTCCGAATTACATATGGGGTATATCCCTTATTGACTTCCCTCCTTGAAAACACATACTCCATTTAATCAAACCAACAAAATCTATAAGACGAAAGTTTTTAAAAGCCGTAGGTAGGTACGGTACCTAAGAAAGAACCTGAGCCTTTTTCAACCACGCATGCGCCTCCTCATAAATCCCCTGCGCAATCTCCTCCCTCTTCCTCCTACTATTACCCCCCTTCTTCCGTGGGTCCGCATGGGTAAACCCATGCGGACAACCTCTCGCCAACGTCCACTTATACCTGCCCACCTCAAAGTCCTCCTCCTGCTCAGCCCCGACTCTATCCTCCAGCCCGACCAAACCATGAATCATCTGCTGCGTCTCCAACCGGAGCATATCCCACTGCGCGCCAATCATATAAATCCACGGCGGCAGCTCATCCTTCCCCGCATACATCGGACTAAGCAGTGGATCCCTCCGATTCTGCCCTACACTCACATACCCCCAGTCCAGCCACCAGGAGGTCCTTTCCAGGTTATCCGTCGCACCACCTTTATACGGTCTCGAATCCAATTTTTCATTAGGTGGGTGGCCGAAATCCACAATAGGGTAGTATATCACCGCAGCTTTGATCAAGTCTTTCAGGCCGGGGAGTTGCGAGACAGAGAGCGCGAGGTTACCGCCGGCGCTGAAGCCGCCGATGGCGATGCGCGAGTGGTCAATTGGGATAGACTCATCTGCTAGCACGCACTTGGCGACCTCGGCAACGTCAAAGTTGGCTGTTGGGAAGGGGTGGAGCGGCGCCTTGCGGTAGTTGAGGCTGACAACTAGCATTCCGGTGCGATTGGCCCAGGAGCTGCAGAAGGTGTCGTCGACGCTGGCGTCGCACATCACGAAGCCGCCGCCATGGATGTTCAGGTAGAGTGGGAGCAATTGGCGCTGGGCGGGGTTGTAGGAGCGGGGGTAGAAGATGCGGGTTTCCAGAGCTGGGCGGCAGGCGTAGCGCTTAGTGAGGGTCGGTTGTGTGCCCGGTTGAGGGGGATTGACGAGGCGGAGGTAGAGGAAGTAGAGGGTCGCGAGGGATTTGAGCAGCCAGAGTTGGAGGAAACAGTTTATGCGGTGGGAGAGGGATAATCGCTCTTTTGGGAGAGGAGGAATGGGCTTTTCCATCGCTATTTTGTCCTTGTCTGGATTATCGATCATTGGGCTGGGCGGTGGAGGTGGAGGAGGAGGGTGGTGGAAGGAAGAATCGAGGTGTTGGCGGAGCAGGGTTAGTCGGGCGAGGGCTGTCATGGATGGATTAATCTGTTGGGATGCACCGAGGGAGACTAGTACGGATTTGTCATAGCATCAGCCGAACTAATCGCTCTGTTGGCCTTGTCGAGTTTGTTTTATGAACTTTAGGCCAGCCGCACCAAGCTCCTTCTCCCACCCGTCTTGATTCAGCCTCGCGAAAAACGATATCAAATCGTCTCATCATACTTCTCCACATCGCATCTATTTACGTAATTACCCGAATATCCGCCGAAACGGATGTGGTGAGATTGGGTTTGGCCCCAAAACCCTGGAATCCACGATGCATTAGTCAATCATGCCCGGTGGGGCATCAGCAACTAGCTCGGCCCCCGGGCCACCGGGCCCACATCGGCTGAGAGTCGTCCCGAACCGTCCGGGCCGAAGCGGGCGGATTCCATGTCCAGGTATCTTCGTATTGGCCACCAAGCCCGTGAACTGCAACAATATCGATGAAGCGTTCTGCGCTCTCGGGTTGGAATGGGAACAGCCCATTCCGTTCCCTGAGTGGAGGGGTCGTTGGCCCGTTGGAAGGCACTATGTTCTGGTTTCTCTGGGTTCCGCTATGTGATTCGTCGGAAGGAACATGTGGAATGCCGATATCTTGCCCAGGGGCCGTTGGAGTTGCGACTGAAGTCTGGTTTTGAACACAAGACGTGGAGGTATTTGGGCTTTGTTCTTCTGCGTCACTAGGAAACGCACAGCAGGGACAAGATAACTTTTTTCTCCACCTCTGGGGCTCAGATTTCCGGGACGGCGGTCGAGTGTCCATGATCGAATGATCACTCATATTTTCAAATTATTTACTGAGATAAATTGCTCGTAATAGGAATGAGAAGACTAGTGAGATCTTGTCTGAATCGTAGCATAAAATAATTTGACTAAAATATTTACGTGAGGAAGACGACCGGAGCAGATTTGATTGTCATTAAGTTGAGGGAAGTGATTTGGGAGAATTACGAAACATGGCGTTAGACAAGCTGTTTGCGGAAGTCACTTGCGCAGAGATAACTGGAACGTGTAGGTGTTTTAACCGTGTCTTTCCGGAGTTTGCGTCAGGAATTCGAAGTTCAAACTGCACACTCGAATTCCATTTCATCATTTATGCGCCGACTGGATGGTGAAATAGTATGTTCATCTAGTCTCCAGTAGTTAAATGGTCTGGGCTTGGATCGCCTTTTCAGGGGTTCCATGGGTGTAGTGGCACGAGCACTCAGTGACGAATGGCTATATCATTGGTAGGGAGCTCCGCCGATGATCATTGGTTGGCTTTTGGCTGGTTCCGTTCTGATACAGTATTTCTTATCATATGAACACGTAAAGCCGGGGGGTGGGGGGGGGGGGGGGGGTGACGAGAATATCATGCACCCAGTGAGCTCAGATGAGCAAAATCCCGTCATGTTACACCCAGGCATGGGACCTTTGTTGGAATACCAGGGGGGATCTAGCCTAGTCTATTTTTTCACTTCACCACAAGGGAAGATTTGGCTAACCACTCAACCCGAAGAACATAGTTTAAGAGAAAACCATTTTGTTAAAATGAAATTGGACCCGTGGCGCTTTAGGACCATATTAATATCTTATCGCGTACAACGAATAAGTGACCGCGTGTATGATGAATCCACTGTGCATGAATCACATTTTCTGACGGTGAGGAGCTTGGGGTCAATGGTAGCATCCAGTGGTCGGGTGCCGGTCGTCAGGGTAAGAAATCGGTGAGCATGTAATAGACCCGTCATTTGAACTACTTTATTTTTCATACTATCAGTTGGCTGTTTTCTCTTTGGCCTTTTCTTATTCTTGTAGGGCGACGGGTCCACATGTGCCCCGTTGAACCATTTGAGCGATGCGGCAATCAGATCCGATACAGTAGTAGTAGTAGTAGTAGTAGTAGATTTCATTTACACTGACCCCTCGCAAAAAGATGAGACACTGGATTGAGGTACAAGTGTGATTATTCCTTTATAACTATGCGAGTAGGTGCAGCTATTTGTAGACCCAGTAGCTGCCTTCTGCCTAGAGTGGTGGTGGCAGCCTAATAGGCTGCCACTACCTATACATCACGTAACCTGGGATCCAACTCAAAAAGCGATATACAGTATACAACAACTATACATCTGAGTGTGTACATCTAGAATGATCCACTTCCTGACATGAACTTAGAGCCTCGCCACGGCCTATCATGGCCCATTGCCGCTTCCATTGTTAGGCTGCCCTCATGGCGCGGCTATAGTGGAATTTTGGATGAGACGGATAGCAAGTATCCGATTTTGGCTGCATCTCTGTTAGAAACCGCGAGAACGCGGGTAAAGCAGAAGCTAAGAATCTGGACAGTGACTTTGTGGCAGATGCGGTCTTGTTCCGAGTTCGTTTCATTGAGCTCATTGAGCGCTGGCTTAGCTTATTCTCGAGCTGGAATTTGATTGCAGTGCTATTGATAAATTATATAATATTGAAGCCTAGAGAAACTGTCTGTGTACTAGCTAATAGCATTTATATTTGGTTATCTGGCAATATCTTGGAATATATAGTGTAATCGGATAATGTTCTGAATACAGGTTTCTGTCCTTATACCGACTGGGACAATATCGATCTGTTCACAAGGGCTCTGACTTTCAACCCATAGAGCAATATATCTGTATCTTTGCCGGCTCAGAGGAGCTCTGTGGGAAATAAACAAAGAATATGCGAATTCGCACCTCTATTCAACGAGTTCAATGTTTTGGGTCTAACTCTCACGCCTGGCGAGGAAGAAACCCATGCAAAGATAGAAGGACCTAGTCTCCTAGTTGCAGTCCGACGAACTTAGCGTAGATGTATACAATAGAGGAATGTATTCACTGTCTGGTAACTTGCACAGCTTAAGATAATAACGGTACGACTCGAAGAAGTAAGGGAAACGGATACAATTAACTATATATCGTGGCTTTCGCTCTGAAAATATTGAGGGTCTGTTTGGCCGGAGATTGTACTAGGGTTAAATTGTTACTATTTAGGGTTATGGTGTATATCCAGTCTCGGTATTTAGTGAATTAAGGTAATTCGGTCCCTGTTCCGAACTGGAGAGCGCAGGTTAAGCTTAACAAGAAGACTTGCGTCCAGTAGTATGCCGGGAGTTAGCAATAATAGACGCAACAGCATGTGCTCGGTGTAGGCGCTCTTCCGCGGTTAACTTCCTGTATGCCCCTCCGACTGCGTGTCGTGAAAATAATGGAAAGTTCGCCTTTTACATTTGAGTAAAGCGCCAATGACGGACGCTTCGAAGATAGTATCCCAGAATAAGCCTTTCGTCAGTCTAATTATATCCCTTATACGGTCGATGCCTTCTTGTCATAAATTAGAATAGTAGATTGTCTTTTTTCGAATAGATCAGAGTATGAAAGGGATAAGGGATCTCAGCATGCTGAAGGGGGCAGATTATTTCATGTCTCTCTGGCAATGTGATATATATGTAGCAGTGTAATAAGATATCATCTTATTTAAGGGGTTGTAGGCTATAATTCGTCTGTCGATTTTCCTTAGCGCTGTGATGATGTGTTGTCTCTTGTAAGGACATGTTATGGGCTATAATTAGTCTGGCGAATATCTGTAGCGGTGTAGTGATTTTGTCAGAATCGTGAGACCGTTTCACACAGTATTATCCCCTCTTGATCGTTAGAGGTTTGTCCTCTTCACTGAAGAATCAAATAAACCATCCTAGTTCGGTAGATGCTCTTGATAGGGAAACTTGGGAGTAGGAAGTGTTTCTCCAATTCAAGGTGAGTAACCCCGGGCTCATAACCTGTTGAACAAGAATAGATTGATTCTTGTTGGTTGGCTTCTTAGAAGCTATTTCTATCTTTACAGGGCAAGATGCTGTATATATATCATTTCCAATCCCTGCCGCACGGTTCAGCCACCGTGATATTCAACAGGGACCCCCCGAAACCCAGCCTGGGTAGCCCATGGGCGGGCTCAGAAGACGAAAACCCAACCCGAGTTTTGGCGAGGTCTAGATATACATATTGCCTTGGCCTTGCTTCTATCTTCACTGCTTCAAGTCTTAGGATCATTGTGTTAGAGCCTTGACACAGTTCTCGGGGGCCGTGCCGCTCCCAGGGTAAGTATGGTCATTTCTTCGGACTGGTGGTTTCCTAGTCACGTTTGCGTTTGAACTACTACACTAGCAGGCCGCGCAGTTTCGGCGAGTCACAAAGTATGACACCTATATCTTTATTCTTTACTGCCAAAGACCGACCAGATCTTTTAGAAGGGGTTGGGTGACCAGCCTGGCAAGCTAGTTGAACCTGACGTATAAGGACCCCTAGACTTTTTGTAATATCTTCCTATGTTACATTGAGTAAGCGCAGAGTTAGGATTTGTTAGGCACTCATCCCTGTCTAGCTGAAATGAGGAGGTAGAGAACGAGCCATATTGGCATGGCAAAGAATTGATATGGATCGTCATTAATGCTTGCATTGTATGAATATCCTACTATAACATAGTCAACTAGTGCCCTAAGTCTAATCCCGGATATTATTAGAAGTAGTTGAGCCTTTGCATTCGCATAGAAAGTCAAGTATACATGATAAAGCTCAAGGATAAAAGCTATCGTAAGTATTCGATGTTCCCAAACTTCCTCGTTCACTCAGCAGTACACATAGTTGGGACAAAAAGTAAGTAATCATATTCCTCCGTAACTCCTAGCTCTTAGTTCTTCCGGCACTATTTGCAGTACATCAGCGACTATAGACGTCCCGTAGAGTAAATCACTTACATAACCCCAGCATCCTGGGCAGTCAGCAGTGCAGTCAAGTAGGGGACAGCAGTCAAGCCCAATAGACGGGTTGCAGCGCAGTCCAGGCCTATCCTGGCAGCTAATAACAGGTGTATTGTCATAGATAGGACCACACGACTCCTCAGAGTATCTAGCACTGAGAACTAAAGCTGCAAATGGAAGCACTGCAACGAATCTCATACTGAGTTGGTTAACCAATATAATAAAAAGGCGATTTATCAATGGTATTTGCTTTGCAAGCATGGATTGCAACTAAGAAATTTGGTTTTCTAGCTGGGAAATAGCATCTTCTTTATATGTTTTCAATGCGGTGTAATTACGTATGTCACTAAGTCATGTCTGGAATGAGCTCATTATCTATATACATCTATGACTCTTTACGTCGTTTGTTGGTTCTAGGCATCTGGTATATGACTTCACTTCGTACCATTGTGTCGTCCGCTTGACATAGTGCTTCAATGGAAAGAACACAATGTTACTGTCCCTACATAGCACATACATTCGTGCCCCAGTAAGCTACATGACAATAGCTTAGCGCTACATCCGGAAGCAATCGGCAGACAATTTATCTATTTAAGAACCATGGGAGTCTTCTGCCAGCTGATGCCGAACGAATATGTATTTTGGCCGCTCTAGGAGCAGTGTGGCTCTCGATAGAACCGCCGCATTCGGAAAAATTTCCACTTCCATGGATATATCGCTCTAAAACCCCGGTAAGGAATCGCGGTGCGATATAGAACGGGAAGATCCGTAGGTCTGGAAAATATTTGCATTACGAGCATTGAGGCAAGTTGGATAGACCTAGGACTCTCCTACTACTAGCCCTAGCTGGCTTGTCACCCTTTACGCCAGAAATCAGATGGCGCTCCACATGTTGTCATGTAATAAGAGTTGCCGCGCCAGGAATTGTACATAGCTTATTATTTGGGCGAAACCAGAGTGCAACCAAAGTGTGGTTGTTCGCATTCGAAAAATTTAGGCAATTGTACGTCTTCCTCGATAAATAGAGTGGCCTATAGAGGCGATTCATCATTCAAACAAGCGGGGGTAGCACATAATTAAGCTGATTGTCGCGATCGGACATAGTTGCTCAATACTTAAACTTAATTAGGGGGCAATAGTTGCACAAGAATCTCATTGATTCCATAGCCGTATTCCACCATTGGTCGGAAATATTAGCACAAAACTCTACCAGAGATTAATCAACTCAGGTTCAACTTAAAAAGTCCTCCTGCTGACATGAACCAAGTTCGGACGACGACTTGGCGATAAATGAGTGCTGTCCCGGTTGTTAGAACAAATCCAAGGGTAACTTTCGGAACGGCCCCATGCCTCGACCATGGAATCTCCAAGTACAGCGTGCCAACAAGCCTCTATGATCGGACAACACTATATATCGAGCAACTCGCCGATTGCGGTAATATGTTTGACTATATGATGTCATGTCGCTTTCCCAACCACGAAAGTGCTTGGCCTAGGCGACTCTTTCTCCAAGGTAGGTGTCAAGTGCCTGTTTTTGACTCCATGCCGGTCTCAAAAGGTCTATCTAGATACTTCAGTACTCGTCATGCAACTATCTGCTAGACTTGCGAGTTCTGCTATCTTCTTGCTATGCCATCTCACCTAGCTCGAATATAAATGATAGAAATATAAACCCTAATCTCCGTTCTTTTCAAGGCGTTAACAAGATATTTCAATATAGGGCGTCTGTACTTGATCCTTTCTCCGCTTGAATCCAAGATATCTTTCAAAATGCCAGAGTCGTCTGTACACCAAAATAAAACCAAACAAAGTTACGAGATCTTTGAATCCGTAACCGCCGACTTGCGCAGGAAGTTGAGAACCCAGGAACGATCTTAAACTTCCCACCATCACCTTTTTAGCGTGGTGTTCAATGTCCTAGCTGTTGTGCAGTTGGCGGTTGGAGCAACAATCACCGCATTAGGGCCCTTAGCTAACAAGCATATGTTGGCCATCACTATTCTAGGGGCTCTGAACACAGTTGTTGCCGGCATCCTTGCCCTAATGAAAGGACGTGGTCTACCACAGCGGCTTAGGAATAATATAGCGGAGATCAGCAAGGTGCTGACATTCATTGACAACACGGGTATTCGACTCAAATACAGCGATAACGATTACCCAAATAGTGAGGTTATACGACTTATTGATGAAGCGCTCGGCCGGTACATAACAATGTGCGAAATAATCGAGAGAAATCAGCCTGATTCATACGCTAGCGGAAATATGTCTCAGAATCAGGCAAATAATGAATCTCTCGAAAGAGCGGATAAGAAGAACAAGATGTTAGCAAAGGACCGCCAACCGGATGAAGAGATGGGCCATGACCTTTGACGCCGATCATTTCAGTACGGTCTCTTCTGACTGCCATTCCCATCCATAAAGTACGTTTTCCCCTAAGCACAATTCAGTAATCTTACTGCCCCAGGTTTGTTACTCCTCATTCTCTGATCATATTCACAAGTTGAACTTCCATATGCGGGAGCCACATTTATTGAATATACGTTAAGGTCGTTAAGTATAAGTATTCCAGTCAGAGACCTATAATATATTACAGATAGTTGATCTTAAGCGGAAAATAGTGGCGTAATAGCCTAACTGCTATAGCTTAACCATAACCTATCACCATTTTGAGTACGTTACATAATAGGAGCTCGGATGATCACTCATGGCGCTGGCGTAAGACACTCATATGTTGGCTATCTTTGCTTAGACTCGATTTTCGTAGATTCAATCTAGATCAGAAGCAACCATGGCACTCGGTCATCATGGGGATACAAAGAAAAGCGGAAAACTCACCCGCCAATCTAGAACAGACTCGCTATAATTAACGCCTCACATATGAGCGCAAGACTGCTGTCAATTGCGAAGATGAGGCCATGTAACTGATTTGTAACAGCAATAAGTCTGTGATGCGGGGGTATTACGTAGTTGTCCTTTGGCTTGGAAAGTATGGACGTAGCATTAATGATGCACTTTCAATACATTGCATATTGTAGAAACAGCTGTCTAGTCTGGGAAATGGCCAATGAAGTTCACTAGTATATCCCGGGGCTCCGCATTTGGGGTCGGACCGCGGTTCTAACCCGCGAACGTAGTTGAACCTCTAAGTGGCGGTCATGAGACGTAGTTGTTTGATAGCAATAATCAGGATCTAATGTAGAGAATCATACGTAGTGCTTGATTTCAGACTTACGCAAGGGTAGGTCTGGACTCTGGTGATGTCAATTGTAAATGTAGCTTGGGGGGGATTTGCCCTTGGATAGATGGCAGGTAGTGGCTATAAAAGACACTTCTTTCTCATACATGACTAGATTTTGGACGCTTAGCCCTCCAGCAAAAAAAGTTTCTGAGACTTTAAACTGAAAGCAGTCTGTCACAATGAAACTCACTCCACTTGTTCTAAGCTTGACCACCACCACTGCTCTTGCGGGTAGCACCTGGTGTAGCCGTGGCCAGTATTATTGTGGCTGGCTTCTCAACCAATCTGCAAACCCCCCTAGTACGGTAACCCTTCTGGCTTGAAAAATATTCACAAACAGTTGTTAGAGAACTAGATATATCAGCTGCTAACCTATTATAGCCTATCAAGCCAATGCAATCTATTTATGCGACAACCCCGGTGGCGATCAAAGTTTCGTTCGGGGTTGCCCAAATGGATGTTTTGGCCACCCAGCTCAATGCCAGTGTTGATCTATTCTCCCGAAGGACATTGGCCAACTGCACTACTTATGAGTTTTTTTTGGAATCAACTAGGATGTGCTATAATATAGGGTTTACTACTTCCCAGGCTGATCTATTGAAGAAAAGTTAGTTTAATACTTCTGACTTCTGGCAATCTGAACTTGACCTGGTCGCTTTCTGCTTCGTTAGCTGTGTGGGAGGGATCAGATTTAATAATGTCTGTTGCTTTTGCCATAGTATAGGTTTTCACTAATCTGAAGATGTTCCTTTTACTGTCATACAAACGCAAAGGCTGCTGCAAATTATAGCAACATCGTATTCGAAGCAAGTCAATTTCTTAACAAAAGTGCCGTGGTGCGAACCATGTACGGACTCGAAGCAAGAGTCATCCAGCTATCGTATTCCTAAGCCTATAGTAAAGACGCGCTAAGGCGTAAACAGGGTACATTCATGTAGTATAGAGGCAACTATAGCACTCTACAAGGATGTCAATCCGCGAGGGGGTCCTTAGAGCTAGGGTGAAAGAACAATATTTTCGCGAGGCAATAATAGGTGTGCCCCTAGCAAAACAATCAATGCAAAGAAACTTCGCCTGGTTTCATGTCTCTATAAAGATACCAACGGAAGAGACCTACTCTATACATATGAGTGATTCCGATGAAATGGGAGAAGACCCCGACGTGTCCAACAGGCCTGAACTTGACGTCGATGAATTTGGATCTGACTAGTTTATTTTCCGTATCAAACTTTAGCGAGCTCTTGGCTATAACAGCAAACATCTGATACATGACGGGTTCGACCATATGTTGCGGACTAATAAGGAAATTGAGATCGTGGGCTGGCCAGTAATAGATTCAAATACGTTCTATGATCCAGCGGCACATTCTGCCCCGGCTAAAAGCTATCAAAAATCCATGCATCAGCCAAGCCCCATTTCATGTCCGCAGGCATCACCTAATTTTTAATGGGATATTTATTGAGTTGCGCAAACCGAGAAAAACATCCATAATAGCATGCCGTAGCCGTGTAGTCACTATCTTGTGAAAATCCTCATTAGAAAATTGGGTAAGTGACCTAACTTCGACAGCCAATCCATGCAGTCCGTGTTGTCCATTCTAGGAAGGTCTCTAAGAACCGACAAGTCGAATCTGAAGTAATGATCTCGAGATCTATCACCCAATAATCTGAGGACCTCCCTCCAGCCACACTAACCTTCAAATGAAGACGAAAACGTACGATAGACTCGTGGTACCCATCTATCAACCAACATATAAAGACACCGCCGCCTTCTGTGTATTCGCCATACAATGTTTTATTGCACCTAAAGAGTCTCATGCGTTGTTTCAATTTTATCTCATTTTGGGAAGAGAATATTCATCTCAGTTGCCGCCTGCTCAATTACCTATGCGATTCCTTGTGAGCGTTAAATATCTTCTTTAGTTCCTTGTAATTGCAATTTATTATTTATTAGCTTACTATCAAAAATACCCGTTAGTCGAAGAGTATAGGTTTCTAGTCCAACTTCCCGCCTAATGAGAGGCTAAAGCTTGATTTGCCAGTTCTAGGATGTCAAAATAGGAGATACCCCCGGTAGTAGGGTATGCCACTTTTAGCGTACCACTTCTTTGTATCGGCAATCAGCAATTCGTTCATATATTCTAAGACCTTATCCTAGACCTGCTTATCTATGATGACTATACTAGGCTTATAATGTCAGTGAGAGTATCTAATAGGACAAGAGATAGAGTATAGCCTTGCTAAGTCGAGGCTTGCCTAAGGTTTCTGAAGTTTTTATATAGGATATAGGTATTGCCACTGACTGAGTATATAGTATACTTCGTCGGTATGGTGCTAGAACCCTATTTGATATAGGAGAGTTACCTTACACCAATTATACTTGAATAGTATCTTATCTAGATATACAATATTAAAGTAGTATATTATATAGCCGGTGTTATAGAATATTTGTAAGCAAATACTGTCTAGGGCTCTTTCCCTAGTAACGTATTGGAAGCAGGCTGTAGGATATTTAGCTTTTGTAAGATATTCTCTAGTAGTATATATCGGCCTTAGAGCTTTGCTACTAGATCTTTTGCCTACAGTATTGTTACTATAGGTATATTCTATAGCCAGTTATTGAACTATTGATTTAGCCGGTAGATCAGAATCAGGAATTTTTTTCTAGGCTAGTCTTGCAGCAGGTCCCCTTCAAATATATTGTATTGTGTGACACGGTGAGCGGGCCGCCGGAAACCGCGCCCATTGCACCGCCGCTCTGCCGCCCTCCACCGCCTGCCTGGTGTCGCCATGCCCCTATCCCATGGGGGTGGGTAAACCGAGCCTGGGTTGAATTAGGGTCTGGGAGTTAACTATGGGAGGAAAAAAGTGGGTCAAGGCCTAGTTTATTTAATTTTCAAACCCCCAGTTTATTTAGCAGTTGGCGTCGGATCATACTCAGATTTCTAGAAGTTGTATTCCCAAAGGTAAAGTTTAGATAGTTTTAATTTAGAGTCAATTTGACTAGTACTGGTAGAGGTTTATACGATTGAAATTCGGGGGTCTTTTTAGTAAGGGCCTAGATATAGATATACGACCGTAGTCAACCACCTATAATATCAATATTAGGGTTAATAAGTTGATTAGTCTAAAGTTTAATTAGACGAATACGGGGCTAGGATAAAAGTTAGGGGTAATAAGAAGTCCTAGCCGTCGTCGACTTTAATTTTAGAAAAATTGATGCAGTGGTGTTGTGACCAAAACAGCACGGCTCAGGTCACGTGCCATTGGTCCCGTGAGCATGCGTCATAGAAAGAATACGGTCAGATAATTCCTGATGTCTGACATATGGGAAATGCTCCCAATGGCCTGCTCTGGATTCTTGTAGTTAAAACTCGGACAGATAGGTACTCAACATGTGATATCCAGCTATTTGCGGAGTTGCTTCATTCCTGACATGTGCCATTAATTAGATACTCCAGCGAGACCAGCCTGTTACCAGCCAGTCCTTAAACAATAAGAGTGCATAAAATTCAAAATACTAAGTACAGAGATGGAAAGGAGAAAAGAAGAGGAGGATTGGCGAGTTGAGAGCATTATGGTAAGCGGAAACGCAAACAGTGCAAATATCTGGCATCTGAACCAAAACCTGTCAGAGTCACTACATGCAGATATCCAGATCGTAACACAGCCTGCCTTTCAGCCAGGGATCCTATAGGTCTGTTTTATTGGAACCGAAATGTAGCTATCATCTTTAATTATTTGGCACTCTACTTTATATACTATGACGTAAACTGGCTCTGTGGCCGTATTTAGGTTCGTTCGGCTTGGATACTAGAAGCAAGCACAGTCTTGATAATTGGTAGTTCGAAATAGGATAGAATAAAATTATATGGCCCTGGGTTAAATCAGAATGCAACCCATATGTGAACTAGTTAATATGTAAGCTGCTATATCCCATAGGAGCTAGTTAGTAGCCATTAATCCTTAACGTTTCGCAGATAAGCCAGACTTTTGATAGTTGCTAGTCTTGATGTCATTCTATGTAGTCCCTAGCGATTGGAATCAAGGTGAAGCAGATACATGTAATTTACGAGAATATTGATCGTGTGATTTCTCAGTAACTAATATGAAAATCTTTTGGGGCAACAAAACAGTCTAGACCCTTGAGTGCGAGTTCCAGCCCACACTTCCCCATTTAAGAAACCTAAAGAAGATTTAGAAACAAGAAACTGTCAAATAACCTTTCAAGGTTCCATAATGAAAGAGATTCACATTGCCGAATGGTGGGTAGCCTGGCAAGCTCGATCCATTCTTCTAACGATCTAGATCATCGGGACCGCACTAGATCGTCGATTTACTAGGCGTACTCCCTCCTTATCCTAAGCTGCAACCAATATTCGCCTCATTTTCAGGATTAACCCTTGGTAATTAACAAATGCTTAAGGTTATACATTATCCTAATAGCCCTATATAAGAAGTGTAAAAAATATTTCACCACTTCATGCCTCCTATTGAGACACATAATTCGCCAAGTTTTGAAACCTTTCCTTTGCATGCAATCGCACTTGTTGTTTTTATCACGTTTTCTGTGGTATTAACGATCACATCACTTCTTACCGAGACTTCCAATACCCGGAAGAATAAATATATCCTATATAAGTGTATTTCAGATGATCAGATTCCTGGAACATCATGGAGCAACAACCGTACTCGACTCCGCACTCTGTTTTATCTGTGAGGATATTTTCCAACTTTAGATAACCACGGCTAATGATTGATGTAGGATCCTCGATGCCCTACTCAACCCCTGGACGCAGATACACCGCAAACCCCGGGTCCCAGTTTTCCAGAAAGGTCCCACACAAGCGCTTTTCAACAACGATCTCAGCCTAACATACAAGTGCCGGATGGCGATTTCCTTCAACAGCCGAGAGTTTCCGTGCAGGACAACACTGCATGGCCCCAGCCTAAACCTGATCAACCGGCATCGGCAGCGCCAGGGATGCACACGCCGCCACAATCGCACATCTTCCAGCAAAGTCTATATACTAATGAATGGACTAGCCAAATATTTGACTGCTTGAATCCTAGTAATCTATGTACGATCTGCCTCCTAAATCCTGTTTTGATGTCCTATGGATTCTACAATACTGTCGATAGGATAGTCTGCTGATGAAAATTAATATAGGTATTACCGCATGCATATGTCCTTGTTTTGTTTTTGGAAAAACACAAGCAAGACTTCGAGATCCGACCCTGCGTACCTACGACCCTGTTAATCAAGAGGTATGGCAATCTGTGTCTTATATTCTGGGGATGAAGTGCTAATGTCACTATGCAGTGTTTTGTCTGGGCTGTTTCTTCTGCCTGCGGCCTTAATGGGATGTAAGTGCCCGTGAAACTTTGTCATTTCCTATTATTCATGCGTTCTGGAAAAGAAAGTTGCTGATCAATTTGAAAAGATATCAATGTCTAACTCGACGTGAAATCCGAAATATTTTCAAAATCAAGGGAGATGATATTGAGGATGGTGTTATGAGTTGTTGCTGTACCTGTTGCGCATTGGTACAACAGGAAAAGGAGGTGGTAACAAGATTGCAACAAATTGATACCCGAGGCTATGTAAGGCAACCTGAGATGCAGATACGGTAAAAGTCCCGAGGGGGAACAATCTTAGGATAACCAATATTAATGAGTTTAGTCTGGCCTGGTACTTCTATATATAATTCACAAGCGAGCCGGTTACCCCTGTTAACCACCCACACTATATGATTAATTGAACATGTCAACACCGATTTTATAGCTTAAATTAGTGGAAACTTAGTGGGGATTTATTTGAGGGCTTGATCTGGGTTTCATCTTGTTTTTATCCCGAGTTTCAATAATAAAAACCAAGCATTATCCCACGGTAGTATATGAATATAGAAGACCAATTATTCACATGACCCCACGAATTGCCAATTATTGTTTGCAAGAAGTGTCAGAATGCAATGTGACCGAAGGAGGTTATTTAACACCTTCATGGTACTCACCACCGGGTTTTATTAGCCACCGCGAGGCAAATCAGTGAAGCTATATACCAATAGGACGGGGTACAGGCCTGCGATCAATGGATAGTGCCAACTGTAGTCCCCGAGTCAATTGTTGGACTTCCAATTTACACCGATGGTATTCGCTGTTTACGAAACCCTGAATGTCATTTTATGGCCCGTACGGTAGCTACAATAACCAAGCATTGCCGTATAAAGCACCAGTGGTCAGTACCGCGTGGACCTAGCCCCTGGAGAGCCTAGGACCGTCGGTTACCGATCAGGACTTTTAGTGAGCTAGCGTCGTGGTTTTGTGCGAGCGTGCTTTTACCCAGGGGCCCGGATCTCACTACATACACGTGCAACGCACCGGTCTAGGCAGCAATATAATTTTCACAGCAAACCAGTATACGTAATGGTTAAAATGTGCTATACAAATCTGTGAATTTCAAATTGACGGGATCAAATGTCTTAAAGGCCAATTGCAAATCGCGAATCCACAATCAGCTTCACGCGCCCGTTGCATACTTTGGTGTTAATCTCGCTCTAAGTGCACGCGAGTATTTGCTTAGATAACGCGACTTTTCATTGAGATATGATTGTACTTTCCACATCGATGGGCCGAGAACTACCACTCCTAGCAACAATTACACTTCTATTCGCTGGCTTTGGCCCCTCTTCTGCTTCAGTTTGTTGAAGTAGGGAGTTGATCAACGCTTCGACAGATTTGGGTTCCCCATCCCCCAGCGCCATTCCCTGCTCCCTCAAAAGGTAGTCCGTCACAGCCCCGAGTCGTGAATTGACGTTATAAAGCAGCTCAGCCACGTTTATAGTATCGTCCAATTCCTTGCTGGTATCAGCTAGCGTGTGCCGCGCTTTAGCTAGGTCATTCTCGTATCTTGCGATAATCCTTTCCACTCTAACAGCTCGCGTGTTGAGTGTCGCAATCGTGCGAAGAATTTCCTGAACCCGGTTAGCTAGATCTATAATTGTGAAGGGTCGGGGAGATAAATACCGAGGCATCCATGTTTATAATCCTCGGAGGTGGGGTAGGAGGTTGATAGCTGGTCATCGAATATAGAGAGGCACGTGGGCGTTCTAAGTGTGTTGTTTCCAAAGATAATATCGTTTGTATAGAGGTATGTAGGTAGCTGATTTCCAAAACTACTATACATTATTCAGGATATATTCAAAGAGATTCGAGACGCCCAAAATGGGCTCTATGGTTGCTCAAACTCTGTATTCAGACTTCTACTTCTGGGCCCTACTCAGCTTTGCCAAGGAAATTATATGAGGATTATATGCCCTATACTGTATCTGTTCCCGTAAAGCTATGAAGTTAGGCCTCAAAATCTACGAATATGTCTGGTCTGCGAATGGTGAACGTGCTTTTTTCTGCCGAGAGACCTGGGATGCTCATATAGCCTAGTTGCGGCACCTAGAAGATGTTTAGCTCAGTAGACTAATCCTCGTCCGTTTATTCATTACCTGGCTCTTGATGTTGAGACTGCACCTTCATATGGCTTATGTCAGAGGGGCTATCATTAGATACCTCCTAAGCTGTCTATTGAGTCTTTCGTCTTAAAGAGCTGATGTAGGGAATCTTCTACCTTATTCTTTCTCCACATGTCAAGAGAATTAGACTGAATCATAAGGCCCGAACCCTATGGTATGATCAGAACAATTATTCCCAATCGCGGTGGGAGGCGAACTATGATAGCAGTAAAGGCAAGGACAATACAAATCGCCGTCTTAGAAAATATGGCGTATTATGCAATTGAAGCACAGAATGCTTTTCTTCTGGTTGAATAGTGCCTAAGGGGAGTGAAAGGCTAACTATGGCTCTAATACTACATTGGCAGAAATATTTTAGCAAATAGTATTTAGGTGGACGAAAAGATGCATAGGCTATTATGATATCGCCAGTAACATTTCTACATTCAACCATTATCTCCCGACTGATATGCCTTCGAACTTCATAACAACAAATTAAGGATAATACGAATTAAACCGAGTATATGAGGAAAATTAATAGGTAGAGCAATTAAAATCTCTTTAGAGAAGCAACCCTTAGTTATCTAAACCTAACAGAGGACTCACGCACCAGTTAAATGATAGCTACGCTCGGAAAGTCTTTAATAGACTATTCTCTGAGATATGTCAGCTAAGGTACAGACAAAGAAACAATCCCGTGGACGAAGACTAGCTTTATGTGAACTCTATGGATCATATGCCTGAGGAGGTTTAACATCCCCAACACAACGGGGTTATATATGAGTGTGGGGGAGAGCTTTGTGCATAAGAAAATCTGATAGAATGCCAAGTTGCATTGGTCGACTATCATTGCGTTTATTCCTCGAGGAATAACATAACAACCTATGAATAGAGAATTGTGAGAAAGGAACATTCTAGAGAGAGCATGTGCCTAATTTTGAGAGAGTAGTAATTGAGATGATATGGCTGATTGTGAGAGAGTAGTAATTGAGATGATATGGCTGATTGTGAGAGAGTAGTAATTGAGAGATAGCGATGAATTCGAAGAGAGCTCAGCGACGTCTTCATTGGATCATCAATCTAGCATTATAGACTCAACTGTATCGCCTGCGAAGATGCTATTCTAGCGAATGGATGAGAGTGCGCAGTGCTTGTGGTAGAAACGCTTCATTATCACGCAATATGCAATCGCTATTAAAACACAAACTGTATATAATCGCTTCTCTCATAAAACATCCTCTCATAAACATATAAACGGTTTGCATCTTTTGACTCCGTTCGCAGCAGTTGTCTCTATGCTCGCCATCTTTGGAGCTGGCCAAACTTCAATCTAGAGCGGTTACTTATTTCGACAATTTCTCAAATCGAAACCGTGCCGGTAGATTATAGTTCTTTTTTTATCATATAGTTGTTGGTAATATGTACCTCTGACAGTTGGTGTATAGGTCTCTCCGTTCTTGAACTCAGTCATACGTGGTTCTTCAAGAAAGAACCCAGTGATGCAGAAAGGTGTCCTATAGGCTTTCCCATCTCTTTCGTTTAATATGACGGTGTCGTTATCCGCGAGGATAAACTCACTCATCGTTAGGGCACATCATTAGTAAGGACTTGAAGCCGAGGAGTTTAACTAGGTGTGAAGGAAATCCTCTTTTGACCTATTAGCGTAGCGGTCTTATTCTTGATACCCAGATTTCCGTTCTCACCTAGTCAGTCTGAGGGGAAGTGCGCTCCTTCTGTATATACTTCGAGATCACCGAATTGTTATACGAGCCGAGCTCTCGAACTTGAAGACTTTTTCAGTGATATACCAATACGAAAGTATCGCAAACGTTCATTTAAATTCAATACCTAGCTAAGACTGTATACCTCGATGATACGACTGTGATCTGTTGCACTCTCATTAAATGTTGATGTTAAAGAGTGACACGATATAGTATGATAGAAAATAGAAGGTGCTTGGAGTCCTATACAAATAGAGCGAATAAGATAATCTTAAACTTGAGAGTGAATCTCCAAAACTGGAAGATGGGAAGCGACAAAAACTGGGATTCTCAATGAGTTCGATTAGGCCATTCTCATGATCGGTCTTCATTTTCCATCAGACTATATATATGATTGTGCCCTAAGTGCTCAATATACATATCATCGGTGGTTCTAATTGCGACGAAGAGCACGATAAGGCGGAGTGCGGGTAAGAGCGGATAAAGTGGAAGATGAAACAGTCTCTCCAAGCATACCCTTTGTAAAATTAGGAATAGTTGACCTAATGGCTGCTAAGGCACTAAATGTAGGTGTTCCGGTGTATAGCGGCTCACCTTCGTAAAGAAGATTATTCATTTGGCCATTATACTCAACAATTTTTCCTGGCTGAGAAAACCGAATGTCCATATTCTCTTTGGTTATACAGCCATTTATATTGGCGATAAATATAGGTAGGAAATTAGGCGTTTGCTTTTATATGCTCTTATAGGGTTGTTACGACGAGTCACTAGCCACGGTGATTAGTGCACAGTTCATATACATCTCACGATTACTAATACGATTGAACCACGTCCAGGCCAAAGTATATTTCCTAGGCTGAATGTTTTTAGGGATTACGAAATCGAGTTGAAGGTTATTATCGGTAGTGGCTCCTCCGGCAAGATTTTGTTCTATATTCGCAGGGCAGCCTCCTTTATAGGACGTAATAACCTTCTATTCAGAATCTTTAGTTGGCTCACGGTCTTCGGTTAGGCTCAATTGGCATAAGCCGCCGCCGTGAGTCGCGCTTCCTTCGAACTTCATTAAATGTTTAACGCCAATTTAGTAGATAGTCTCTATTAAAGAGGCTAGAAATGCATCTATATGTAGTTTGTAGGGAAAATCGCTACCGTTTTCAGTAAGAGGGGAGTTATTAAAGGATTCGTTGCTATAGGGTTTAGGCGAAATCATGATCAGATATCCGCTGACCGCTCGTAAGACGATTGTCTCCAACAGTAGCGTCTTGATGCCACTCTGGCCCGTACTTCGGATGGGAATCCTTCAAGCGAGATGAGTGGATGCAAACTTGATCTAAGAGGACTGACTCACCTGGAGGCCGACCATGAGGGAGACCATTTTGGTGGGACCAGCGCACAAAAGCGCCCCTGCGACAATAAACGAAGGAATAAGGGTCAACGGTCAGTGATGAGAGTTTACTGGACGAGAGGATGCCGTTTGAAGGCAACAAGAGATATGCCGAACGCACCGGTTGGGAGAAATCAAATCATGGTGGAAAGAGACGGGATCGCCATCCTTTAATAGGAAAATCGGGAGGGGAGCCAGCCCAGGGTAAAGGGGCCCCAGGGGGTCAAAAAGGTGGTCAAAAAGGTGGTCAAATAGTGAGGGTTTCTGGAAAGAGATCGAACCGCCGGGGCGAAAACGCTGCCACGGGCCAGAGAAGGACGGACGGATGATGCAACCGCCTCACCGACACCATTCATCATATACGCACCCAGAAACCTATCTGGGGTGATCGAAAAGCGAAGATCTTCTCGCCTCAGGGTGAGCGGAAAGAAGAGTGAGGACCTCTGCTCTCAAGAGAGAAGTGAAAGAGTACCTGAAAGCACTGGCCCCACCTGCCCACCATGGGCGTGTCTAGACCACTTAGGTGACCAGAAGAACGCCCTTTCTCACCCCAAAGAGTGAGAGAAAAGTTGGGGTTCCTGAAAGGACGGATGACGTACTTCTCCCACGCACGGCCACCTTTCCACTCGCCAGGAATCTCCCTGGAAACCACCAAAGCACCTGAAACGGAACAGGCTCAGTATGAGAGCTACAAGTGAGCATATCATTTCTAGCCTAGGTAGTTGATTTCCTTTGCCAGGTGGGTCTGCTCAGGGCGGATCATACTCTTGCTCACTGAGTATGATCGTGGTTTCTCTTTCTCTCAATCCCTGGGGGTGCCTGGATATTGGGTGTTGCACGTGATCTGGATAACAGATAAATCGGTTGGCTCTCGGTGGCCCATCAGTAGTTGCGGTCCCCACATGTGATTGGTGACTAGCATGTCTGTAACACTATTCCCATCCTTATACTAGCCTTATAATATTACATATATGACTCACTGCAACGTTAGCCATTGATGAGACTATACACTAGTCCTGTTTTTAAAAAGGGGGTGGGAGTATCTTCATGGACAGCGGCAGCGAAGTATATTATGCCCAGAATGGGGGGTGGGAATAGCTTCAATATTCGAAGTATGGTGACTAATATGATTTCTCACAACGCCAAGGAGGAATGTCACGTGTTTGATTTACAATAGCATTACCAGTATTGAAACGAAACCGACCGCGTTGAATAGTGGCCAAAGGCGAAACAACGCTAGCGCTAGTGCCCTTAGTAAAACCCCAGTGCCCGCAGTCGTTCTCTCCAAAAATCCTGTTCAGATCCAAATCAACCCTCTTTAGTCATGGCGCCCTTGGGAGATGATACTATAGATCGATCACAGGTTGACGACCTCAACGACCAAGCAATCCTAATCTGGACCGAGTTTCAAGTTTCTAAGGGACTGGAGCTGGATACCGAATGGGCTGGACATTTCCAGCCACTGCTTCGGGCCCCAGGGCACGAGGGTTCCGGGTATACAAGAGTGCAGGAGCGCCCGGATACAATTCTTCTAGTTACAGGTGAGTTGTGTATCAACCGGGAATCAAAGGTCGTCCCGCTAACTGCCACCAAGCATGGGAGAGAGCCTCGGATATGAGGGCATTCATGGCCTCGCCTTCCGCCCAGCTCTATCGGGAGAACCTCGAGGCTAGAGGAATCAGAGCTACTTCCTCTCGTGAGACATTTTCGCAGAGGAGCTCCGACTATGTGGGCCCCAGCTGGTTTGATGCGTTAACGTGCTCTTACGTGGAATTGTTCTGGATATACTTTTTGACACCGGTGACCGATGCCCAGAAGACTCAGATTTCGGATTTGATTGGTATTCGTGAACCGGCTGTAGGGATTGGCGGTGTGCGGCATGGTGTGAAGCGTCGTCAAACCGACCTTCCATTAAAGATATGGGCCATTGGAACAGAGCTCGTGCATGGCCAAGAAGCTCAGTTGATGCTATGGCCGCACTTCTGGACGGACGCAAAGAGCGCCGAGTATAGGCATGTTGGGAAATATACCAACAGTGGCTATCTCATATGCGACGCGAGAACCCTACTAGAGAAGTTTGGTGATAAGCTAGAAAGCGTCGGAGCCTTGGAATGGAAGGAAGAGTTTTGTGATTTCAAGCCAATCACTCTTGTTTGAATGTCTTTGTTTTTGATTTGGAATTTACTCTTTGCTATTGGTAGCGACTAACGTATTTCACCAGCGAGTGGGCCACCCATCCCAACCTACCGATTTTAAATGCATATATCTCAACCAAAACGCCATTAAATTAATTCAACTAACTGATTTGTCTATCTGGACATGTTTCTCTTCTATGCCCTGGCAATCTGCATATTCCACATCCCCGGGGGGCCGCGTACGTGGCTGAATAGCCGATTCTCTATATATACCGGCACTAGGGGGAGGTGCTTCATCTGCTTCCCCTAGCCTAGTAATCAATTAGTTAGGGTTTAGGGT